CTATTTGACACAATGTCCGTATATTAAAAGCTCCAACATGTAGTCTAGAACGGGGTTTAAGGAGACCAGGAACGACGTTTCGCAAACTCGCATCGTTTGCATTAGCTGTGCACTGTAATAAATGAATGTGAGAAGAGTTAGTTGTGGAGATAAGAGAGGTATTAGGGAATGTAGGAAGGATTTGATTTTGAACAATTTTGTCTCGTGTGCTGTTGCGGGTATGAGGGCGGTTATCACTTCCCGGCTGCCCACACCGTGGAAGGTTGTTTCTTGACGAACCTGAAAAGGAAGATGAATTAGTGTTGGTGCGTGACCGCAGAGTCCAAGGGACAACTGCTTCAGGCCGGTCACGCACGGCCTTTTTATGAGAGGTATTTAGAGGATTAGCTCCGTTCTTAAAGGCCCTTAGTGGGCACCCTTACCCAAGGAGACGGAAACCCGTGAGGTAGGGGAGGTGTGACATTTTTAGGGCCGACCTTTTCTAACCATTCCTTCCTTGTGAGAAGGCAGAATCGCTGCAGATGCTGGTTGTCCGAGGGAAACACCTTACTGCTGTCACACCCCTCTGCAGTCAGCAGTACGACTTCGCCCTCAGACCTTGGGTGGCTGCTTTTAGTCTCATCGTTCTCCAATCGACCAGCCTGGCATGGTAAGACCTGCAGGAACATGTGTTCCAGCCAGTATAGCTCGGTTGGGTCATCACGATAGGCAAGCCCGGCCACCACGTCAAGGTAGCAGCTTCGGTCGGGATTGAAAATCAGTCCTTAGATGCAAACACGCAACTTGTGAGTTCCTTAACTTACTTGCGCCTGTCACCCCCATTGGAGCATAGGCCGCCGACCAGTATCCTCCAACCTAGTCTGTCCTAGGCTCCTCTTTCCAGTTCCGTCCAATTTTGTTCCTTCTTATGTCTGCCTCCATTTCTCTGCACATGTGTCCCCTTGACCTTGAGAGTTCCACGTGTGGGCTTGTCATGCAGTTGGGTGCTCTCCTCGACGTGTCCTATCCACTTCCTCCTGATTTCCTTTACTTCTGGAATCTGGTTCGTCCTATTCTACAGTAGGTTGTTGCTGGTGGTGTCTGGCAAATGGATCCTCAGTATTTTGCGTAGACAACTGTTAATGAATACTTGTATCTTCTGAATGATGTCTTTTGAGTTCTCCAAGTTTGGCTTGACATTTGCATTGAAAATTCTCATCTTGGTGTTGGTTGATATTTGTTTGGAGTACCAGATGTTCAATTGTACCAATGCAGACCTTGCTTTGCAGATCCACCCCTTTAAATCTGCGCTAGATTCACCTTGACTGTTCGATGATGCTGCTTTGTTATGTAAAGGTTTTTACGTCCTACAAGGCATCTTCACAAGTGTAATTTGGTTAGGGCATTCTTACGTTTGCTGTCGATATATCTAGCTTTTCCCTTTGTGTATGTTGAGGCCTGCTGTTACACTGATCGTCTCCTTTTGCACTTGTTGTTGCAAGTGCGATAGAAGAGCCAGGTCATCTGCGAAGTCCAGATTTGTCCAGCTGCCCGTTGGATATGGTGCTTTCCTCCAGATATTATATGTCTTCATAATCAAGTCGATCACCAGGAGATAGTAAAGGTGGGAGTAAGCAACCTTGCATGACAGCGGTCCTTCACTCGCAAAGAGTTTGTGAACTGTCTTCCATGCACGATCGTGGCAGTCTAATATATAATAGGAATTCCGTACGATGTTGATTATTTCCTCAGGCACACCGTCCTGTCGAAGGAAGCCTCCATAGTTTTTTCCTGTCCAGGCTGTCGAATGCTTTATCATAGTCAATGAATTTGATGTAGAGTGGTGAGTTCCATTCAACTGATTGTTCACACAATGATACGTAATGCTGCCATATGGTCTTCTTTGGTATCTTGGTGAGGTATCCTTCCTTCCAGTCGCTTAGGTACATGTTCTCACCATCCCGAATCTTGTTGCAGGAATGTGATATACTTTCGCAGTTACTTTCCACGTCTGCTTTCATTGCCTCTAGCTGGAATGTTGTCTCGTCCGCGTGTTTGCGGCTCTTGATTCAACTGATGACCATGCTAGTTTCTTCAATTGTTGGTGGGCCAAACACCGATTGGGAGGTCAGTAGATGCCTCATTCGTTATTGGGTAGGTTCATTGGAGTTGGTCGATTCAAGAGTTCACTTAAAGTGCTCTACCCACCTGTTTGGCTGTTCTTCAGTGTTGCCAATTACCGATTTGCCTTCCTCTCTATCTCACTGGAGTCGTTCTGTTTTACGATGGTTCCCTCGGCGAGATTCATTTGTTGTATCATAAAACTATCTCAAGTTTCTATTCTCTTACAGCCTTTTTCTCCGTCATTGTTAGAGTCTTCCAAACATGTTTCGTTTGTCGGCTCTGGTGCTTCCTTTTACTTGCTTGTTTGCTTCTGTGTATTCAGCTTGTGCCTTAACTTTCATCTGCTCTTGTTCGGCTGATGTTGATTGCTGCCTCTTGTCCCTCATTTCCTGAACCTTATTCCAGAATAGCAATAGACATCCAAATCTTGTAGCCACAGAACGTCCTGATATTTCGAAGTGATTGCCTTCTCCTTGACCACTTTCTAAGTTTTCTCCATGGTTCTATTCCCTCCATTGATTAGATCGTGAAAAGCCTGTAACATAACGCTGAGGGCTATCTCGCATTCGTTGAACTTACCAGTATCACAAAGAGTAGCCGTATTATACTTTTGTGATGATTTCGCTGCGTTGTCCAGTGCTTCTGGAGTTTCAGTTTCATTTTGGCTTCCAAGCCAGGTGATGATCTGGATCTACATTATCTGCTCTCTTGTTCTTATGTCTTACACAGAATTTTGAACTTTTATTTATACAGAGAGGTTCGACTTGGTTCTGTGTTGATTCCATACTGATGTTGCACATGCGCTTCAGGTTCTTAAAGTCACGAATGGTGTATGAACTATCATTGGTCACTAGGCTAGAATGGGAGTGTCTCCAAAACATTGCTTTCTGTCTTGCGGATTAGACCTATTGTCATAAGGCCCAGGAGTGAACCACACGAGAAAAACTAGCTGGTTTCAGTTTGAACACATGGAAAAGTATTTCAGTACACCGACAAATTACCATGACTCCAGAGAGCATAAATATTTACAAACCACATTTATACCAGTGTTTATAGGCTAAGACATTATATATTAATAAATTAGTTACACTGACCACTTTTATTAGAAGCTTTTGCAATAAGCAAAACATTAGTCAGCAGCATGCTGTGCCCTTAAATGGCCCCCTGAAAAACGTTTGAATTTAACGCGATATAAGCGTAGTAACATCACTAACGTCCATAAGAGTGAACCAATCAAGACATTAATGAAACAGCATTATCCATAGCATGAAAACATATTAGTTATTTTACACTTCAAAAAAAACGTAACTGATTAAATAATTTTAAGTATCAGCGAGCATCTTTACCTAGGTCTGATGGAAAAAGACAAATACCCCATCTTCAAAATGCTTACTGACGACCCTACTAAGGATGTCCAATATCCAATATCTTTTCCTTGAGCTAGTATAGACCAATCGATTTCTTCGCGCTCGATGTTTGCCTCTTCGGTATACGGTTACAGGAATCGGTTAGTGTACAATGGATAGTAGTCTAACCACTCGACTGCAATAATTACTGGTCAGCTGATAGTTGTTTATGATTTGCATGGCCTGTGATTGAATGAGTAACGTTTGTTTCAGAGTAGTGAGGTTTCTAGAAACTAGCAGATATTACATTACCAGGTCTCACATCAGTCAGTTGTAATATTGAGAATAATAAGGATAACAATCTCATGCTAATACGAAGAAGACTTCAGAACTTAGTAAATAAAAGGATAACATAGTTTAATAATTGGTAGTGAAGATTGTACGCGAGGACGGAAGTGTATAGACAAGGGGAAGGAGACAGATAATAAGTGAGAAAGATTAGGCTAGCGATCTGATTAGATGGAAACAATAAAAACTAGCAAGTTTCAACACATGCATCAGGCACAGCTGGTCTAAGAGGGATGAGAGAAAATGTCAGACGATCGCCTCCTTAAGAGTATCGTAGACATTCAGGACATAATAAGCAATTCGAGGGACTGAAATCAGGCTACTGTTATCGGAATTGATGTGCGTGCTATCATCAGTTTGTACTGTGCGGAATTTAGGACTTATTCTGTGATTACTTCTAGTAGTTCAGCTACAGCGTGCCGGTCGGAGGGATCTCTTTTATTATGTCCTGAATGTCTACGATACTCTTAAGGAGGCGATCGTCTGACATTTTCTCTCATCCCTCTTAGACCAGCTGTGCCTGATGCATGTGTTGAAACTTGCTAGTTTTTATTGTTTCCATCTAATCAGATCGCTAGCCTAATCTTTCTCACTTATTATCTGTCTCCTTCCCCTTGTCTATACACTTCCGTCCTCGCGTACAATCTTCACTACCAATTATTAAACTATGTTATCCTTTTATTTACTAAGTTCTGAAGTCTTCTTCGTATTAGCATGAGATTGTTATCCTTATTATTCTCAATATTACAACTGACTGATGTGAGACCTGGTAATGTAATATCTGCTAGTTTCTAGAAACCTCACTACTCTGAAACAAACGTACTCATTCAAATCACAGGACATGCAAATTCATAAACAACTATCAGCTGACCAGAATTATTGCAGTCGAGTGGTTAGACTACTATCCATTGTACACTAACCGATTCCTGTAACCGTACCGAAGAGGCAAACATCGAGCGCGAAGAAATCGATTGGTCTATACTAGCTCAAGGAAAAGATATTGGATATTGGACATCCTTAGTAGGTCGTAGTAAGCATTTTGAAGATGGGGTATTTGTTCTTTTTCCATCAGACCTAGGTAAAGATGCTCGCTGATACTTAAAATTATTTAATCAGTTAGTTTTTTTTGAAGTGTAAAATAACTAATATGTTTTCATGCTATGATAATGCTCTTCTTAAGTCTTGATTGGTTCACTCTATGACGTTAGTGTGTTACGCTTATATCGCGTTAATTCAAACGTTGTTTCAGGGGGCCATTTAAGGGGCAAAGCATGCTCTGACTAATGTTTTGCTATTGCAAAAGCTTCTAATAAAGTGGTCAGTGTACTAATTTATTAATATATTATGTCTTAGCCTATAAACACTGGTATAAATGTGTTTGTAAATATTTATGCTCTTCTGGAGTCATGGAATTTGTCGGTGTACTGAAATACTTTCCATGTGTTCAAACTGAAACAGCTAGTTTTCTCGTGGTTCACTCCTGGGCCTTTGACATAGGTCTAATCCGCAAGACAGAAGCAATGTTTGGAAACACTCCCATTCTAGCCAGTGACCAATGATAGGTTCATACACCATTCGTGACTTTAAGAACCTGAAGCGCATGTGCAACATCAGTATGGAATCTAGGTTTTCCAACTGCCTAGAGCTCTGTTGAACAGTGGTTTTACTTCTCAATTCCGTAAACAATTAGAGAATGTAGTGACTAGGACTTCCCTGCCAGTGGCCATATACCTACGGCTAAATTGAAATCATTTCAAGAAGGAAACCGGATTCCTCTCTCCTGGCCATATCAGCAGTTTTCTATAATATGATAAACTTTGGTAAGTGTTTTAAGATCATTTCTATTGTCACACTTCCAAATAGAAATTCAAAGCTGAATATGTTTCTGTCTACTGAAAGGTAAACGTCAAATGAGATAATTTTCCCGTTTACAAAATTGTATACTAATTCACTGGTTAGATCTATTTTGATGTGTCCAAACACGGTTTTCGATTGAGCACATGGAGCTAGAATCTAATGTTACTACTAATCAATTGGTTTTTCGTCTACTTGTTGAGCTAAAACTAAGTCGTTCCATAACTTAAGTGACTGGTGTAGTTTATCAAGCACCTTACAAAAATCGATGCGATATTACTACTACTTTGTAGCTACTTATTTAGTTATCGTGTTTTCTATTTCATCAGAGCACGGTAATGAATAGTCAACTGCATATAAAGGATTGTCCAGATAAGGAGAATTGCCGCCATTCTCTCAAAGTTCTGGACTGCGTTACCAATATTGAGAAATCTTTAAATCGTGAAATTATTTTAAACGGTTCTAATTTCTTGACTGGATTGTTTCGTGTTACTCCTGGTATATGGCCGAAAATTTCCAAAGCTGAGAATAGATCAGGACCGTCAAATTCTTATCACTCAATACAACGTAGTGAATCTCGTGTGAACTTGTGTTCTCAAATTCAACCGGAATCTTATTGCTCAAATTCTCAAGAATCCTTACAACTTGCATCGATGGAGGTGAGTTGTATGATGCAGTAGGATAGTAGTCACTACATATAGCTTATTGATGCATTTAGTACTTGCTGAGCATAGATAAAAGATTGTCGAGATGTAGTTGGATTATATTTTTATGGAGCCTGATATGAATAGTTGGATTTATCAATGAAAATTGTTGACGATATTGAAAACAATCCTGATTTATTTAGTCGTTATCGTTCTGTAAATTATCCTAGACTTGATCACAGAGTAGCTTTGATTTTACTTGACTCTGTTTTGTTGCAGATGTTTTTATGCTGTTCAAAGCTATAAAATCTTGAACAAATGAAGTTTTATTCATGGAGCTGATACAATCCCCACCAATTAGGCCTAAAAATCAGATAATAATTGAGCGAGCAATGAGTTGTTATCTATGAGTTAATTTCGTTCAGTTTTGGTATGGTATTCAATCATGTTTATTTGTGTCCATAGATTTTGTATAAGCATGGTATTTTATTGCGCAGAAGTAGTAGTAGTAGTAGTCTTGTCTTTAGTTTCTGGTTGTTTGAGGGTCGAATACAGTGTCATGAGTAACTACTATTCACCCATGTACATATCGCAGCGTTTACCTATCGACCAGCATTCTATTCATTGATTTCAATTTATTAAAAATTTTATTCATAATAGTAATCTAGACATTTACAAACCAAGAAGTGGTAACATGTTATGAAACTAGTCGCACTTGACTAAAGCCATGTAATTAGGTATAAACAACTTCATTGAAGTCCTTATGGTTTTCATAACCAGCGGCTAGAACGTTTGAATGAAAAGGCTGAAAATTGTTCACAGTGAGGCGCGTGCATTGCCTTTTTCTTTTACTTAGGAACGTGAGTCTCAAAATATCTCGATGGTTTTTCTTCTACACCTTTACTATTACCAGTACTTCTATTGTTCGGGCATTTATTTTGATAATATTATCTCTTTACCAATGTGGTGAAGCAACGTGAACTGATAGAAATGTGTCAGGTTCTATTTTGCATGTAACTTATTCACCAACTGATTCTACCAATGAAAGATTTTGTTGAGTAATTGATAAGTAATACTGATTATGTAGAAATTCATTGAAATCGTCAGTCAGTCTCTTACTCTGATGAATCTAAAAATTTTGAGCTACCTCACCCATGGCCAACGAGAGTAGAAGATATTCGTAGGTTACTGGTCTTCGATCATAGGTGTCTTCGAAGCATTGCTCGTATATCGTGGGACAACCGAGTGAGCAACGCTGTTATTAGGAATCGGGTGCTAGGTAAGAATGGCAGATCAATAGATGTAGTGGTGAAACTTGATCCGTTGAGGTGGTTGGGACATGTGTTGCGTATGCCTAACCACCGACAGCCTCGACGAATTTTGTTTTGTAGTGTAGGAATAGGTTGGAAGAAAGCTAGGGGCAGCCAGACCAAAACATGGCATAAATCCATGAAGTCATTGACAAGTGGACTGAGCCATGTCGGTAGTTGTCGACTACCTGGTTGGGGTCTGCGAGATGATAATAATGGATGGTTAGAGACCTTGAATGACATGGCTTAAAACCGTTTGCAATGGCGCCGATGAATTTATTCTTTGTGTTCTCTCAAATCCTAACCTTCTGGGTTCTTCAACAACTCTAGTTTTGACTTTCTAATTTTTCTCACTGAATCACATACTTCTTGAATAATATCTTCTAATCGTAACCTCTCCGATTACTTCTAATACCTTTATTACCTCAACTACTATTGGATTTGAATTGACAATTATATCTCTGTGCTTATGTGGTATGGCGACATGAACTGATGTACTTACGTACGAAGTTCTACGTTGCATCTGACTGACTGACCTCACCCAGTCTTCGATAGTTACTACAGATAGCCGACGCGGTTGAACCCCGCTGGTCACGGCTTCTCACTAGAACTCTGAGAATTTCCTAACGATGCTAATCACTAGCAAGTAAATTGTATGATATTAATTACAGAATTGTGGAGATTGTTATTTAGCATTGAAGAGAAGCTCAGCCAGTGCTTCTAGGTTTCTAATGGTGGTCTAACAATGATCGATCCATGATTTCAAAGAAAAACAACAATCTGCATAACTATGATGAATATTGTCTGCCAGATATTAGATTGTAAGAGAAATAAATAGGATCATTAGGATGAGGAACGTTGATTTTACTTGTTGAGTACGATTTTGATCAGATCGTTTGATTATTAAATTGTAGGAGTAGAAAATGGGCTTTTCAGATTCATTTGATTTAGTTGAAATATTACTACTAATAACCAATCACTAATAATACCAACTCTATTCCCAGTATCGGCTGTATCTCTTACTACAAAGCATCTATAAGCTTGTTTTGTTCTGACCATCTATAGGCGATGGTGTTCAGAACTGTGATTCCACTTACTGCATTCTTATTCAGCTTTGTCATCTACATGTTTTTAGAGGTGACACTGATGTACGTACTTACAAATTTCTTTGTTGTAACTGACTGAGTGACAGAGGCGACACTTTCATCGTCTGACTTTGCACGAGTCGACCTTCTATCAGGGGACTCGTTTGTTGACTTGGAATAAGCCGATTGTGTGAGCGATACTGGAGTTAGGAAACGAATACTAGGAGACGATGGCAGGTCACTACATGAACTGTTGAATCTTGATCAGTTGGGATGGTTGGGACATGTGTTGCGTTTTCTCAGTCACCAACTGCCTCAATGGGCGATACTTTGTGGTGTAAGAGTAGGTTGGATGAAAGCTAGAGGTAGTCAGTTCACGAAGTCTTCGACAAATGGACTGAGGGATGTTGGTAAATGTCGACTACCTGATTGTGTTCCTGGAGAGAGCTTAAACTACCTTGCTCAAAATTGTTTGTACTGGCGCAGGTGCATGAATTCTTTGTCTGCTTCCGAATTCTAACCTTCGGAATTTCTTATCACCTTTATCTCCCTCTTTTTAAATTTATTTCACTGAGATAAACTTCTTGAATCATATGTTCGGTCCCTTATCTTTTTGACTACCGCTAATACTTGTGCCATGTCTACTACCATGGGATTTGAACTGATCGTTTGATCTTTATGCTAATGTGAAGTGGCAACCTGAACTGTTGTACGCACGTACTGTGTTCTGGGTTGTAGCTGACTGACGGAGAACTGTGATGATAGCGATGACACTGGATAGGTAGTACCGCTTTGATTTGAAGTTTTTAGTCTTAATTGTACCAACCACCGAAATATCATTATGAGCACACAGTGTAATATAAATAATTTCATACAAACGAGTATTGAAACGTGCAGTGGGAATCGAATAGGGGAGAGTATATTTAGTCTGGTTTTCTTTCCTTTGTAACCCTGTATTTCAAAAAAATGATCATAGTTCTATTAATGATGTGTTGCGTTTCCGTATACTTCAGATATTCCTTAAACAAATGAGGTTTATCGATTACTGAATAGAATGCAGCTCAGAACAGAACACAATACTCAAAGTTTTACTTGGTAAATAAGTTATTATTAAGTTGTATTTTTCACTGACACTTGTATCATATAGAACGATGATTGGCATTGTAGATGTGTTACAACGAAACATTCTATTTTATTTATGATGCACTGTTTTGAAATTTTAGGTGTTACATATGCCTAGTGAAAATGAACCGAAATGTGTTATTGCACAAAGGGATAATGAGAATTTACCAAGTGCCGAGACAATTAAATCGGAATTTCATCGAAACGCATATAAATCAACGCCTAATCCTCCGACAGATGAGAATAATGACGTAACCAGTAGTTTTCAAACTATTTTATCAAAGCCTATGAATGAGGAAGTTGATAATGAATTAGCTTCAGTTGTGAAGGTATGTATGTGATTATAATCATACTTTTTGAATAATTTTGTGCCAAAGAATTATGATTTTTGTGGTATTATGCTTAAGGTTAGTATTTGTTAGATATAGGCGATTATGTGAGCACAGCTGCAACATACGGTCGCAGTCATCCATAAAGTCACTGACTAGTGGACTGAGTGATGTTGGTAGATGTAGACTACCTGGTTGGGGTCAGCGAGACGAATGTCATCAATGGTTAGAGACCTTGGACAACATGGTTCAGAATCGTTTGCAATGGCGCAGGTGCATCCACTCTTTGAGCTCTCTCAAATCCTAATCTTCTGGATTAGCCAGCACCTCTACCTTTTTCTTTCCAACCTTACCTCACTGAATTATATTTTTTGAATAATATCTTCGAACCCTAGTCTTCTTTATTAACATTAATACCTCTACTATGTTTATCACTATGGGATTCGATTGGACATTTGCGTCTCTGTGCTAATAATGTGGTATGGCAACATGAACTTATGTACATACGTACGAAGTTCTACGTTGCAACTGACTGACTGAGTTATCTTTTGTATGAGTCGCAACACCTAAGGTGCCTTCTGTCTTCCAGTTTCGCTTAGTCTACATCTACCTAAGCATTGAAGTCACCCGCCACTATGACTACATCAATGCGCCTAACTTTTTTAAAAGATTAGAGAGGTTTCGGTAAAATTCTTCTTTTACCTCATTTGAGCTGCACCTAGTTGGAGCGTAGGCACAGACGACGAAGATGCAGCGGAGTGTCCTTATCTCTACGTGCTCTTACTGTTCCGTTTAGTCGGACAGCATTTAAGTGATTATTTACCGGGGTCCAATGTAAGAGAGCTAGTTCTGCCGTAGGATGCAATGTTATACCTTCACCAGCGAGGCCTCGCGAAGCAGCAGTGGGGCTTCCAGGTACACGAAACCTAAACGAAGCTGATTTCCTATCTCGACAATGTAAAATCGAATTGGTGGTTTTACTAGGATCCCATATGCGCTTTCTCGAGTCGCAACACACCGATGGCACAGGACTCCAGAGTCCTTGCTAGTGAAGCCTGTTGCCTCTTTTGACGCTACGTTCGAACATTAAAGGCTCCAATATGTAGTCTAGACCGGGGTTGCAGCAGACCGGTAAGAACATTTTGAGAGCTCGAAACATTTGTTTTAGCGGTACGAGGTGACATAGGAACGAAAGAATGGTTGTCACATAGATAAGAGAGTTATTAGTATATGTAGGACCGATTTGATATCGTTTGCTTTTACGGGTATAAGGGCAGTTGTCATTTCCCAGTCGCCAACACCGTTGGAGAGTACCTCTTGAGTAACCTGAAAAGGAAATCAGGTTAGCATTGGTCTTAGCGAGCTGGGAGCGTGATCGCAAAGCCAATTGTACAACTGCTTCAGGACGGTCACACACAACTTTGTTATGGAAACTTTTTAAAGTGTCAGCTTCGCTATTTTTAAAAGGCCTTACCGTCGCAGATGTAAATCCGTGATGTAGGGTGAGGTGTGACATTTTTAGCGTCGACTTTTTCTAACACCTTCATTCATTTATTAGGAAGCATCTTTGTAGATGATGGTTGTCTGAGGGTTACACCTTGCTGCTATCTCACCTCTCTACAGTCAGCTCTATGACTTGGCCTTCAGACTTTAGTACTGGTTATAATCCATTCTATGTGTGAGGGCTAATTATACTGTCCATTTTCTCAAATCGAATTAGATATTGCGGGGTTTTGTGTTTACTACGGGAAACAGATATTTGGTTGATTTTGTCGTTTGTATGCATTGCATAAACATGTTTCTGTGTGTACTCCTCTCTCTATAGATACGCATACGAGAACTATTGACTGCATATGAGAAAGCATTACAACCGATAACTTCAATTGATTTGGAACCGGAATACGAAGTTAAACTTTCTCTTTATTCCAATAAGATGTTTGGAATAGAATAATCTATTTTTATATCTTGTTAATTTGTATAGTGTTCATAATTAAGACAATTTTATACAAAACTTAATTTAAATATATTAAAATAAAGAATTTTCCAATTAAATGAATGAAGAACTTTTTTGAATTTAGTTTTACACTCTTTGTAACGATAGCCAAATGTAAGTTAATTCCTGATAGCTAATAAAATTTTCTCGTCGTGGTAATACATATTGTCCATAATAAATAACGACATCGTATCTCCAGTTACAGGTTTCTACCGTATAGAAAATTTGACTCAAAGTATGCAATAATACATCCCAGTCCTAGATGTGTAGACTGTAGATTTTACGTTATTAGTGTCTTCGGATCATTGTTCGAGTACCATGATAGGGTCTCTTACTTCGACGGGTTAATGTTAGTTGGTGTTGACCGTAGCTGCTACCTTGACGTGATGATCGAGCTTACCTATCATGATGACCAAACTGAGCTACATTGGTTGGAACATATGTTCCTGAAGGTTTTACCATGCCAGGCAGGTCGATTGCAGAACGATGAGACTAAAAGCAGCTACTCAAGGTCTCAGGGCGAAGTCGTACTGCTGACTGCAGAGTTGTGTGACAGCAGTAAGGTGTTTACCTCGGACAACCAGCATCTACAGCGATGCTGCCTTCTCACAAGGAAGGAAGGGTTATAAAAGGTCGACTAAAAATGTCACACCTCATCCTACCTCACGGATTTCCGTCTCCTTGGGTAAGGGTGCCCGCTAAGGGCTTTCAAGAGCGGAGCTAACACTTTAAATACTTCTCATAAAAAGTCCGTATGTGATCGGCCTCAAGCAGTTGTCCATTTGGCTCTGCGGTCATGCTCCCAGGTCTCTAAGACCGACACTAATCTACCTTCTTTTTCAAGTCCCTCAATAAACAACCTTCCACGGTGTGGGCAGCCGGGAAGTGACAACCGCCCTCATACCCGTAACAGCTCGCGAAACCAAATCGGTCACAAACGAATCCTTCCTGATGTGAGTGTAGGCTTTAAATAATATCAGAAGGATCCAAATCAGACCATAGCATCAACCCATAAAGTCTGCGGTTGATAGTCTAAGCCGTGTTGGTAGATAGAGATTGCTTGACAATGTTGAGTGATATTATTCAGTTACTATATCACAAGTGCATTTATTCTGTCCCAAGATTTTGACTATCACTATTTCTTAATGCATACCTCTCGGTCCGTTTTTTTGAATCATTATTTTCAAAGATTAGTCTTTCTCATTATCACTGTTACCACATTATTTCGATCCCCTTGCTAACTACCACATGTGCAGAGCGCCACATCATGACTAAATGCTGCGAACAAACCCTGCCAGGAGTCCAATGGACCTAGCCACCATTTTTGTTAGCATATCGGTAAGTGATGTATTTTCAGATGGTGCTTGAGCCTGTATCACTCAACACTACAGTTAGACACATTATCACTGAGTTGTTCGATTCACAATCTTGGTAACTGTTATAGATTGAATCTGACAGTATATCATGTCAAAATAGTGCGATTTGTGCACTTTAGTAAGTTGCCTAACTATGAAATCGTAATGTAAACGAATTCAGTTATGTTGAATACCACTTAGTATATGAGGATGGTGGTTTGATGCGGATCTTAGTGACCTCAGTCGGTACAACAATCATATTACCACATTTACTGAATTAAACATTTTTTCACATGAAAGTTGTTTTCATCATTAGGTTCAAATAATGATTCATATTTATGGTGAGTTAGTCAATTAGTCTTCTCTTATTTCAAAATAATGTGATAAACGCAGTCATTATCAAGATCAAGATCGCAATATAGGAGATTATCATCCAAATTGAAATGATGTTTACGGCTCATGTACATATATCGGCTGCTTATCAAAGCCTATCTACTATCAACACTAGAAGCTGTCTCCCTATGTTAGTGAAATAGTGTCCGACTCGTCTAGCACATCAACTAGTGTGTGCGTACTAATATGTTGAGCTCACATGGCTTGCCTACCTTTCGGGTAAACTAAATAACCGTTTCTGCCTGATTCATTATTATTCACTCGCCTTTTGATCTTGTCAATTATTCGCTCATATCCTTGGTTTTTTTATTTGCGTGTGTATGCTTATTAGTAAATACTGAGTTATGCTTCATCGCATTGAGTTGGCTAACTCGCATTCCCTACTTCGCTTCACTTTGCTTGTAGACTTTTCATTCTCATGTCTGTCTACATGAGCAATTGCATGAAATAAATTCTTTGAATTGAATTCGTATTTGACATCTTATTATCACCGCCGCATAAATGTGGTACGGAAATCGAAGGGAAGATTTATTGCACAGCATAGTACCAATTTGAGTCAGACCGCAGGTTATTGAACTGGTGGACCTCTATCGAATTCAACGCAGCCAGGATAGTATGGCTTCCGGTAGATTATAAGACATAGAAATAAGTTCTAAAGATCGATAGTGTTGTTGCATAACTCGGAATTCTTATGAATCAGTTAGTTGCACTGGTCTTTTGGATATATTCTCATGTTTCGCCCTATTGATGGGTTTTCATTACAATCACATTCAATAATTAGTATATGTTTACCGAATGCAAAGAGCTAAATCCTATTTTGAAAGAATCAAAATTTATACGCATTGGTCATTGAGTAAGAAAATCAATACCACGTTGCTTGATCTTTCGTCGAAATTCTGAAGATCATGTTGGAATTAGACCAAAAGACTTAGATCCTCATGACTTGATGTTGCTAAATTAGATAAAAACACAACTCGGTAATATGCGGATTTTATTCATAAAAAAATAACATGGAACAATAACTAAGTCGAACTTTTTACATTCCAGGCAGCAATTCCATTAAATATTAGGAGGTTCGTGATTTGGATGACACAATTCTTGACTTTCGTTTACTTTCCAATTCTACGATATGTAACCAATGTTCCAGTGTGGGAGATTGCATTCCATAAGTTAGACAATAAAATCTTTAAAATATTTAGAAAAAAATATTATTATGTATTAAATCTTATCAGTGTAATTTCTTAGTAAGTCATTTTCATGAAAGTACACATTTATGGTAAGATTGTAAGTTTCCAGTGTATGCTAATTAGAGGAAAAGAGCCATCTGAACCATGGACGAGAGTAGGTATCAGATTGTTGCTAACGAGCCCAGTTAGAGCAGATTGCGTAGTGCTACTGTAAGAGCACAGGATATGCTCCATATAATCCAGGTTTGCGCAACCCGGTAAAATCAGTTTACCATGTCAGTCAATATTGGCCAATATGTGCGTTGGTTCAAGTTGCTTTGTCACTAGCAAAGTGAGACAAAATTATTAAGACAAATCCTAGAATAGTAGACAATGACGAGTCCACCGATGCATCACACGACAGTAGATGATGAAATCAATGAGTTAACCAAAAGCTGACCAGGTTGAATCAGAACAAAAGACTGAGAAGACAGTTATGAAGTAGGTCGCGTGAAAGATATCGGTCACAATCTAGTAGACTCTCAGCTCTCATGATATGGTGGTATCACGAGACGACATATAGCAACCGAGCTATGAAATGTAGACCACCATGCAGGTTCAAATTAATGTAACAGACAAACGGTTCCGCTGGTTGCCGGTAACGACTGAGACAGATGGCGTAGCTCCCAAAAGTAGTAGAACCAAACCAGGTAGTCAGCACCTGCAACTTATGGCGAAGTTGAATAAATATAAGTGAATATCTCAACGAACATCAACCTGAGGTTGGCAATTTCAATCATGGCTTAAACTCTCTCAGTGATGTTCAATTTTGGTTTGTATAATTTGTTTGGTATACTTTTCAATGATAGACACTGTAATAGAATTTCTTAATTAATAGAGTTGAACGCTACTTTAGGGTTTTTGAGCTCAGAAAACTGGGAGTGTTGATATTTCTTATCGTAGAAATAGGTCCCTTTAACTGAAATCCAAATGAAGTCAGTCAGATGCAACGTAGAACTTCGTACGTAAGTACATCAGTTCATGTCGCCATACCACATCAGCACAGAGATATAATTGTCAATTCAAATCCAATAGTAGAAGAGGTAGTAAAGGTATCAGAAGTAATCGGAGAGGTTAGGATTAGAAGATATTATTCAAGAAGTATGATTCAGTGAGAAAAGTTAAGAAAGTCAAAACTAGAGGTGTTGAAGAATCCAGAAGATTAGGATTTGAGAGAACACAAAGAATAAATGCACCGGCGCCATTGCGAACGATTTTAAGCCATGTCATTCAGGATCGCTAACCATCGATTATTATCATCTCGCGGACCCCAACCAGGTAATCGACAATTACCGACATGGCTAAGTCCACTCGTCAATGACTTCATGGATTTCTGCCATGTTTTGGTTTGGCCGCCCCTAGCTTTCTTCCAACCTACTCCTACACTACAAAACAAAGCTCGTCGAGGCAGTCGGTGGTTAGGCATACGCAGCACATGTCGAAATCCAAATGAATGTTAAAAATCTTTGGGATAGAGAGTAGAGCTGTATGATTATGAATCTTGATGTTGAACAGTAAATGTCGGTTAACAATTTGCAAACATATTAGTAACAACAACAAGCATAATTAAACATGAAAGATGAGATAATTTTTCAATTGATCATACCTGAGTAAACATAACATAATCGCGAATTCATCAGCTTCTATGTATGTTGACTTATCCCTGCGCCATTGGACAAAATCTTGATTGATACGCTGTAAAATATTATCAGAATTAATGAAATTACACTTGAGAAGAAAATGTGAAATAATCGAGTCAAACGAAATACAAAAAAAAATAGTCAGTATTGTTATTTAACTTATGGAAATTGCAATTCTTCAATGAGTATATATTAATGTAACAGTTTGCTTACGTTGTATATGATGAATATATGTGAGTAATGTATAATTCGCATTACGGGGTTGTGAAGATTGTTAAGTTACACATTTTTGAAACCATGAATCGATCAATGTTAGACCACCATTAGAAACCTGGAAGCACTGGACGGCCGTTTCATCATGGTATGGGACTTATCAGCAGTGAGCATTCACGACTCCTACACCCCGCAGGATTCGAACACGGGACATTCAGTATTGTAGGCGAACGCCAAGGAGTCCCATAACAGGACGAAACGGCCGCCTTGCAGTGCTTCCAGGTTTCTAACGGTGGTCTAACATTGATCGAGTCATGGTTTCAAAAATGTGTAATGTAAAATTATCCAATACTTCATATTCAATATAAGTGTGGACTGAACTATGTAAACTTTGAGAGAGTGATGATAAGATTTACCGCAAATTATTGCAGTATAATATCATTCCACTAGATTGATTGATGATGTCATTGTGATAATTATTGGTTAGCAAATTATAAGGAATGATAATACTTACAATTCTGAATTACTTTCCATAATAAAAGAGATCAACGGCAGGAAACCTTATTAAATGCTAGTTATAGTATACATTGTTTATGATGGGATCATTAACTCAATGTAAGCAACATTCAATTTTAACGCCATTAAACGATATGTTTCTTCAATGTGTATTAGAAATGATAAATCATTATTGTAGAATTCAAATCTGCAGAATATTGAATTACTGGAGTGTTAGTTATTTTATAACTAATTGTAGTTATATCATAACTAACCAATCAAATTGTGGTTTAAGCGTCCATCACGTGATCTGATCTGACGTGTCTGTAAACTTTCTTTGTTGTAAATGACCTAATAATTGAAGGACATTATTATCTCATCATATCGATGTGACTCATAATTTTATTCATTTCCATAAGACACGCTATATTGGTCGGTATGTTTGATCGTTTCACTTGGTAACTGTAATTTCCTTATTTATTGTACTAATCTAATTGTTTTTATGTTTAGAAACAGATAAAGTTTAAAGCAAAATTGGTCTCGTTTTGACTATAGCTTTCCCATAGACTCTGTGCTCGCCAATATTGCGTTTACAGTTCTAGAAGTCCATGTGTAGGACAAATTAAATCCTACATCGAGTTTATACGCATAATGTTAATTACTTCTTCAAAGAATAAACAATGAAATTAAATTAAATCAAGTTTAAACAGTACAAGGGAAATACAACAAAATAGTTTTTTAGTACAAAATAGGTTCGATTACGTTAACATCATTATCATTTCGGGTCAAGATGATTTGTTCTATGTGAGACTCACTAGTGTGTATGTTAGTGCGTGTGGGAAATGTGAACCGGCTAACAATGTCTCACCACTTTAAGCTACTCACTGCACATCATAAAAGTAAAACTTATTTGAAATTTTACATATCAACTTCGCCAGGAGCTTGTCTGGCGCTACTGTCTTCCCTAAGCCCGGATAAACGAGGGTTGGGCAGTTTGGGTGTAGTGACCCCAATCCGTAGAAAACGAAATCGCTAAAAACAACGCTAACTAGAAAACTAATTCAATTATTTGATATCATCAATATTGATTAGATGGCTGTTAAAAAATTGATTTTGAAGATCTTTTTGTATGACTCAGTCAATCAGTCAGTTACGACGTAGAACTTTGCACGTACGTTTAGGTTGCCATACCGCATTAGTACAGACACAACTTTCAGTTCAAATCCCATAGTGGTAGAGATTGTAAAAGTATTAGCAGTAGTGGAGAAGATTAAGGTTCGAAGATATTATTCAAGAAGTATAATTCAGTGAGATAAATTTAGAAAGAGAGAGATAGAGGTGTTGATGAGTTCAGAAGATTAGAACTTCAGAAAATACCAACAGTGGATGCACCTACGTCGACCGACCGTAGCTACTGCCTTGACATGGTGGTCAGGCTACCCTATCCCGATGACCCAACCGAGCTATATTGGCTGGAAAATATGTTCCTGCAAGTCCTACCATGCCAATAAGGTCGACTGGATAACGATGAGACTAAAAGCAGCTGCTAAAGGTCTCAGGGCAAAGTCTTACTACTGACTGCAGAGATGTGTGACAGCAGTAAGGTGTCTCCCTCGGAAAACTAGCATCTGCAGCGATGTTACCTTCTCACAACGAAAGGAAGGGTGTTAGAAAAGGTCGATCCTAAAAATGTCACACCTCACCTTACCTCACGGATTCCCGTCTCCGGCGGTAAGGACTGCCCAATAAGGGCTTTTAAACAAGAGTGGAACTAACACTTCAAAATCTCATAAAAAGGCCGTGCGTGACCGGCCTCAAGCAGTTGTCTCTTGGGCTATGCGGTCATACGCTTAGGCCTCTAAAACCAACGCTAACATACCTTCCATTTCAGGCTGCTCAAGAAACATCCTTCCACGGTGTGGGTAGCCGAAAATTGTCATCCGCCGAGTAATAGCACACACGTATGACTCAGGTGTTCTTTGATACTAGTTATGATTTTAAGAGATAAATCTTCGATATAGGATGCAACGGCTATTCGAACTAAATCATTTGAGAGTGTTCATTGTTATATATATAGAGAGAGAAACCTTTAATCGTGTGCGAATTAAGGATTTGTGATATCGCTTATGGTGTGCGCCATGATGAAGGTATGATAAAATTACAATGTCAATCCATGACATTGAGTGGATGTGCCGAGTTGAAATCAATATATCGATTTGAGTGTGTGTCGGCTTGTGGTAGATAGATAGATTTAGACTTCTAGTTGAATTTCTTCTAATTAAAGTCTTAAAATGATATTTCACTATGTTCATTTTCAAACTCTGAAAATGTTTCTTAGGAGAATCTTTAAATGGTGACAAAGGTGTGTCATGTGTATATCTGAATCAAATGTGTGGGGTTGTGATAAAAAAATAAGCGATTCTATATGAGACATATAAAAATGAGCAATAATCAATGCCACGTGAACTCAGCGTCATTGTATTCATATTTATTTATATAAAGTCCCTTTGCATATACATAAAATTGAATTCAATCCTGGTTTTAGAGTTTCCATTATGAAACTAATGCTCAGCTGACATCGCCTAATAAACAACTAAAGATTCTAGACATCTACCAACTGGAATATTAGTGTATAAAGTTACAACATTAAAGCCTATTGAATAATTCCGAATATTAGACTTTAAATTATACGAGAATCCTATAACAACTTTATGTAGGTTATATTAAAATGCCTGCAGTATACTTGCTTAGATACGCTGGGGTATATATATATATATATATATATATATATATATATATATATATATATATATATATATATAATCTGGAATATTATGTCATGTATTATTTAAACTTAATTTAATTTGGTTGTTCATTCTTTGAAAAAGTCATTTAAACTATGAAATCATGAATGAATCAATGTTAGACCACCATTAGAAACCTGGAAGCAGTGGACGGCCGTTTCATCATGGTATGGGACTTATCAGCAGTGAGCATTCACGACTCCAGCTACTCGCAGGATTCGAAACCAGGACCTTCGGCCTTGCGCGCAGACGACCCATACCAGGACGAAACAGCCTTCCAGTGCTTCGTGGTTTCTAACGGTGATTCATTCATGATTACAATGTGTAAAAACAACTATCTCCATTATACATACTATAATGCAAAATTTACACAAACTTTAAAAACCTCAATAATCCGATATTCTACAGATTAAGATTTTACAAATAGATCAATATTTATATCTCATCTATCTGGATCAACAATAAATTCATTCGGGAATTTATTGATACGATAAACAGAACACAATTAGACAATCATTCAATACATGGATTCCCTGGGTGGCCCATTTTATTCTCAGTCAGTCAGTTGCAACGTAGAACTTCGTACGTAAGTACATCGGTTCATGTTGCCATACCACATCAGCACAGAGATGTAATTGTCAATTCAAACCCAATGGTAGAAGAGGTAGTAAAGGTACTAGAAGTAATCGGAGAGGTTAGAATTGGAAGATATTATTCACGAAGTATGATTCAATGAGATAAGTTTAGAAAGTCAAAACTAGAGATGTTGAAGAATCCAGAAGATTAGGATTTGAGAGAACACAAAGAATAAATTCATCTGCGCCATTGCAAACGATTTTGAGCCATGTCATTCAAGGTCTCTAACCATCGATTATTATCATCTCGCGGACCCCAACCAGGTAGTCGACAACTACCGACATGGCTAAGTCCACTCGTCAATGACTTCATGGATTTCTGCCATGTTTTGATTTGGCCACCCCTAACTTTCTTCCAACCTACTCCTACACTACAAAACAAAGCTCGACGAGGCAGTCGGTGGTTGGGCATACGCAACACATGTCCCAACCATCTCAACTGATGAAGTTTCATTACTTCTATTGATCTGCCATTCTTACCTAGCACCCGATTCCTAATAACAGCGTTGCTCACTCGGGTGTCCCACGATATACGAGCAATGCTTCGAAGACACCTATGATCGAAAACCAGTAACCTACGAATATCTTCTACTCTAACTGGCCATGTTCCACAGCCATAAAGTAAAACGGAGCGAACTACTGCGCAGTACACTTGTCCTTTAGTCAGCAAACGGATACCTCGCCTTCGCCATAAGTGACGCAAGTTGGCTAAAAGTCAATCGAGCCTTCTGTATCCGTGCTGAGATTTCGTCAGTCACCAGGCCATCGGCACTGATGAGACTCCCGAGACAAGTGAAGCGGTCTACCCGTTCGACTACTTCACTCCCTTTCACTAGTTCAGGTGCCGATGAAACCCAATCTTGAAGCAACATTTTGCATTTCGACGGGGAAAACCGCATCCCGAACATGCTTGCATTGTTGCTTAGGGTAGTCAGAAGACTCTGCATTTTGTCAGCGTCTTCACCAACTAGGACAATGTCATCGGCATATTCTAAGTCAATAAGCGAGCCACCTGGTAGGCCATTTTATTCTAGTATGACACTATTGAGTATTTATGTACACATGACCTTGGGACCAGCAGAAAAACCGAGAAATTCCAGTTATTCAATGAAGCCAACAGAAGATGATGATCTGTTAAAATATTGTGGGTTGATTGAATGAATGTGGCTCAGTGGTCTCGTTGGGCTTTCAGATTTTTCAATGGTTGTCTAATTTAGATCGTTTTGTCATAATAAATAAAATTCGACTAACTTTATGATTCCATCATGACAGTTGTAGGAAATTATGAAACTGATAATCAATAACTTTGTACATTAATTTTATTATCTCGGTTTTTGTAGCCTACAGCTATCCGTCAACTTACTCTTCCTATACCAGACAATATTGTACACCGATATGAGGCAGCCACATGAATAAAAATTCAAAACTAATGAGCTTATGTAAATTGAAAAAAAAAACGCAAAAAAATTAAGATAGATAAATATGTACCTCTTGTAATTCAATATCCATTGAATAATTTTCATTACTCAATGATAAAACTGTCAAATATTTACGTAGATCATTGAATTCACTTTCAGAAATAGTGATATGTACATCATTTTCATTAAGTTCACATGATTCTGGTTCCCATGGTAATGATAGAACAGACTATGGAAAATAAATTCGTAGTACGTAAGATAATTAAGTAGGAATTAAGATTGAATAAAAAAAATTTAGTAATTATCATTTTTATTTGATTTTAAACACATGGACACACTGAAACAGTGAAATATTTATGCAGCAAATAAATTATGAAATATGTGAATGGATTAGGATACTTCTAGGGCGTTCTAATTGAATCAGGTAAATTTCAATTAGTATAGCTATAGTATTAAGTGGAGTAGTTAGGTGATACTGCTATCTGAATCGAAGATAAGTGGGGCACGACACTGACACACAATGATTTGACTATTAAATGGTAATCATCATTAAAACTAGTTGACTCAAAACAGAAACCTGTATAATTGGAGAGATGATAATAGAGACTTGTGCTTAATATGCTTTCTATAGGTGTGCAGAGATTTCTTTACACCCCAATGCCTTCAGGACTGATGAGACTTCCAAGATAAGTAAGGCAACCAACACGAATATCAGAAAGTGTGTCTATGTTCTAGGATTTGATGAAATGTGAATATGTGGTCGAGGTCTGGAACCAGACTGGTTTTCTCGAGTCTGCTCTTCACGTGCTATAGTTAGGCGTCGAAGTATTATTCAAGCTAATGTTTTAGAAACTATATTAGTTAAACTGATTCCTCAGTGAGTGTTACAACAGGACTTTTGTCCTTTCTTATAGACTGGGATAGTCAGTGGTTGAGAACAGTCAGATAGGATTATATCCAGTCGGATGGGATTATGTCTAGTTCCTAGATTCTAGCAGATATCTCCGTCAATCGGACTGCTAAAACTGGACCATCATCCCTAGAAACCTGGAGGTTAATCTATCAGGACATACTGATCTCACTCACCTCAGATTACCAATAGCCTTTTCAACCTCATGAAGAGTCAAAGGACTTACATCAACTTGCCATTTAGGTTGACTGGAGAGATCGTGGGCAACTGAAGTGTGGCTGAAGGCCAGTTGAACAGCCTTCTATTGATAAGTATGAATAGTTACCTAATGTTACTGATCGTCACTTCCTTTTTCATTTTTTTTTTAAATTTCGCTACCCATCGCTGTTCGCGATCATTGGGTAGGCTTCTTATCAACCAATGCATAAACTGACTCCGCTCCTCGTCATGCTTGGAGCTAGATGGGATGAATTTGCGAGTATCTACCAATTCAGCAGATGCTATTGGAATCCACTGATATTCCCTAACTTTATGGTTTACCTTACAGTTATTATCACTGCTGTTTCCACAGCTATCTGGATATAATTCGAAGCTGTCGCGGCGTAGGCATCACTTACATAGCTGACTAACTGTTTTTCTAGTTGTTCCTGAAATATACTCTTGGCTCTGTTATCGTCAAGTAGTACTCTAAGGGGTTTCCTCGCTGTGCCTTTCTTACGTCCAGCAAACCGCAGAAAATTATGTGCTGGTACTAGAGCAGGATCTAAGTGTAAACATGTGCTCCAGAACGAATAGTAGTCTTCTTTCGAGCCTCTCCATCGGTAGCTGATAGCAATGTAGTCTGGTCACGTTCGACGTTGAGTCGATTTTGTGGGTCGACATAGAGAAAGACGCTATGTCCTATGTTTAAAGTCAGTATTTGATAAAAATATGTGGTTATCTGAGCATAGCTGCAGTAGCTGTCATTATCTGTTCGATGCGCTGCGGTACCATACGATCAATTCACGTGTCTTTCAGTGTTGCTTAATCTACCTACTTGGACATTGAAATCACTAACCAGTATTACCACATCAGACAGCTTAGCTAAGTGAAGTACGTTGGAAAGTTTTCCGTGAAATTCATCTTTTACCTCAACTGAGTTAAAATCGGTGGGAGCTTGGGCAGAGACAACGAATAGGCAGAGACGAGTGTCTTAGTCTTTCTGAGTCTTTATTTTCCGGTTTGGTCAAACAGCTCAGAAGCGACTATTTACTGTGATCTAGTCAATGGAGCTAGTTCTCTCTTTTATAATCAGTTCACCAAGAGAATTCTCTTTGAATGATAGATAATATTTGAGTGTTGACTATGTATAAGCAAAATATCTAATGGTTTACTATACTTAGAGTATTTGCATATTTAAAAACTAATAACAATATCACTCGCTCAAGACCTAGGGTAGTAGCAGTAGTAGTGTGGTGCCAGCTACTTATAAGTAGTATATGACGTGAGTGGAAACGTAATGTCTGGCAGCACAATATGGGGGGAAGATCAAGAAGAAAGGAAGAGTGAGAACACAATGGAATTTGTATGAAACGCATGAAGTTAGTGACAATGGATTGATGTTTTGCGACAGGAACAGTCCAGTTCGATATGATGAACTGATATTTTGCAAATTACCGATTTACGATATGGTTTTCCGATTTTACTGAGTAACTCTGTAATTTTCGATAAATACAATCCGGTTGCCCCACCTGTGTTCTCGTTCCCTACAGTAGTAGTAGTGGTTGGGGGTAGTTGAAAAAAGCCCTGAACCTAGATTTCGTCAACCTACTGTACTTGTAATCTTAAGGGAAGGCTGTGGGATAAGGAAGTACCGACTAAGGTGGCAGTCTGGCAAGAATTCAGCTATGGAGTTGTGGATTAATACGGACTTAGAATTAACTCAAGGTTTCTGATACTATGACGTAGTTCTCATTGGAGTTTATATTTGTCATGTAAAATTGATCAACAGTTAGGAACATAACATTAGGCTAACGATTAGTAATTCATTAAATCATAGAAACTTACTTTAATCAAAGATGGTACAACGGACAGAATTAATAAGCGTAAATTTGTATCCCAATTTTGTGTATAAAATTGAAAATCATATAGTAAACGTTGATTCATAGCCACAGAACTTAAAGCTTCAAAATTTAATAAACCTTTCTGTTGTAACTGACCAGAATCCATTTCTATTTCATTGACAAGTATCTGAAGAAAGTGAGCGGCGAGTGTTAAAGAATATAAAACTAATAAAATTCCAAACATAAATTATTAATAACCAAAACAAAAAGGCATAGACACTAATATATATATATATATATATATATATATATATATAAAGCTGATTGTTTTATAGCCACTTTGGCGAATGAGGTACTTCAATCAATAACTACAAGATGTCACTTGTGAATAGCATTTTTATAGTTTCTGACGAAAATATGGACTTCAATGATATCTTGGATGATATTAATAATCATCGATTGATTAAGCCGACATTAGAAGCAGAGGTGAGCGCGGAAATTCAATTTGTGATATCCTACTTAAAGTTGAACACTTCACTTATCTGGGGAGTCTCATCAGCGCTGATGGCCTGGTTTGTGACGAAATCTCAGCTCGGATACAGAAAGCTCGATTGGCTTTTGCTAACCTGCGTCACTTATGGCGTAGGCGTGATATCCGTTCGCTAACCAAGGGACGGGTGTACTGCGCAGCAGTTCGCTCTGTTCTCCCATACGGATGCGAAACATGGCCAGCGAGAGTAGATGTTCGTAGGTTACTAGTTTTCGATCATCGATGTCTCCGAAGCATTGCTCGTGTATCATGGGACAACCGAGTAAGCAGTGCTGTCGTTAGGAAACGAGTACTAGGTAAGGATGGCAAATCAATAGATGAAGTGGTGAAACTTCATCAGTTGAGATGGTTGGGACATGTGTTACGTATGCGTTACCACCGACTGCCTCGACAAGCTATGTTTTGTGGTGTAGGAGTAGATTGGAAGATAGCTAGGGGCGGCCAGACCAAAACATGGCAGAAATGCATCAAGTCACTGACTAGTGGAATGAGTCATGTTGGTAGATGTAGACTACCTGGTTGGGGTCCGCGAGACGAAAGTCACCGATGGTTAGAGACCTTGAACGACATGGCTCGGGATCGTTTGCAGTGGCGCAAGTGCATCCATTCGTTGAGCTCTCTCAAATGCTAATCTTCTGGATTCGTCAGCACCTCTACCTTTGTCTTTCTAAACTTATTTCACCTAATTATACTTCTTGAATAATACCTTGAATCCCTAGTCTTCTTCATTACCAATAATACCTCTACTATCTTTATCACTATGGGATTTGATTTGACATTTGCGTCTCTGTGCTCATGTGGTATGGCAACATGAACTTATGTACATACGTACGAAGTTCTACGTTGCAACTGACTGACTGCTTAAAGGTAGATGGCTTCTTACATACAAAAAGACGAATTGTAATGTAGGCGAATGTGTTTTGAAAAGGCAGTAGACAATGAGCTGCTTTAACATTGATAAATACTAATTGGAAATGGTTGTCAAACGAGATTGATTGGCAGTCAGTTGAAGAAAGACGTACCAAAGAAGTAAACAAACTTCTCCGCTTGAACATTACTAGTCGAGTTTTAGCTTATGGCGAACTAGCAACCTTAGTTAGCGTTCTACTTTCAACTAACTTTTCAGGACCTCTTACGAGCAGATTCCCTTAGTAATGTGGTATAGGTAGATAGCATAGTTTGATTTGATGACTCTGAAAATGACAGTCCTCTGACTGCTTTAAGCAACAATACAAGCATATATGAGATGCGTTCCACTCTATCTAAATACAAATTTTTTCTTTAGAACTGGTTTCATTTGGCACCTAAACTAATAACAGGGAGTGAAGTAGCTGAGTGTGTCGACAAAATCATTTATTTTGGAAGTTTCATTAGCCTCACTGGGTTGGTAGTAGTGAACCTTTATCGACTTAAACGGTCAGGACGCGTACATGTATACCTAATCGCCAACTACCTCAACGCGCGATGATGGCTGATGTGGGAGTAGGATAGAAGACAGAATCAGGTGGCTAAACCAAAACACAGAATCAGTTCATGAAGACACTGACTAATGAACTGAATTGTGCGGGTAGGTGCAGACTACCTGGTTTGAATTCTCGTGATCATCGTAGTCAGTTGATGAGAGACTCAGAATGATACGGCTCAGAATCTATAGCAATTGTGCAAATGAATTCACCTTTTTGTTTCCCTTTAGGTCTACAGTTCTAAATTCCTCATAATTTTTTTCTCATTATATCACTAGTTTGTGTTTCCTTCTTTAGTTCTATCTCAGATGCTAACTCTATTCTTTTAACATTCAAACTGCTAATACCTCTACTACTCTGAGATTTATCCTGAAAATTTTATTTCGCTATCCTAATGGAAAATATAGCAATGTTAATCGATATACATGTATGAGTGGGACATAGATGGAATTAAAGCATGACTACGTTGCTACGCGCTGATTGGCTAATTTCCTATCCGATCAGCGCCTTATTGATTCTTGAAGAACAGGGTAGAAAATTCTCGTATTGTTAGCTGCATGCTGATTGGCTAAATCTAATCCAGTCGATCACGTGAATTTCTATCCAGAAGCTTCTCATGTAAATGCTATAAGTAAACTAGCGTTGTATCTATTTTTGCCTTCGCCATCGCCATCACCTTTGGCTTCTTATTTCTACTTAGCCTTGCTATTTGGAATATAATCTTTTCCTGTTCAACCGTGTTTTTGATTCTTGGGAACTTGTCTAGTGTATTGTGGTCAGAGAATACTAAGCAATAGGATTTAGCCGGAAATTATCTAAGCAACCGTTACAACAACACGCTTCCTACGTTCGATGTTGCATTTGACCGACTCAATGTGATCCAAATTCATCGATACAGACTTAACAATAAAACTATAACTTGAAAGATTTTCAATAGTTTGAAGGAAAACTCTCTTAATGAATAGTGAATTTAAAAAGGAGTACTCAATAAACTTCCACTTTGAATCGCATAGATATGTATATCTATATGTTGACTTTGTATTTGTTAGGTAGATTACGTTGGTTTCATACTTACTTACGCCTGTTACCCCCAATGGAGCATAGGCCGCCCACCAGTTTTCTCCAACCAACTCTGTCCTGGGCTTCCCTCTCCAGTTCTGTCCAATGTTTGTTCATTCCTCTCATATCTTTCTCTATTTCTCGGCGAAATGTATTCTTTGGCCTTGCTCTTTTCCTTTTGCCTTGAGGGTTCCATGTGAGGGCTTCCACCACTTCTTCCTGATTTCCTCCTCCACTGGAATCTGGTTTGTTCTCTCCCACAGTACGTTGTTGCTGATGGTGTCTGGCCAACGAATCCGAAGTATTTTGCGTAGACAACTGTTAATAAACACTTGTATCTTCTGGATGATGGCTTTGGTAGTTCTCCATGTTTCCGCTCCATACAGTAGAACTGTCTTGACATTTGTGTTGAAAATCCTGATTTTGGTTTCGTTTGAAAGTTGTTTGGAGTTCCAGATATTTTTCATACAGCGAACAGTTAATAAACAAAGCTCAGAACCTTATCTAGTATGGCCTTTATAGAACAGGGTTAAAAAGTAATCAGTAACTTAATCCCAGAGCATTTCAATAACTCAGGGCGTGTGGTCCTACCAGAATCGTCCTGCAAAATAATCTACAACGTCAATTCAAGCTTGAACACTGTGTCCGGACGTAACACACACACACAATCTCTCATTCTTCCATGTTCTTGATACACCTTCCAGTGTATCTTCGTTTTATTCATAATATTACAATGTAATTTCTATTCAGTAACTAATTATTATTACTGTCTTATAATTATCCATACTTATTATTAATGCGTTATTATGACTTTGATGTATTTTATTGTCAAAATCGGCAATTATCTCATTCTTCTATTCTTTACTCTCCTAATCCACTAACTTCCCCTTCAATCAATCATACAATGAGTGAATTAAGTTATGAAACCGGAAAAGAAATTCCATCACTTCAACAGTGATCGATCGATAAACTAACAACTTACTTCCGTTCCTTGTGGTAATTGTAAACGTCCAGGATTTAAACAACCTTTGTTTACATCACGAATAGGAAATAAACATGGTCCATCATTAAGTGATTTGATTGTAAATTCTACAGTAGCTAAATGTGTAACTAATTTTGGTAAGAAATGATGTAAACGATTATATAGTGTGAAGAGTAGACGTTTATCTACATCGAATGAATCAATACTATTTGATGTCGGCTTTGTTGTTGTAATCGAATGATTGGAATAAACATTCAAAGCTGGTAAATGATTAGCATATGGTGAATCTGTGGTTAAGCTAAAATAAAGAGAAAAAAACAAATAAAGACATCATCAACAGCAATGTAGAACTTTGCACATAAGTACAGCAGTTCAAGTTGTCATATCACATTAGCACAGAGATAAAATTGTCAATTCAAATCTAATGGTGGTAGAGGTAGTAAAAGTATTAGAATTAATCGGGGAGATTAGGGTTTGAAGATATTATTCAAGAAGTATGATTCAGTGAGTGTTAGGATATTCACCAAATATCCTAAGAGTACTATTTTTGGAAGTAAAATCCTATTGGTCGATTTCTATTGGTCAAAATTATGGTTGGTTTAACTGTCAAAGTCAAATACTTCAATGTTGTCTCTTATTGGTCATCCGGACTGTCAATGTCATTTCAAATGTTCTTTCCTATTGGTCGTCCTAAACTCTCAATGTCACAGACCTTGATGCTCTTTCCTATTCGACCTAAATGTATAAATACTCACTGTCTGTAAGACTTCATGATTCCGATTCCGTTCCTTTCTCCCTATCTCTCTTCTGTACTCGACCCAATAAACAACTCTATCCAACGGTGTTGCGTTCTGATATATAGGAGATTTGGAAATAGTATTTGGGTCGTACTGAGATATTTGAATTTGGACGCCGCTAGGACTGAATAGCTATAAGTAGCAGCATTATAACAGTGAGGTAAATTTAGAAAGAGGTGATGATTAATTCAGAAGGTTAAAATTTCATAGAACACAAAGTATGAATGCACCTGCACCATTGCAAACGGTTTTGACCCACGTCACTGAGGGTCTCTGACCATCAATTAATATCTTTAACTACCCCTACCAGGTAGTCGACACCTATCGACATGACTTAGTCCACTTATCAGTAACTTCATGGATTTGTGCCATGTATTGGTCTGGCCGCCCCTAGCTTTCGTCTAACCTATTCCTACATTGCAAAATATAGCTCGACGAGGCAGCCGGTAGTTAGGCATACGTAACACACGTCCCAATCACCTCAACTGATGAAGTTTCATTACTTCATCTACTAACCTGCCATCCTTACCTAGAACTTGTTTCCTAACAACAGCATTGCTTAATCGGTTGTCACACGATACAGAAGTCCGTCGCGAGCAGGATATAAAGACAATATAAACTTTAGAACAAGAGAATAGTGGAGAATATTTGTTGCTCATGATGATGATGATGAAGATTTTAGGTGTTCAGTTTTCTGAACTGGATAGTTCAGTTGTGAATTCCTGGACATCATTGTCTAGAAACACATTAGAAACAAATCTTTTCGATGTTGTCTAGAGAGAGAGAGTCAATAAATGATGAAACAATTCATATCAGAGAACATAACATTTGCGAATAAAGCAGAGTAGAATGCTAACCCGGAAATATTATTAATCATTCTTGCGAGTTTCACAGCTTACTTACTACTTATTAAGATTTATAAACAAAGAGTTTTCGCAATTCAAGTTCAAAATTTATTGTATTAACATTGTGCTTCTATATTTTTTTTCTCGTAAATTAAATTTGAAGTCAACGTAGTATATGACAGATACGTTGATTGATTTATGTTAATGCCACATTACATCAAGATGAAATGATCAAGACAAACGCCGGTAGTAGTAGTTGAAAACAGTAGAGATACAAAAAAATATATAATCACACGAAAAAGAATGAATCCCACGAATAAAAAGAAGGGTGAACGATAACCTTGAAACTCAGAATCTAAGGGAAACGCTACCATAGTTGGTAAGTAATTCTACGTTAATTGATAAACTGAACTATCAGTTATCTACAATAACCAATTTAAGTAGATAAACCTAGTTAAACTTAGGCGGATTGACAGACTTATCCATAAGTAATTCATGGTAAAAGGAAGCGTAGCCAAGGAGTAGTAGTAGTAGTAGCCAAAGTAGTATTTTGTAATTTCAACATATGATCCAACTGTTAAATATAAAATGCGTTCTGAGAACGAAACTCCACCGTAATTATCCATCTGAACTAAAAAATTTTCTTCACTATCTCTCAATAGAAAATATAATTTAACGTTACGATGAAACAGCCAACTTCTAATCAGTTTGCTGTGAATTCTAGACTTGCTAACTTCGGAGTTTTTGAAGCTTAAAAATACTGAATACATAATCCTAACGCTGTCAATCAGATAAAACAGGAACATCAGTAACGCCTAGTGTATTGAGTCATCATAATACTATTCATATTTACAGTTAGCACTATATTTGTGGCAAGTTAACATAACTAAGCAATGGTACTAACTAATGTGAGCCTCAAATTAAAAGCTAACAAAAAGTAAGTACATCTGTTTATTAAAGCTAACTTATCGTTCACACAATTAATTATAGTGAAGCCCTTCTAGGATGACTGCCTGTCCGAAGCCCCGGTAAAGGAGGAGGGTTGGGCATGGGCTTAGTGACCCCATCCCGTAGAAATCCAACTCGCTAAAAAATGCTAAACAGAAAAAATAATTCGCTGGTCGGCGGACTCTCAGGGGTAACGAGCGTAAGTAATATATATATATATCTTGGTTAACCAGCAAGCCTGCTGCACATATACGCCGCTGATTTTTAGGCAACATAAGGATTCTCAAGAATACCGGTTGATGATCACCCTTGCCCCATACACATGTTGTCCAAACTGTCCTGTAAGCAAGTCGGATATGCGATCAGTGAACGTATGAACAGTCACCCCATGTAGGTTGCTTATGAATCAACTCGATCCCTCCAATCAGTCCAATACCCACAGTCCCCAATCGACAAGGCGGGTCCGCCCAGCGGGATCTTGAACCTTGCACAGATTACCAATCCACCCAGCAGCCTTTTCAACCGTCTGGCCTTTCACTGCCTTGCGCTGATACAATCGACAGGGCTCTCAAGATCCTACATAAAGCAAAAGGTCGAGTTTATCCCACAAGGTCAGCCAGAACGTACACCCTCCCATGGGGCAATATATATATATATATATATATATATATATTATATAATAAGAACTCACCGGGTCGATATAAGATGTAAAAGTATATATTCCGCTACAATTTCATCACCACTAAACAATGTAGTAAGAATTTTCATTAATTTCATACGAATAGATTGAATATCATTAAGATTCTTACTAACTAAAATTAAATTAAATTCATTAAAAAAACAATTGAATACTGTGTTACTTGACTCCATTGAAATATTATTACATACAAGAGGATTATTATGTGCTAAAGCATGGACTATAATAGCATGTATTCGAGGTAGAGGTTCATTGCATTTCTCTTCCGGTTCATATGAATCTTCCGGTAATGCATCACAAAGACGTGCATGTTCTAATATTCCATAAACTTCAACAATATCATTAATTTTCAGCTGAGTTTGTACTGTGTCATATACCTGGTGATCAGCAAAAAAAAAGCAATACAATTTTATTAAACTATACAGATCTTAGTTATTCAATACAAATTTCAGTCAGTCAGTCAGTCAGATGCAAAATAGAACTTCGTACATAAGTACATCAGTTCATGTCGCCATATCACATCAGCACAGAGATGTAATTGTCAATTCAAATCCAATAGTAGAAGAGTTAGAAGGGTATTAGAAGTAATCGGAGAGGTTAGGATGAGAACATATTATTCAAGAAGTATGATTCAGTGAGAAAAGTTTAGAAAGTCAAAACTAGAGATGTTGAAGAATCCAGAAGATTAGGATTTGAGAGAACACAAAGAATAAATGCACCGGCTCCATTGCAAACGGTTTTGAGCCATGTCATTCAAGGTCTCTAACCATCGATTATTATCATCTCGCGGACCCCAACCAGGTAGTCGACAATTACCGACATGGCTCAGTCCACTCGTCAATGACTTCATGGATTCCTGCCATGTTTTGGTTTGGCCGCCCCTAACTTTCTTCCAACCTACTCCTACACTACAAAACAAAGCTCGTCGAGGCAGTCGGTGGTTGGGCATAAGCAACAGATGTCCCAACCACCTCAACTGATGAAGTGTCACTACTGCGTCTATTGATCTACCATTCTTAACTAGTACTCGTTTCCTAACGACAGCATTGCTCACTCGGGTGTCCCACGATATACAATACAAATTTAACCATTCATAGTATTCTTTTGATAAGAATTGACGACTGCTGTTGTAATGAAATGAAAATTATGTACAGTTTAAGTGCTGTAGATCTCATAAGTAACATCTATTATAAGAGAAAAAAGTTTTACTAGTGACAATATTATCATCTGACAGTAACAAAGGGTTTTATTCAGACAAAACAGCATTTCCAACAAGGTTGCCTTTTAACAATCCGACAAACAGCATAACCATTGTTGTTGGGAAGAGTTCAGTCACCAGCATAGTAAAGAGCTAATATTATTATACTTAAAGTACTATTCACAAAAAGTCAGTGTGATCAGCGCCAGAAAAGTTATACTTTGATCTCTAGGGTCACATTCTTTCATGTCACCAAAAACACTTATTCATTCAGTATCAGTTTTAGGCCTTTTCAAGGATAATCATCTTTTAGAGGTGTCAGTCAGATGTAACGTAGAACTTCGTACGTAAGTACATCAGTTCATTTCGCCATACCACATCAGCACAGAGATGTAATTGTCAATTCAAATCCAATAGTAGAAGAGGTTGTAAGGGTATTAGAAGTAATCGGAGAGATTAGGATTGGAAGATATTATTCAAGAAGTATGATTCAGTGAGATAAGTTTAGAGAGACCAAAGTACAGGTGTTGAAGAATCCAGAAGATTAGGATTTGAGAGAACAAAAAGAATAAATGCACCAGTGTCATTGCGAACGATTTTGAGCCATATCTTTTAGAGCTGTGAGCAACTGCGGAATAACAGCCACTTTACACACCACCACCACCAACAACAACATTCGAGATTATTTTCTTCAAATTCAAACAAGAGATTATTTGACAAATTAAATGATAATGCATGCTGAAACACAATCCATTTAGTGCGTGAACAAGAACAGGTGATGATACTTTTAATGCGTACACTAAAAACGGGTTAGATTTTTGTAGGAGGTTGAACATTTGGACATTGTGATCATTGCTGATGAGACGATGAAAAAAATACACCTATAGCTTGGAGAACAAATTTTCAATATAACGAAAATATTCACAATATAAGCTTACACGTAATAAAGCACCAATTTTCTTCTCATTATTCTCTTCTTCTATTAAAGGGAAATGTTTCCGGAACTTCAATGGATTCGAATCAGTTTCTGTCGCTTAAAAAGAAAAAAAAAGAAGGGAGAATAAACGTAAAAATCGTTTTTTAAAAAAAAATAAAATACCAACCAACCTGTGCATTTTGGCTTCTTGTGTATCATTACATCATCCGTAGATTCATGTAAATGACGTTTATGACCCGATGTTGTTGTAATCAATGAAGTATACTCATTTTCCTTTTCTCTAATGTAATAAGCAATAATAAAGTTAAGAAAAATGACAAAAAAATATATATGCATTACGGGGTTGTGAAGATTGTTAAGTTACACATTTTTGAAACCATGAATCGATCAATGTTAGACCACCATTAGAAACCTGGAAGCACTGGACGGCCGTTTCGTCCTGGTATGGGACTCCTCAGCAGTGCGCATCCACGACTCCTGCACCCCGCAGGATTCGAACCCAGGACCTTCGGTATTGTGCGCGAACGCCCTAACCGATAGACTGAGGAGTCCCATACCAGGACGAAACGGCCGTCCAGTGCTTCCAGGTTTCTAATGGTGGTCTAACATTGATCGGTTCATGGTTTCAAAAAAAAACATCCACAACAAATGAATTTCCAGTTCAAATGAAGTCATTTAGATCAGGAGTGGTTTCTTCTTCTGTTGACGTTAGTAGCTTACTTGAATAACGAAATTCTGTGATATGTGTATTGAGATTTCAGCCAAATTCTATGTGAGAAGGCTAGTGATACTAGCCGGTTGTTTAAACTATATTAAATGCAGTGAACTTAAAAGGTTACATCAAAAACAAGGTTTATTTTATTAAAACAGGCAAATATAATATAATGCTTGATCTAAACTATGTTGGCAGATACAGACAATGCACATGGGGTTTGTGTTATTGTCCTCACCAACTGTTGGAGACATTCTAGGATATTGCTCAGATCATATCGTTGTTGTATCTCGTTTGATTTTGACTTTGTAAACTATTTGATACATTTTATGATACGAATTCATTCTCTTTTTTGTCATTAATTCTCTTATCATCATGATTATTTGGGTTTGATCTTGCTACGTTGATATGATCTGGCGACTTGAAGCAATGCACATTTGTGTTTCAAGTTCTATTTAGCTTATAACAGATTGGTAAATATAACTTCTATTTGAAACCATGAATCGATCAATGTTAGACCACCATTAGAAAACTGGAAGCACTGGACGGCCGTTTCGTCTTGGTTTGGGACTCATCAGCAGTGCGCAAATAAAACTTAACAATCTTCACAACAACCCTGCAATCCAAATATAATTTCGTTGAATTAAATACAATATAAATGAAGCATAAAATAAAATCGATTTATTCTTCTTATTCGCACAGTGAAATGAGAATTCACATACGTAGATCAAGAAAAGTTATAAATATCAATACAAAAAGGATATTTCTTTGACCCAGTGAGACTCTCCTGGTACTGGCACTATGTAGAATGACTGACGTTCAGAAAATTTGACATCAACTACAGCTACATCTTCATTATTCTGTGAAATAAAATAGTTTAAACAAAAATACAAACACGGTATGAATGTTTAATTAGTAAAAGAAGCGTTGACTATTGGTGTTGTATTTTATAGGAATATAACAAGATTATCAGTGTATCAATCTATTATTTTATATTTTTAAGCATATAAACACTGCTAAATAGGTGTACTGAAATATTTATGTGAAAAAAAAATCATTGAATGTGTGAAAGGCCCGGGATACTATCCATGTGATCAGATTGAAGCAGACAGTTTTGTTAAAGACCAATCGTCAGAACTTTGACCTCTGAAATGCAGTGGAGCAACATTAGGAGACTGGGTCCCATGGTAGCAGGTGACCAACAAAAAGTTCATACGTCACTTGTTCCTTAAGGATCGTGGAGTCCATGTTCACCATTGGTTTGAGATCGGGGTTTTCCAACTCTTCTACGTGGACTTCCGTACCTACCAACCGAGTTTAAAATCTGAACATTTGCTTTTCATGCTCTCAAGTTCGTAGACAATACCGCTCCCCTCACGAAAAGGCCATGAGTAGGACCTTGCTGACAGTGTACTGAAGCACCTAGTGAAACTAAATATTTGATTTTCATCAGTTCGTACTATTATTGTAATGAGATTACTGAATAGGCATTTATCTACACTAACTATGCTACAATCTATACTAATAACAAAATACAAATCATCACAAAAGTTTAATACGGCCTTTCTTCGGGGTACTGGAAAGCTGAACGAACTCGAGATAGCCGTCAACAATAAGTTCGAAATCTTTCATGATCTACTACGCGATGAAGAGGAAACGACCATGGAGAACAAATGGAAAGGGATCGAGAAAGCAATAACGCCAACATATCATGCAGTTATAGATCACAAGAAGCACCATTACAAGGAATGGATCTCTTTGGATGCTCTGAATACGGTTCAAGAAAGGAAGAACAAGAAGGCAGTAATCAATATCAACCGTAAAAGAGCAGGGAAAGTTAAGGCATAAGCTAAATACACAGAAGCAAACAGGCAAGTGAAGAATAATGTTGAAAACGATAAGCGGAACTATGTGGAAAAATTAAAAATGATAGCAGAAAAAGCTGTAAGAGAAGCAAACCTGAGATAACTGTATGATACAGCTAAGAATCTAGCTTGAAAACATCATGAACCGAAGCGATCAGTGAAAAACAAGGAAGGAAAAGTAATCAGTGACAATGAAGAATGGCGATACACGTGGGAAAAGCTCTTTGAAAAACTGTTAAAATCGACCAGTCCCACTGAACCCACCCAATACCAAAGCAGCACTTATGGACGTCTCAATCGAAGTTGACCCACCAACAATTCAAGAGATCAGTATGGCTATCAGAAAAATCGAGAGCGGCAAATCAGAAGGACCAGAAAACATACCAGCTGAGGCACGGAAAGAGAGCATAGCAGTAACTGCAAAGATGTTCCGCGCTCTGCTCAGCAAGGATTGGGAGGAGGAGCAAGTACTAGCTGACTGGAAAGAAGGATAGATCATCAAGATAATAGGGCAAAGAGGTTTCAACAAGTGCGTAAACTACGGAAGAATCTCTAAACTCTGAATATCAGGAAAGATTTTTAGCTAAACTAAATGAAAGATTCGGTAGACACCCAACTTCGAAATCACCACGCTACAGTCCATAAGGATCGTTCGTGTACCGACTAAATTGTGACCTTCTGTTAATTGTGAAACAATTAATAAAATGGAGAACACCAACCCACACAAACCTCCTTGACAACGAATAGACATTTGATAGAGCGGACATGATGACGTACATAAGATAGTTAACATCATACGGAATTCTTAAGATGGATTAAAATATAAGATTGTAAGTGACAGCTAACAGATTAGTTTCAAGTGACAAGGATGTTTACTGTAACTTTTTTTCTCCTGGTGGTTAGCTGGATTATGAATATGTCGACATCTCAGTAAAAGCACATGATACTGTGGACAGCCTGGATTCAGCTAGACGATTTAAACTTTATAGATCACCTAGCTCTTCTATTCCACAAACAGCAACAAATGCAGGAGAAGACGGTTAGTGCAGTAGAAGCCCCATGCAGCAGGACTCAACATAAGGAAAAAAGTAAGATCCTCTGGTACAAAATAACATGCGCAGACCAAATCACAAATAATGGAGAAGCTTTGAAGATTTTTGCATAACTGGACAGCATCATTTGTAAGTAGGATGGATCTGATGCAGATGTAAAAACAAGGATTAGGAAAACAAGTGCAGCATATCTACAATTGAAGAACATCCGGAACCCAAAACCTTAAAGGTAAGTCCTATACTTGACAGTGCAGTGCACAAGTAAATACGTCATCTGCTATCTCACCTTACTGTAGGTGACTGCAAAAATAAGTTTGCTTTAAAGATACGACGAACATACGCAAGCATAAATTTTAAAGGAAAAATAGTAAGTGCTAAAAAGTAGTCACCAGTCAGTAATGAACGAGGCTATTGTGCCATCCAGGACAGTCAGTAAAGAGCGAACACAAAACAAACAAGGCAAAGTAAGAATCACGTAAGAAATACAGAGATGGATAAAAGTGTTTCCTTTGTGTTTAGCTATTGATATCAGAAGACACTAAGTTTAAGAAATAGTTTCATAGAATTTCAAGTGATCATTCGAAAACAGCATATTAGGTAGGGACGATAGAATTTGAATAAAAAGAATCGGGGTATTTTAAACACGGACCTTTATAAATACCAAGTGACGTACAGTCTTACATTTGAAACCTACTTCAAGACAGCTGAAATCCCGATATCTAAGAGACCTGATAGTACTATCGTTTGTTGATAGGCGAAATGAGTCCATATACAACTCTGCATTGAACATATCCTGAACCATTCCAACAATGCGCACCAAATGTCCATCGGGGATTTGTTCCAATGACGTGTTCCCAAATAGTGGGACCTAGGAAGATAAAGTTAAGAAAACACTCAACAAACCTTTAGGTGATGATTTTGCAAAACCTTTTGTATCTCGGTTACAAAATCTGACTTATTACTCCCTTCAAGACTACCTTATTCAAAACCAAACAATACAATTAATAGTATTAGTTACATACCATAAACCTGATCAAAAACTAATAGCGGACTCGTTACGTACGCCATATAATCCATGATTCACTCGTGTCAATAAATATGGTTCTATTTATTTTTAAATCCGGAACTATTAAAGTCCGGTTCCAGATGTCAGTACCGCAATGTTTTGCAGTGTAATCGTTTGACAGTTGTGGTATGTTCAGTACAATTTGAGATGATAGTAGAAAATCTGTGATAAGATAAAAGGTAAAAAGACGGTGACAGTAGAATAGGAAACACATCAAAAATTTAAAATATGCTAAACCTTTAGGTAAAATTATAAACATCAGTCATTATACATGTAACCAGAAGAATAAGGCATTAAATTTGTATTTGATGTATAACACGTGTTATCGACGTGCATTGAATGGATGAAAAATCCCAAGTCCACAGGATCAAACGTTATTCAAATGGTTTACACAACGGGATAAGACGGAGTTTTAACCAAAGGTATATCTTTTAAAATTAAATTCCGCGGTCCTGGTACAAAAGGAGAACCTTATTTACAAATCAGTCTCGTACATCATCGAGAAATCGTCCTTATTCCTTCAAAACATCTATCTTTGGTCGCCCTGTGAGAGAAAGAGGATAAATTCGCACTAGCAACGTCATACACTGAGATTTAAACACTTACAAGCGAAACAATTATATTACGCGCAAGAAAGCAACTTTTGACCTTCGTCTCTCATGAAGGTCGACTGTTGTAAGAACATTCAATCGAAAACTCACTATTACTGACTAGTCTTAAATATCATCTACATGTGTTTCCTTGGATTCACCAGAACATTTTAAATTTGAAAATATGTCTCGTGAACATATTAGTGTCTCTAGACGGTTTTGCGCGATAATGCAAGAAGAAATGACGGTCACTAATGCTTACTTTTTAGGTTTGTTCGATCTCTCATATTACTCTGAAGTGAATGGGACTTCAATATCTCTTCGATGATACAAACCATATCTTGCATCATTTGTTTACTTTCTTTGTCCAGGCAAGCAATACAGGGCGACTACGTCCGCAATTTATACAACAAATTGATTTTTACATATTCTCACTCCTGTATACAGCTTTAGCGTATATCTAATTCCTTCGCTTGTTGAGCGGTCAAGCAAATCGGGTGAATTTCACCAGTTGATAATGCTCTTATATACCTACCATGCAGTGGTCAGCCAAAGGTACTACGAAGAGCTTCCTTGTGTTTAGCCTTACTGATTATGATCTCATATTCCATATTGTGAACATCGGTGATTTATATGTGAACTTTCTTCACCGTTTTGAGAACATTTACTAATCCAGACGCTTCTTCTGTTTAAATAGCTATATCACAGATAACTTACACCATCTTTAATGATTATATCAATTACTTACGGATACGTACAGCAACACCAAGCACAGACTGAAAACTATGATGCCATCATCTTAATTGTGACGACCTCATTATATGTTCCTTCTGCTTTACGAGGGTTTTTACATAGTCCATTGTTACTGCGACACTACAGTACCTAGAGAATGCTGTGGGTTCTTGCTGAGCCACCCCTGCGGCTTACAAGAAATTGGGGCAGCCTTTGATAAAGAGCAGTGGGATGAATACTTCGCAATCCTCGGAATGTGGAATATCTCCGCAAAAATATGCCGCCTTTTCAAAGGCCAGAAAATCTCGAAAAAGAAACTCCCCGAGCGACGGTGACTATGGACGCGGCACAACTTGCTGAAGATATCCCCCTCTCATATGAGGAACTGCCGTTTAAATTATCCTCTCCAAACCACATCACGCACAGTAAATCGTGGTCTGCACGTGCGGACGCCAGGACAACACTAGGCATCCATGAGCAGACCAGCATGGTGGTTCGTAGCGTGCTGAAACTGGATGGTGGCAGCTTGAATTAATCTCACGTGCATGGTACGCAACAGTAGCGGTGGCCATGAAATAGCCTTGGCCTTCAAACCACGATGATAATTCACATTTCTGAGCTGCCTCCCTAGTCACATCTCGCGTCCATTTGGTGACCTCGTCTGATGGCTATGAAATTGAGAAACCGGGACCATTTGACTGAGGCACTTGTTGCTGAAGACGACTTTGCGCAGCCACTGGAGGCTTACGGCTTTCTGTGCATGTACGCAGTGCCACACCTGGAAATAAAATATCATGGGTTAGGCGCGACACTGAACGCTTGGTACAGGCGAAACGAAGAGCCTAGCACAAGTGAAAGATTCCGATTGTAGTTCTTACTTGGCTTTGAGAATCAGAGGTAATTCCAACGGTGAAAGTGATAGGAGACTATTTCATATGAAGCTAGCTGCTAAAATAAAGGCGAACCCTAGGCATCTGTTTACGTTCATGGCTGAAAGAAAACCTACGAACCAGGGTTTTTGTTCTCTCAAAGGTTCGAATAGGGAAGGCCGCACCAACCTAGGGATGACTGAGATCTTCAACACAAACATTACAGATCAGTTGAACATATTGAGCACACCAAACCATAACACCATAACACTCTCCTCGATGCAATCCTCGAACAATTGTGCATCATAGAGCGAATACTCAGGTTCGTGGACACTTTTTCTCATTGAGAGTCGCTGCAACTCAGTGGATAGCTTTAGGAAGAGACTTGATAACCACGTACTCACATAGGGATTATAGTCTCCTTCGTCTACAAGCTGTACCTAGTGCATGTTTATTGGTGATCGAGTCGAAAGTGACTATGACCACCGCCAAATACTAATTACGAACCCGTAACCCAGAAGATAAATAAATCCATGGTAAAGAATATATTTGCTGGCGATTGAGTGGTGTCGAAAGAATACCGAAGTCAAAGCAGATACGTAGGCGAACTTACAGAGCCGATAGAGCAAGGCATTTCAACAACAGAAACAGAGATTTTGAGCGTAAAAAGTGTTATAAACAAAAAGTACAGTTTGACAGTCACTGATACAACTGGTCACAATAACCAATGTTTCTTTTAAAAGGATTGCGTTCATTCATTTTAAAATTGGATTTAGTAAACACTGTAATTGGATTTTCTATCGTGGCAGTTCAGTTCGATTCCAATAGACGTATGTCGGACGCACTTCCCAATTTTGAATATAAAAACACAATAATTCTAGGGGAAAATGGTCTATTAATAGATAATAAATGGAAATACAAACAATACCTAATGAAATTTACGCCTTCCAATTCAAAATTACTCTGAACGAGTATCAATGTTCCGAGGTCTAGGTGAACTCCTATACTGCACGATATCGAATCCAAAAATGTGGCGGTAGCCATATTATATCAAATTTAAACAACATATGTACAGTTCAGAAGCAAACATAAAAACTTCAATATAAGTACAAAATATAGAAATAATAACAATATACAATGATAAAATCTCAAATTGGAATTAAATAAAATACCATAAATGTCAACAGAAAAGGTCCGTCATGTCATAACAAAAATATGTAAACATGGAGGGATTTTCCAAAACACAAAACATTCAAAAAGGATTCTACACACACGTCTTGAGACTTGAACGAACAGGTTAGAAATCTGGGTAAGACCAACGTTTTCTAAACCTTTACTGCCGGGTTCCATGTGATTTATTGATTGAAAGACATCGACGGGTCTCAGCCCAAGGTATTTAGCGATAATAGTATGATTACAAATTTAAGTAGTTATTTAAAAATCCCGCAATTGTTTTTATCACATGATCAAAATAGCCGGTAGGTATTTACATGTACGATCTATAAAAAAAGATAAATTTTTGGCAGTAAGGGCCCTTAGTGATTTGACCTGACTAGCAGAAATGTTTTTCGTTCGATATAAATGATCCTTCAGTCTCTCATTGTGCGCATTGTTTTAGCCCTATTTGATACTGTCTACTATAAAAGGACCTTAAAACGTCAGGAAGTACTTACATATGTTGTATCATCACTTTTTTACTGTAAATGATTTAAACTAAGATAGGTTATTAATTTCATGAACCCAGTGTGTAAAACATGCTGTGTTATCGACAAAGAGCTTACTTTAAATAATTATAGGGTTGAATCTAAGATTCACTTTGAAGAACATTTAGTTTTATAGGTCAGATTTCGGTTTAATTTCGACCCAAAATTTAGTTTTTAATGCACATCTTTGTTTCAAATCATTCACTCTATATTGTAACTTTGAAGACACCAATTGAAAAATCAAAACTCATTCAGTAAAAATAAGAATTCACTATTAGTAACTACATAGAGGTTTGTCTGAAATCCCGTCAGTATTGTAATAATAAACGCTTTTAAGGTTTTCTCATGTTCACCTAATGAATACGAGATCGAAATACTTATGACTGTTCTTCTTATTCTTCTTCTACATAAATGCATTGTTTGCTCTTAAACAATGCCTCACTGCACTTCACTTATGTCTGTTACCCCCAATGGAGCATAGGCAGCCCACTAGTTTTCTCCAACCAACTCTGTCCTGGGCTTCCCTTTCCAGTTCTGTCCAACTTTTGTTCATTCCTCTCATATCTTTCTCTATTTCTCGGCGTTAGACAATGTCTAAACTGAAAATATCATGTTATGTAGGTGTGTGTCTAACAACTCACCAAAACTGTTCTGCTGTTTCGTTTTCGCTAAAAGAAATCTTTTGCTAAATCTTAATCTATCACTAAAAAGATGGAGAATATACACTGAACGGAAAACAAGAAGATTATCAGTTTATCTAAGCATAACGTGGAAAAAAAAACCAATAGCCTTTATTTTTCACCTAGATAATGTAATACTTCATGGTGAAAATACATTAGTTACTGTGTTCTCTCATAAAAAGTTCGTGCAGTTAATTACAATAAAAAGAAAGTAGAATATAATTTTTTTTTCTTAAAAAAAAAAGAAGCATTCGTGTTCCATGGGTTGGCGCCTAAAAATAGCGAAACGCACAACTTTATTATATATATATATATCAACAGCAAAAAAACAGGATGAAGTTCATATAAACAATAGTTTTGCCGCAATAATTGAATTCCGAAAAAAAAGAAAAAAAATGGACCATATTAGAATTATTTTGAATAAATTAGCAAACAAAAAAGGAAAAAAAAACTGAGAGAAGGCTGAATAATAATTAAAACAAATAAAGAAACACTTTTCAATTTATTATTAGACGTGATAAATGCGGAAGAAATAAATATATATATATATATATATATATATAAGAATTACATGGTTGAGAATGAAACATAGGCGTTAGGCTTTCCAAAGAATTCCAACATGTGAGCAATCAGTATCATCCTGAAGACACTTACTTCACCACCACTACCACGACAACGACGTCAAAATACAATGGAAGTTGGAAAGTGAGTTTTTTTTCAACTCAAACCCACTGGAAAACGATCTCGTCTACCACCAGCAACACTATCAATACATCGAGAGTTAGAAAAAAAACAGGACAAACTAAGCGCAACACAGCTGACATTATGGTGCACAATCAATACAAAAGACTGTTACGATATTATTACAGGGAGAATATTGGTTTGTTTATTTTCAGATGAAGTGTAATTGAAGTGATAAGAAGTAGTAAATAAAGAAAAAAAAAGAATGAGATCGCTAGAAGCGCAAAGCATTTTTTAGTTTGATAAATAAACTACTACTTGGTTTATACTGAATGGAAAATATATTTACAAGCAACAAAATGTTCTGAATTTTGTTTTTTCAATCAAAAAATTCACTGACGGCTTTTTTTTCTGTGCTAGTGATACAGACAGACGTAGGTTTCTTTTTTTTTGATCAGCGTACAGTTGGACGTATTTGTTTATTACAATGATTGAAGTTTGATTTTACACGTGGATGCCATATGAATTTATGACCAGAATGAACACGCATTTTAATGCTAGCACCTTCTGCAACATGTAATGCTTCAATGACAGATTGCATTAAATTCTGTGCATTCCCGACTAATGATTCAGTGTTCTCTTGATCTTCTGTAGATTCTATTAAATGTGAAAAAAGGAAAATATACTTTGATCAGTAAGTGTAAGTTGATAAGGTGTAAAGGTGTAATAATGATTGAGATATCGGTGCATGACCAATCATCAATATCAGCATTAAAAATGTGACGAAAAATAGATGCAAAGCTTTAAGCAAGCAAATGTGTTTAATGCACAACATTGTTTATTATTTTTATATGGTGAATAAGATATGGAAGCGTAGGTGAGATGAATACTTTACTCAATCTGAGTGTGCGGGCTACTAGTATAATTCGATTACTTGAACTAAAGTAGATCATGCGGTGTTTAGTTATGCGGATTGGTAACCGAAGTTCGAACCTCTTAATAGTTTGTTGTAATGGCTTGCTTAAATAATTCCCAGCTAATTCCTATTGCTTAGTATTCGCTGACCACACAATACACTGGACAAGTTCCCAAGAATCAAAAACACGGTTGAACAGGAAAAGATTATATTCCAAATAGCAAGGTTGAATGGAAATAAGAAGCCAAAGGTGATGACGAAGGCGAAGATACAACGTTATAGCATTTACATGAAAAGCTTCTGGATAGAAATTCACGTGATCAACTCGATTAGAGTTAAACAATCAGCACGCAGCTAACAGTACGAGAATCTTCTACCCTGTTCTCCAAGATTCGATCAGGCGCTGATTGGATAGGAAATTAGCCAATCAGCGTGCAGCAACGTAGTCATGCTTTAATTCCATCTATGTCCTACTAACATAGTTGGAATAGGGTAGATGAAATTTGGTTAACAGTGGAATCCAGAACACACGTTTCATTCAATTTGGCACTAATCATCACCATCATATTATCCAATTAACTACTGAAGCATACCGTAATGGGTTCCCATCCAGGAGTATTCATCGATTCTGGGATGCAGTTACATCCACAGTTGACCAGTTCTAAATAGGATGAGACGTGAGTTCTGCATTCCTATATCAACTTGTGTCAACATGGTTGGTTATGTTGAGGCAATGATATCACGAATGCCTATCTATCAAATATAAGCTTTAATAATTGTATGTACCAGAGTAAAACATGATTATAGTTGAATTTATTTGGATAGAAGATTGATATTTAAACATGATTTACTGTTAGCAATTGACAAAAATTATAGTAAACAATGACCAATGTAAACTCGTCTATCTTTTATGTAAGCATCATTAGGCAAAATTCGGAGATTGTGTCTCAGGTGTCTGAAGAATGAATAGCTGAACTAATGCTTCGTTCGACACAATGATAGTTTATACACAACATTATCAGATACTTTTCTTGAGGAAAACGAAGTGTGCAAAGATTTTTCAGTTTTTGAGAGTGAAATATTTTTCAACAAAAAAGTAGACATCCAACTATTTTATCAAAGAAAAAAAACAAAGTTTATTTAGCTACAAAAATCAAAGCGCTTGAAATCAACATTTAATTAATTAAAGCAGGTCAAAAAAAGAATAATTTGTTTTGACTACACAAAAGCGAATTGAAAATAATTTCTGTTTTTCACACATTTCATGTTGTAGAAAAACACAAGGTTTAATAATAACAAGACCGATTAATAAACTTTAGTAATCTACTCTACAAAAGGTCGATAGATAAATTCACAGGATTGAATTAGAGTAACAACTACATACACTGATCATTCATTCATGAAACACAGTTGATGCCGCTCTACGCATGTAATCATTCATACTGAATGCATAGATTTTGATTTAAAAAAAAAATTAGCCACATAGTTTTCTTCTTATTACAAAAAAGTAACACATTTTGACAAAACAAACAGTAAAAATTTGCATGTGTAGCATAAAACTTTGTACATGATTAGGCAGGTGAAACCGTTGTATTAACAGGTAATTTTAAGTAAATTAGGATGCTTGATTTCCATCATTAACAAGGCTTATTTGCAATATTGAACAACCACCTGGTGTTACAGTCAAAGATGTTGCTCTACTGAGTAAAAATCATATTAAAACTTATCTTCTCTATTAACAAAGATATTTACAATTGAATGAATGATCACTAACTAACAATAAACTTTGTCGTTGTTTCGTTTCACTTATGCCTAAAATTGAATCTTACTGATCCCTTAGATAAATGTAAAAAAGCATGCGTCAACATTTCTTACGCTTTAGTTGTAGTGTATTTTTATAACATTAATTTCATTTGGAACATGTTCGTTCCATGGCCAAAATTTTGATCATTGTGCACACGATACGGATTACAAAATTATCTCATAGGTAATTATTATCAGTCATACCATACATATACTTTGATTAAAACTTTTCAAATGACACCCGACCGTAGCTGCTACCTTGACATGGTGGTCGGGCTTGCCTATAGTGATGACCCAACCGAGCTACACTGGCTGGAACATATGTTCCTGAAGGTTCTACCATGCCAGGCAGGTCAATTGGAGTTCCATGAGACTAAAAGCAACTACTCAAAGTCTGAGAGCGAAGTCGTACTGCTGACTGCAGAGGGGTGTGACAGCAGTAAGGTGTTTCCCTCGGACAACCAGCATCTGCAGCGATGCCGCCTTCTCACAAGGAAGGAAGGGTTAGAAAAGGTCAACCCTAAAATTGTCACACCTCACCCTAACTCACGGATTTCCGTCTCCGGCGGTAAGGGCTTTCAAGAGCGGAGCAAACACTCAAAAAAAGGCCGTGCGTGACCGGCCTCAAGCAGTTGTCCCATGGGCTCTGCGGTCACGCACCCAGGTCTCCAAGACCAACACTAATCTATCTTCCTTTTCAGGTCCCTCCAGAAACAACCTCCCATGCTGTGGGCAACCGGGAAGTGACAACCGCCCTCATACCCGTACTAGCACACGAGACCAAATTGGTCAAAATCAAGTCCTTGCTACACCCACACATACCTCTCTTATCTCCACGACTAACTCTTCTCACATTCCTTTATCACACTGTACAGCTAATGCAAACAATGCGAGTTAGGGGCATGGCAACCTGAACTGATGTACGTACGTACGTACGAAGTTCTAAGTTGTATCTGTCTGTCTGTCTATCTTTCAAATGACAATAATAAGGCAAATCATATAGATTAAAACAACACAACAGTGTAAAAATTCAATCAAACAATACAATTGGTTGTTTCGAGTGAGAGAAAAAAAAAAGAAAGAGTACTGGCAAAGCAAAATGTTCCAATTTTAAAATGCATGTTCAGTTAACAACTCCTTACACTATACTATCACAATCAGTTAATAAAGCATGCATGCATGCATGCATGAAAAACAAAAGCATTCAATCGATATATATATATATTGATATAGACATATTGATATGTGTATTACCGCAATCAAGTTCCGATTGTAGTGGTGCTTCGAACCAGGAATCATCTTTAAGTGTATATATATATATATGTACAGAAGAATTGAAAATGATTATTAGAACTTTAACATGTATAACATGTAATGAAACGAAAAAAAATAGACTAGATTTTTTAGTGACATTCAATTAACATTGATTGATAAAATTAACCAAGGTAAGTTATATTTATCAGTATTCTGACTGATTTACTCATGAACTATTGAGTACAAATGAATGCATTTATGTTTTAGTTATAATCCAGTTACATAATGGTGATTGATAATATTCAACTAACCAAACTAAAATTAATATGAAGTTAGGATCGAATCGACCGTCTGTGAATGAAAAGTGGCGTGTCACTCCATTTCACTCTCAATCATTCGAATGATGCATATGATATAGAATAGTGTGGTGAAATGATGAACAGGAGACTTTAATTTCAGATGGAATAGTAGTATATTTAGAAGTAGTATATACTTCTTGTGATCTTCAAAACACTTTGATCATATCATATGTTTGGATTCGATACTCTTTTCTTCCGTAGCAACTTCTAGGTGACACTCTACTGCATAACAATTAGAAGACACGTTGTAAGTGGTAATTATCACTAATGTTGTAAACTCAACTTAACAATCAAGAGCTTAATTTACTTTAATACTTATAGTGTAAGGATTGAAAGTCACGACAATTCATAATATGTAAGTGTCGGATCAAAGTATTTTGAAGATTAGAAGAATTTTGAAAGAAGACAGTCTGTAATCTGCTTGTCTTGGCAAACGGAAATCTGAAGATAAGGTGCACGTTTACTTTTTTTCTAAATAAATTATGTCTTCCTTAAATATACTACTACCCCATCTGATCTTGGCATTTACATTCACTATACTAGTAACAGTAGATATACATTATTTTGAGAAAATAGTTCAGATTTACTATTAAAAAAAAAAGATGTTTAACATGTGAAGAATTGGTTTATAAATATAATTTCTCCTGTTATACATAAAAGTTTAAAAAAAAAATCATCAGGATAACGCAAGTGTGTTACACGAAAAATATCAGAGGTACGTTGTTTCATGATGATCACCTCACTCCTTCCACAAAAAAAAACATTTAACGTACATGGTTAGAGATCTAACAAACGATCACATGAGAGTGTTAAAAATAATTTGTAAATTTTTTCAACAGTTAAGAACTTATCATTTAAGTGACGTAACATCTAATTACAACATTTCCATAATGATTAGAGTAGGAATGAAAATCAGGGAACAATGAATAGCTATTTCGTTATAGTGTAAAATTCATTTGAGTGTTGCTTATTGTGATCGATTGACCACAAATATAACTTATTCATTGAACTTATTTCAACAGTGACTACTATCACATTAGCTGATATTAGTAATTTTCATGAGATTAGTTTACTTATCTTTTAATAACACAAGAGAGTTTGACAGTTTACAATAAGGGGAGCATAGTCAATCTACCGATTGACTGAATTGTCATTTTTTGAAATGTGTTTTCAAATGAGAAATTGTCTATTCCTCATATTTTCTTAGTTAATTTTAAAGCTTAGCCATACTTAACGAATGGATAACGTAATCAATAGCATTTGCACGATCAAACTACGTCACTTATGGCGTAAAGGAGATATCCGTTAGCTAACCAAAGGCGATCCGCTTCATTCTACACTATGGATGTGAAACAAGGTCACTAAGAGTACAGGATATTCGAAGGTTACTAGTTTTGGACCAAAGCTGTCTTTGATGCATTGCTCATTTATCCTAAGACTACCATGTAAGCCATGCTGTTGTTAGGAAACAGGCAGTTGGTACGAATGGCAGACCGATACATGAAGTAGTGAATCATCATCAGTTGATATGGTTTGGACATGTGTTATGTATGCCCAATCACAAACTGTCTCGACGAGTGACGTTTTGTGGTGTAAGAGAAAGTTAGAAGGAAGCTAGTGGCGGCTAAACCAAAACATGGCACAAATCCATGAATTCACTAACAACTGAACTGAGATATGTTGGTCGGTGTCGACTACCTGGTTGGGGCCCGCGAGATTATAGTAACCGACGGTTGGAGACCTTGAATGACATGGCTAAAAATCATTTGTAATGGTGCAGGTGAATCTATTCTTTGTCTTCGCTCGAATTCTAATCTTCTAAATTCCTTATGACAGTTTCTTTTCTCTTCTTTAAATTTATTTCACTGGATTATACTTCTTGAATAATTTCTTTAAACCCTAATCTTGCTGATTACTGCTCACACTTCTACCACATCTACCGATATAGGATGTCAATTGACAATTCGACGTCTGTGTGTTAGGATATTCATCCAATATCCTAAGAGAATAATTGGTCAATTCCTATTGGTTAATTCCTACTGGTCAATTTTATGGTCATCCTAGATATCACTGTCACGTGCTTCAATGTTGTTTCTTATTGGTTGTCCTGACTATCATTGTCACTTCAAATGTTACTTCCTATTGGTCTTCTTAACTGTCAATGTCACAGACTTCGATGCTGTTTCCTATTCGACCTAAATGTATAAATACGCATTATCTGTAACGTTTTATGACCAGGACCCGGCCCCTGTCCCGGATCCCGATTCTCTTCTGGAATCGGACTTCGTGCTTTCTGGATGCTTGTAGAATACAGGTTCTACTTTATATCAAGTCTTGTCTTTTTTTACTAAATATGGGGGTCGGGATAATCGTGTTTGAGTAGCATGTCGTGTCACCGGATCCTTGATCCTCACTCTCGTTTACTGACTAGGGTAAACTCGTAATAGTTCAAGCATATCAAGTTGACGTGTTTACGTGCAGGTATAACACTGTGTACTAATGTGGTATGGCAACTTGAACTTGTGTACGTACTTATGTACGAAGTTCTACGTTATAACTAACTGATCGACTGATTGGTTCGTTTGATCTTTTCATTCTTTCATCTTTATATGATTGACTGTTTTGTTGGCAGTTTCAACTCATCGACTTTAAACTGATAGTCTCAAGTAGTATAATAGCTATTATTATTATTATTTGTTATCAGATGTCTGAAGAAGTGAAAACAAGAATCTTGAATTTATTCTAACTAAAAAAGTGTATTGTTCAGTTGGATCTGACAATGTCTGTGTAAACTGAAATACTACAAGCTAGTCAATAACACGTAATGCATCACTGTCGAGTGTAACAATTTAAATTAGACTATTTTCAGGGGAAATTTCGATAATATCATTCCTATGCTGATATTCTCTCTCCACATTGATGTATGTGCTTGTGTGTGTGTGCGTATATATTGACGGTACACTAGGCATAGTGTATCATCAATGTTCTGTAAAATTTTTTTAAATTTTAAACTAGTTAACATTCAGTTTGTAGTTTAAAATGTACCCTAGATGACAATTGGAAACAATGTAATATTTTTTACAAAGATTTCAAAAAAAAATGTCACATTAAGAAAGAAAAACAAACCGAAACTCTTTTAAAAAATGAAGTTTAACATGATTGAAAAATTAGGAGGAGGTTCTGCATTAGTTTGTCTACAATGTTGATTCATTCATCAAAGGGAACTTTTCGATATATATATATATATATATATATATATATATATATATATATATATAGAACTACGATAACCAAAACCTGTTCGAATTTGTTGGGGATATTAGATACCCAGAACTGGCTTGATAAATGCCTTATTTTGGATTTCACATTTGCCAGCATAGGCTGTGATCAGTTGGCCTTGAGATTTCATTTCCCACCAGGAAAATTGTGATTGACTGCTGTGTATTTTAGTGTGCTATATTCGTAAATGTCCCAAGGATGTTTCTATGATGTATAAATAAACGAGAGTTGTGTGCTTGATTGTATTGTGTGATTGCTGGGTGTTTGTAGAATATACTTTCTACGCTTATCAAGACTTCTGTTTTACAGCTTGGGATTCAAGGTAGCCTACCTGGACGCTGGTAATTGTCTCGTTCGCGTTTATCGACTAAGGTGAACTCGTAATAGCTTCAAGCGTAACCTAGTGATGAACATAACAGAATTCGATGCTGAGTATTTAAAGGCTACAATTTGATGAAGTGGTAGTTTGTAGTTTTATCGCATTGGATATATAAATTTACAGTATATTAATTAGCCAAGTTATATTTTATCAGCTCCAATCAGCCATATATATATACGATGTGAAACCTGAGAAATATTGTGCATCGGTTTAAATAATTCAGTAAAGTGAGCGAAATCTTTTTCAAGACAGTTACCATAGTAGTGGTAGTAGTAGTCACGCAAACTCTTTAAATCTACTGGCAACATTTACATTTAGAAGAAGAAGAGAAAAACCGCCACCTACCTTGTGTTCCTCCTAGCATAGTTGCTTTAACAGTAGATAAAATTTTCAACTGGTTTCCAATAGTGAGAATACGATCACTTAAATGTAATAGATTCTAAAACAGTTAATTTTTTTTTGTGAAAAAAGAAACAAGGATAATAAAAAGAATCAATCAATATTATTCATTGAATGGTCACAGGTTTTTCTTGTATGTTTAAATGAGACAAAGTTGAGCGAAATTTAAAACACAAAAAATTCAATTGAGTTGACTGACTCAACCATTGGTCGAGGATCCGGTGACACGACATGCTACTCTAATCGGAGTGTCTCAACCCCCGTTGAATGAAAGAAGAATACTTGATATGAATTAGAACCTGTATTCTACAAGCATCCAGAAAGTACGAGGTCCGAGATTAGAAGAATGCAAGGATCCCGGACTGAGTATATGGGTCTGGGTCCGGATCATAAGACGTTACAGATAATGTGTATTTATAACAGTTAGGTTCAATAAGAAACAACATAGACGTATGTGACATTGACAGCTAAGGCGACCAATAGGAATAAACATTTGAAGCGACAGTGATAGTCAGGACAACCAATAAAAAACAACATTGAAGTACGTGACACTGATAGCTAGGACGAGCATAATATTGACCAATAGAAGTCGATCAATAGCATTTACTCTTACAAAATGATTCTTCTTAGGATATTTGGTGAATATCCTAACAGATTTGATATGACTAACTAAAAGAAAGGCATGTATCACAAAAAAAATAATTTTTTTGGGCTGGGATGTTGCTTTAATGTCGAGACAGAACAGGGTGATATTGTTAGGGGGTCAATCACACAGCTTGTCACTTAAAGTTCTAATCTATAAGGCGGTAGAGCAACATGAACAGCAAACATTCTATGATAATCAGTGTCAGCTAATAGATTCATGAGCTAATCATTCCTTCAGGATTTTGGGGTTCATGTGAATCTATTCAGTGCGTTTACTTCTTGGTACAGGTTCTGAATCTGCGGTCGGATGAGAACGTTTCAAAAGAAGAAAGTGATCAGTTGAATAATAAATTGGTTTTTGTGAGAAAAGAGATGATACAAGTGTCTATTAACAGTTGTCTACGCAACATAGTTCGGATCCGCTGGTCCAGACACTATCAGAACAAACCAGATTTAAGAAAAGGAATAAATTAGGAAAAAGCGTTGGAGGTGGATAGGAAATACATTGCGGAAAGCATCCAACTTCATTAAAAGACAAGTCCTAACTCCGAATCCTCAAAGCCAAAAGGAGGAAGAGGAAGACCAAAGAATACATTACTCCAAGAAATGCAAACAGATAAGAGAAGAATGAATAACAATTGGGCAGAACTAGAAAGCAAGGCTTAGGACAGAGTAGGTTGGAGAATGCTAACCAGTGGCCTATACTCCATTGGGCGTAACAGGAGAAAATAAGTAATATCTATACCGAAGCGACTTGCATAATTCCGCACATAATTCAACCAAAATTGATGTAAATGTCAACAATATAATCATTTAAAAGTATGACAATTTAAATTAACAATCCCAAATATCGTTTGACACAGCGACATTAATAATAACCTCTGACTATGTATGTAGTATTGCGTAACATATTTTGACAATTCCTATAACAGTAAGTTGATTTACACATATGACTTTACATAAGCGAAACTAGACCATAAACCAACCGTAAAACGCTTCATCTGACAATTAACAGAAAGGAGGGTGTTTTAAATCATAATCACACTGAAACATTTAAGTTATAGATAAATACTGACTGCCTAGTTAAGAATAAAACTTATTCATTGGAACTGCTAACAATTTTAATACAGTGCAGTGAATAAAAAAGTGCATCTGTCATCTGTTGTATGAGTGATGATGTTAGTTAAACAAAAAATTAAAAATCAGGAAGTAATGTATAGCTATTTCATCTTAGTATTAAAACGTCTCAGCAAGAATCGAACTCAGGATATTTAGCTACCGAAACTAGTGCTTCACTTTAATAACAGTAAGTCAATGTTTAACGGGGTTTACGTGTCTAACTCCTATTCATTGGCGTTATTGAACAATCATTTCTCAATGTCATCATTGGATAATTTATTCACATCAAACATAATGGAACTCTACTGGACATAGCTTGTTGATTTCTATAGTGAGATTGTAGAGCTGTACCATGCATAGAATGATACGGTATAAAGCTGAGACGGATGTTTAGTGTTTGTCAGTCAGTCAGATGCAACGTAGAACTTCGTACGTAAGTACATCAGTTCATGCTGCCATACCACATCAGCACAGAGAAGTAATTGTCAATTCAAATCCAATAGTAGTTGAGGTAGTAAAGGTATTAGAAGTAATCGGAGAGGTTAGGATGAGAAGATATTCAAGATATATGATTCAGTGAGAAAGTTTATAAAGTCAAAACTAGGGGTGTTGAAGAATCCAGAAGAGTAGGATTTGAGAGAATACAAGGAATAAATGCACCGGCGCCATTGCGAACGATTTTGAGCCATTCCATTCAGGGTCTCTAACTATCGATTATTATCATCTCGCGGACCCCAACCAGGTAGTCGACAATTATCGACATGGCTAAGTCCACTCGTCAATGACTTCATGGATTTCTGCCACGTTTTAGTTTGGCCGCCCCTAGCTTTCTTCAAACCTATTCTCACACTACAAAACAAAGCTCGACGAGGCAGTCGGTGGTTAGGCATACTCAGCACATGTCCTAACCACCTCGACTGATGAAGTTTCAGCACTAAATCTATTGATCTGCCATTCTTACCTAGCACCCGATTCCTAATAACAGCGTTGCTCACTCGGGTGTCCCAGGATATACGAGCAATGTTTCGAAGACACCTATGATCGAAAAGCAATAATCGACGGATATCTTCTACTCTCACTGGCCATGTTTCACAGCCATAAAGTAAGACGGGGCGAACTATTGAACAGTACACTCTTCCTTTCGTCAGCAAACGGATATCTCGCCTACGCCATAAGTGACGCAGGTTGGCAAAAGCCAATCGAGCCTTCTGTATCCGAACTGAGATTTCGTCAGTCACCAGGCCATCAGCACTGATGAGACTCCCAAGATAAGTGAAGCGGTCAACACGTACGACTACTTCACTCCCTATCACTAGTTCAGGTGCCGATGAAACCCAATACTGAAGCAACATTTTGCATTTCGAGTGTGAGAAACGCATCCCGAACATGCTTGCATTGTTGCTTAGGGTGGTCAGAAGACTATGCATTTTGTCAGCGTCTTCACCAAGTAGGACTATATCATCGGCATATTGTAATGTAAACTATTCACAAACCCACTTCTATTTAAACAAAAAAAAACATCATAAAGCACAACCAGTTGACAAATTTGTCAAAAGAAATGATCACAAAAAGTAGTAGTCTACAAGAAAGAAAACTTACCGAACGTATACGACGATCTGTACATTCTTTAGCTAATACTTTAGCACATTGATTCACATCCAATGATGCTTCAGCAATAGCCATTGAAACATTAATCAGATCTTTTTTTGTACCGTATTCACCACTGAATTAGATAAAAAAAATTTTTTTCAATGAAAACAGAAAAAAAAATAGAAAACTGGTACTATTGGTATAATGAAGTGTTTGATTGAATAAAAAAATGCCTTAATTACTTAATTGTGAAACGAAAAAAAATGACAAGTCAGCAAAAAAAAGGATGCTGGAAGTTATTTTAGAATGGGGCAGAGAAAGCCTCTACTTTGAGGATTCGTTAGTACAAAGAGCTGAGAGAGGTATAAAGTTTTACATGGTTGAATAACCATTTAAAGTTAAGAAGTACTGAATAACAACTATGTCTTTTCAGTGGTGTGCATCTACGACCACATTTGCGATTGAAACTAAGATCTAGTAGTAAGCGTTATGCTAAATTTGATGGTGAATTGAATTGATTAAGAACAATGAAACAATTGAACGACTTTGACTAACTAAGAGGCTGGATATATACAGGGTTATGAAAAATCCAAAGGTTGTTAATACATTCACCAACGACCTTAAAAGTACTGCAAAATTCTGACAACAGATTGTGTTAAGTTTTGCTGGAGCCTATAGCGTCCTTATTCTTCTAGCGCGAAACACAATCTTCATGAACTAACTACATAGACCAAACGACTGACACACAACGCTAATAATAATCCATCATACGTGTTAGGATATTCATCCAATATCCTAAGAGAATTATTGGTCAATTCCTACTGGTTAATTTTACGGTTGTCCTAGATATCAATGTCACGTACTCCAATGCTGTATTTTATTGGTCGTCTGGACTGTCAATGTCATTTCAAATATTCTTTCCTATTGGTCGTCTTAACTGTCAATGTCACAGACTTCGATACTCTTTCCTATTCGACCTAAATGTATAAATAGGCAGTATCTGTAAAGCTTTACATTCCATTTCTTCCTGCCTTCCTTTCTACTGCACTCGACCAATTAAACAACTTCATCTAATGGTGTTTTGTTCTGATATATAGGAGATTGGCAATAGTATTTGGGTCGTATTGGAATATTTGAATACGGACGTCGGTAGGATTGAATAGCTACGTAGCAGCATTATAACAATAAGATGTAACAGACGTTTAAGAAATGAAATATGTAACGGAACACCTCTGCACATACAGTAACAGAAAATGACCTTGTGACAAGTACAATTAGCGAATTAAAACTAAAAACACATAACCAAATAACAGCAAAGGTTATTCCACAAAGATAAAAATTGGGAAAATGTTATCCCAGTTATCTTTACAAGTATGAACTGTTATTTCTTAACGAAAATTGTAATTGTAGTTATTATTCGTGTATTTGACTAATCACACAACGATAACTACAATCTATCAATTTAGAAGATTTGCCAGCATTTAACAATACTCCGGGTAATTTACATGTATGGTAATGCACTATTTTTCACTTGATAATTTTATTCGACTTGCAATACAACAATTCCCTTGATAAACAAAAGTTAAAATCTATATATGTGTAAATAAACAATTTATGTAAATATGTACAAGGACAACACATAAAGTCAATAAAAAAACAAATTAACATTACTGTTACCGAACAATTTGACTTAATTGAGCCATTAAAGCAGCCATACGTTTAGTTGCTGCAATCAATTCATTATCACGACTAGACCATAATCGTGTTTCATGGTGTAGTGCATGGGCAGCAGCCTAAAATAATAAATCAATGCATTAGTCACAGTTGAATCTCGTTAGGAAAATATTGTTGGTTAAATGCGATCAAAGTCCCGGATTGGATGTATGAAATCCAAACTAGTTGATTCAAATTAGATATTTTCATTGCATCAGTCAGTCAGTCAGTCAGATGCAACGTAGAACTTCGTACGTAAGTACATCAGTTCATGTCGCCATACCACATCATCACACAGAGATATAATTGTCAATTCAAATCCAATAGTAGAAGAGGTTGTAAAGGTATTAGAAGTAATCGGAGAGGTTAGGATTAGAACATATTATTCAAGAAGTATGATTCAGTGAGAAAAGTTTAGAAAGTCAAGACTAGAGGTGTTGAAGAACCCAGAAGATTAGGATTTGAAAGAACATAAAGAATAAATACACCTGCGTCATTGCGAACGATTTTGAGCCATGTCATTCAAGGTCCCTAACCATCGACTATTATCATCTCGCGGACCCCAACCAGGTAGTCGACAACTACCGACATGGCTAAGTCCACTCGTCAATGACTTCATGGATTTCTGCCATGTTTTGATTTGGCCGCCCCTAACTTTCTTCCAACCTACTCCTACACTACAAAACAAAGCTCGACGAGGCAGTCGGTGGTTGGGCATAAGCAACACATGTCCCATCCACCTCAGCTGATGAAGTGTCACTACTGCGTCTATTGATTTGCCATTCTTACCTAGCACCCGATTCCTAATAACAGCGTTGCTCACTCGGGTGTCCCACGATATACGAGCAATGCTTCTTACACATATATGATCGAATACTGGTAACCTACGAACATCTTCTACTCTTAACGGCCATGTTTCGCATCCATATAGGAGAACGGAGCGAACTGCTGTGCAGTACACCCGTCCTTTAGTCAGCAAACGGATATCACGCCTACGCCATAAGTGATGCAGGTTGGCAAAAGCCAATAGAGCTTTCTGTATCCGTGCTGAGATTTCATTGCATACTAACTTTGAAATAATTAGATACAGAAAGAGACATAAGTGAAAAATTTAAATGAATGAAATCTATCAATCAATGAAGGTGTTGGGTTGTGCTCCATAGATGACGAATCAAATTCTTATCCACAATGAACTTAAGAAGTATCAAGCGCAACTAAACTAAAACACCGATTCTTAAGAATCACTAATAGGTAGATAGATCACTAAATTTTATCTTGATAGGATTGTCTACACATCAAAGTACCTAAATCCTGGTTATTTACATGTTAAACCACAGAGACTAGTAACGTCTTTTTCGATTCGGTCTACTTTAAAGAGATAAATCGGAGTTCAACTACTTATTTTATTTCAGTAGTTTACTTTATCAAAAACTGGATTTCATTTCAATGTGTAAGTAGGTGAGTAGTAACATCGCACGATCAAACGATCAATATGATTCTTCTTCTTATTTTGTTAAATGATATATGAGCAAAATTCTTTACATGTTAAAAATTGAGTAGATTCCATTTTTAAAAATCTATCATAGAATTTTATTAAACTGACAAATTTTAGTTCAATGCAAATAATAGAAATATGGATAAATATTGATGCACATCAACGCAAATGACATATTAATGGGGCCATGATGTTTTTATATAAAAGATAATAATGATTGAAAAACATGTGACCAATGAGGTACATTAGAAATACATTTTTACTGACACTACAAAAATATGATAAAGTTAATTTCAAAATGTTGTGCAGTGATGATTTTTGTAATTCAGCTATTCAGCTGTTGACAATGGAAGGTCAAAATGAGAACTCAATGTTAAACTTGTTCAGTTTGAAAAACTGAGATTAAAATGTAAACAAACATGAACCAAACAAGGAGGATAGATACTCTTAGGTCACTAATATTCGATCATAGGTATCTTCGAAGCATCGTTCGTATATTTTGGGACAATCGAGTAAGCAATGCCGATGTTAGTAGACGGGCACTGGGTAAGGATGGCAGATCAATAGATGAAGTAATAAAACTTCGTTATTTGAGGTGGTTCGGACATGTGTTACGTATGCTGACCGCCGACTGCGTCGACAAGTTATGTTTTTTGGTAGAGGGGTAGGCTGAAAGAAAGCTCGGGGTGGCCAAATCAAAACATGGCACAAATCCATGAAGTCGCTGACAAGGGGACTGTGTCATGTTAATAAATGTAGACTACCTGACTGGGGTCTGCGGTAGTTAGAGACCTTGAATAACATGGCTCAAAATCGTTTGCAATGGTGCAGGTGCATCCGTTCTTTGTGTTCTCACACATTTTAGTCTTCTCAATTCCCCATTACCTTCATCTTTCTCTTCTCAAGTCTGTTTCTATCTCTATGTCATGTGAAAAGCAACACCTGTTATTCCACAACTTCAAAAACATAATTATTCTGTTATATTATAATCGAAGTATGATTCACGAAAAGCTTCGGTTACATAAACTCTGAGTTTAAGTTCATTCTTAAAATTACATCGAACTACTACTAATCATTAGACAGACAATCGTTATTATAAGCTTTGAAGAGAGAAAAACTCATCGGAATAGTCTTAGTTTATGAAGAAGAAAAATCAACCAAAAGTGAAAAACACCGCCTGGAGACCCTTTGGGGCTACTATCGGTCTCAAGCTCGGATAAAGAAGGGCCGGGCTCATGGTTGGCGATCCAATTCCGTAGAAAACTAACTCGCTAAAAAAACGCTAGCCAGAAAAAAATGAAACACAAGCTTTAAGAAATTCACTTTAACGTCTTCCATATTGTGCGTTACTTAGTGACAACTGAACTGGGCAGCAAAGGAGAAGAGGGAGTCAGCTTATGACAATGGTGTCCAGGTATGGAAGAAAGTTGTATAGGATTGCTGTCTCTCAGCTCATTATGACTCATTCGTTAGAGTCTTAAAGATTAAATGTCCTATGATGTCAGAATAGAAGTCCACAGGGAATCTGTTGCAACTTTTTTACATATGAAAGAAGCTCACTGAACTACATTCCCTATTACATACTATACTAGTACACTTGTGGTGTGTGCTACTTATACGAACGATATAAGTAGTATAAGAAGAGACGTGAAAGAAGAAGAAGTCTCGCGGTGACAAGAGGAAAACAGAAAGCAAATGGAGCAAAAGCAAGAAGTAAATGGAGTAGTACCAACAGGAAGTAAAAGAAGCAACAGCAGGAATGGAAGAAGGCTGGAGCGTTGGAAGTCAGGACTCAAAGATGGTGTACAAATAGAGTAGTGTTCAATGTAATGTTTTCGTTTTTAATTGACTCAGAGTGTAAATTTGCTAAATACAATTTACCGCGCCTGCCTCAGTCTTCTCACACTGAATACATTTTTTATAATACTATCGTTTCTGAATAATTACATGTATAGCAGTTGAAATGGAAATTAACTGATAACAAAACAAACAAAGTCATGTATGTGTGTTTTTTTTCAAACTAACCATAATTGGTTGATTTTCTTCCGGTGGTGGAAAATTGAATTCTTCATCAACTTCCGTATCAGGTGTACTAGTTCGTGCAGCAGCGCCGGTTGTAGTAGTAGTAGTAGTAACTGCATCACCACTTCCAGTAACAACATTGTCAAGTGAAATAGAACCACTTTGCAATTGTTGATCCTTGTCTGTAATGAATGGTATATAGATAATGCCATTATTATTTATGGTAGATAATAATATTTCCGATAAAAAATAATAATTATATTGTTTGAAAAATTTCATTCAATAAACCAAATGCCCAGAAAAACAATAAATCAAGACATAAATACTGAACAAACATTTCTACATAAATAATGTAAAAAAGAGAAGAAATATATTGTGATGTGAACACAATCACATGCTTCATTGTTTAAACTGTATTCATAATAAGAATAAGAAGAATAAGAATACCGATAATCGACAACAGTGTGAGTATCAACCGATTGTTATTTTTTTACACGATAAATACATCCTTTTCATATTTATATCAACAATAATTAATTAACTTATGTATACGGATCGGATTGCAATCGGATTTTGACGTCATTGTGTGTACGTGTGTAAGTGTGAGAAATGTAGTGTGATCGTTAGTTACAACAGTCATTATAACAGTACTAATGAGAAATTAGACAAGAATAATCATTTGAAAATTAAGTGAAACATGCGTAGTTTAAACAACAGTACACACTACCCCCTGGTTGGAGTCGACGAGATGACAGTAATCCATGGTTAGAGACCTTGAACGACAATGGCGCAGGTGAATCCACTCTAAAATTTTATTCTTCTGAAATCCTCATCACCTTTAGCTTTTTTCTTTCTAAATTGATTTCACTGAATTACGCTTCTTGAATATAATATATGGGTGAAACCTAAAATTTCCGATTACTGCTAATAAATACCTCTCTACTATCCCTACTACTATGTGATTTGAAGTGACAATGGCATCTCTATGTGCTAATGTAGTATGACAACTTGAATTGATGTACTCTACGTACAACCTGCAACGTTATAACAGCTAACTGACTGAATTATTAATAACAGAAGAGAGACAATAGTTAGATTTTAAATCATGCCAACTTCTTTCCATGCTTTGCAATCATCATGCAATCAAACAAGACGAAACAAAAAAGGAGACCGAATTCGAATATTTCCACAACTGATCCATGCATCAAACCATGCATATTCATTCGAACGGGATTCAACAAAACACACATACACTACCTGTACAAGAATAATCATTATTTGATTTCATTGGTAAATAAGTGTGTATATTTGTAGTTTGATAATGAGTAGGATGATTTTGTTGTTGATATGGTGGAGGTGGTGATGAATGAAGATTATTGTTATTCTTATTCTTATTATTACTAGTGTAATGATCCGGTGAATAGGTTTGATGACATGGATTGGATTGTTGATGTTGTTGTGAATTAGGGCAGTATGGTTCTTGTTGTGAATATGAGTGTTTCAATGATGTTGATGATGAGTAAGGTTGTTGATGTTGTTTATGTTGATGTACCACTACTACTGGTGGAGGTGATGTTGGTGAATGATGAAGAGGACTAGACAATTTAATTTCGTAAACAGGTTTATGATGATAATTTGATGAATGATCAATGTATGTAATATTATTATTATTGTTATTAGTATGATCATAACTATAAATATTATTATTATTATTACTATTATTAGTATTATTATCAATATATGAATGTGGTACACGAGAAACATCTAGAGAAAATAGCAAAGTAATGGAATGAAAATGAATAGAGCGAGTGAGAGAGAGATAGAGAGAGAGAAATATCTACAACACTAATTCACTTTTCTTATTATGAAATGATCTGATACATACATACATACATACACACACACATACATCCACACACACATACATACATACATACATACATACACACATATACATACACACACATACATACATACACACACATATACATATCATGAATAAAATGTTCTAATTGTAAAAAAAGAAACAGATAAATAATTCCTACTTAAAATGTATGTGCTAATTTGAGTCACTGGTGGTGGTGGTGGTGGTTGCATTAGGTACTGACTGATGAGATAATTCATTTGGAAATGAACAATCAAGCATGTACTGTTGCAGTGAACAAGAACACAGGTGGGGCAACCGGATTGATTGTATTTTGCGAAAATTACAGAGTTACTCAGTAAAATCGGAACAACCATATCGTAAATCGTTCATTTGCAAAATATCATTTCATCACATTGAACTGGACTGTTCCTGTTGCAAACAACATCAATCCATTGTCACTCACTATTCATGCGTTTCATACAAATTCCATTGTGTTCCCACTCATCCTTTCTCTTGATCTTCCCCCATCTTCTGCTGTCAGACATTACGTTGACACTCACGTCATATACTACTTATAAGTAGCTCACACCACACTGTGAGTGTATTTTGTATGAACTTCAAAAGTATGAGATTATTTATAGCTTACATAGTAGTCGAGCATAAACATTTCGATGGCAAATAGGTGAGGTATATTCCGGCTAGGTATATAACAAAAAAACTATGGCGAATCAGTGGATAAGATTGGAAAAAAAATACCAATTCACCGTCTAGATCAATGGGCATTATTTTCTGGTAAATGCAAAGGTTGCAATGAGGTTGGTAGTGGTGATCAAATTTTTTTTTAAAAAAAACGTGATATAAAAGTTCATCAAGTCATTGATTGTTCATTTGTTGCTCGTTGAAAGATGTAGACTTATGATCTAATCACTGTCACACTACTAATAAACTGAGTTTTTTTTGAATATTATCAACGTTTGACTTATTTTATTTCTGACGTTGAAGAGCAGATGAAAATGTTGTTATCGTAAGCCAAGGAGGACAGAGTAGGTTGGGAAAATACTGGTCGGTGGCCTATGCTCCACTGAGGATAACAGGCATAAGTAATTAAGTAATTTAACTTGTAATCGTACTTTTATTATTCTTACACTTGTCTTCCTACTGTAGTGAACGAAAACACAGGTGGGGCAACCGGATTGTATTTAACGAAAATTACAGAGTTACTCAGTAAAATAGGAACAACCATATCGTAAATCGTTCATTTGCAAAATATCAGTTCATCATATCGAACTGGATTGTTCCTGTTGCAAAACATCAATCCATTGTCACTCACTATTCATGCGTTTCATACAAATTCCATTGTGTTCTTCTAACTCTTCCTTTCTTGATCTTCCCCCTATCTCCTGCTGTCAGACATTACGTTGACACTCACGTCATATACTACTTATAAGTAGCTCGCACCACACTACTACCAACTTGTACTATATAGTGTGTAGTGACGAAATCTATCTCATTTTGATTATTGACTTGATTGATTTAGAATTTTTCATATAAATCTGTATGCATATTAGAGAGTAAAGCCTGATGACAATCTCTGATTGAAAACAACAATATTCCTTCACTTATATCTGATTTTGTTCTAATAAAAAAGAATTATTCACAAGAATTATTTACAAATTTTTTAGTTGTTTGTCAATAACCTTGACAATTCTATAAACAGATGAATAGTATACGCATCAGTACACCGTTCAAAACTTCCAAAATATCATAGTTTGATGAGTATTTTTCAGGATAATAATCAAAGAGAAAAAACTATTCAATAACAATGATGATTGTAGTACAGTTTCGTTCTCTCAGCTGGATTTTTTTGATTATGCACCTTACATTGTTTAACCCCTGAACAATATCATCAGTACAAACTTCAATTAGTGAAGTGTTCGAATGCTCCACGTATAACCCCATAACTCATGCTGTTAACCTCAATCTTGATTGGTTGTCACTGACTTTCAATTTGTCGTTGTATGATGCACCTTTATTTTGATCTGTTGCTTGATTCTATGTTTGTCTAGGATTTTTCTAATTGGTTGATAGATTGGGTTAATGTTGATGTGTTTTTTTTGAAAACAGATTGACTTGAGTGCTAAGCTTCTAAAATTTCTCTATCCAGTATTTTAACATTGTTCCAATTGAATGGATGTCCATAATTGTCCGTAGGCATTGATTGATACAAGGGGAAGAAATGTTGTTCAGAAGGAACAATCAAAGCTCCACAAGCAAAACCATCCAAGCTCAATGAACAAAACTACATCACAATAAAATTTGTGTTAAATTTAAAGCTTGTTAAGAAATTATTTGTTACAAAAATTAAATGGAAAAAAACTGACCACAGTATCATCATCAACAACAAAACCTACCTGTAATAGACATTTCTCGCATTTCATGAAGAGGAATGGAAGTTGTTGTCTCTTGAGATGATTTAGACGATGAAATACTATTATGAGTAGTATGTGCATTATGATTACAACTATTACTATTACTACTAATACTTGTATTTGTACTGTGAATTCCATTTTTAAGTACAGATAATGGACGATAATGTTCATGATAAAAATTGATAGGATTATTGAATGATGGACTGACAATTTGTTTTACTGAACTAACAGCAGTTAATAAATTACGATTTGATAAACGCCATTGTTCATGCATACGTGGATTGTCAATATTTGTTACTAAACCTTTCGCATCATTCACCATTGGAGTGATAGCTAATTAATAAAAAGGAAGCGAATGACAAGTGATAAATAAGGAGTATAAAATAAAGAGAATGTTTGCCAGATAGAAAGAATATACAATGAGAAATATTAATTAATCAAGGATTGACTGAGAACTGGTTCAAGAAATTAAATGTTAGCCACAAGATCCAAGATTTGATTTCTGATGAGCAATACATTTGTAGTGCTCATCTGTTCAATGCTTCCTAAATGTTTATCTGAAATACGTATAAAATCTATTAATTTTAGTTATATAGTTAGATATTATTCACAAACTCGTTTCAAGTGAAGACCGGTGTCAGGCACGGTTTCTTACTTTCACCCATTCTCTTTCCCCCAGTGGTCGACAGGATTATAAAGACGCCAATATCTGAGGGGAGGTATGAGATACATTGGACAACTAGGATGGAGCTAGGCGACCTAGACTTCGCAGATGATTTGGCTCTTTTATTGCACACGCAACAATAAATTCAGGAGATAATTAGTGTAGCAGCAGCCTCAGCGGCAGTAGGTCTAAACATACACACACACACATACACAACACAGCATACACAAACCGAATCCCATTTGACGGAGAAGCTTTGAAAAATGTTGAAACCTTAACATATCTCGGCAGGCTCATTAACGAGGAAGGTGGATCTAATGCAGATGTGGACGCGTGGCTTGGCGAAGCAAGGACAACATTTCCGAAATTGAACAACATCTAGAACTAAAACTAATTATCAACCAACAGAACAGTCATAACTTTCTATACAATTGTCAAGACAGTTCTACTGTTTAGGAAGGAGACTTGAAGAATTAATAAAGCGATCATCTGGAAGAAACAACAGTTGATTAACATTTGTCTACGCGAAATATTTCGGACCCGCTGGCAATAACTTACTGTGGGAGAGAACAAACCAGATTCCAGCAGACAAAAAACTCATGAAGAGGCGCTGGATATCGTTAGGATAGACATTGTGGAAAGCACCTAACAACGTCACAAGACGAGCCATCGTTCGGAATCCTCAAGGCCGAAGGAAAAGAGGAAGATCAGAATACAAGTTACGTCGAGAATCGTAGACAGACATAAGAACAATGAACAACAATCGGATATAACTAGAAAGAAAGATTCAGGACAGAGAAGGTTGGGGAAATGCTAGTCGGTGGCCTAGGCTCCATTAGAGGTAACAGGCGAAAATAAGTTTGATATTATACAATACTGAAGTGATTTGTTACTCAGAGATCGTTAATTACAATAAAGTTAATCGATAATATTCATTGAACGTAATACAACTCACGTAACCTAATTAATGACATACACTTATTGAAGTGAAAAAAAAAGAGATTAATACACACATGTAGGTAAATGAGACTAACTCGCTTCGTCAAGCTCACTTACCAGCTACAATTTCAAGCTACATAAATTGCGTCGACATTAATACATGGCATAAATCCATATTGCAGTTCACGAGATGATCGTAACCGGTGGTGAGTAGAGACATAGAATGACATAGCTGAAAAAATCGTTTGCAATGGCGCATATTCATCTGCTCATTGTCTTCTGTCAAATTCTAATCTTTTGAATTCCTCATCACTTTTATCTTGCTCTTTTCAAGTTTATTTCACTGCGTTATACTTTTTGAATAATAATATCTTTCCTATTACTGTTAATGCTTTCACTACCTCTACTACTACGGGATTTGAATTGACAATTCAATCTCTCTGTGAGCTAATATGATATGGCAACTTCAACTGATGTACATACGTACAAAGTTCTACATTGTAGCTAACTGACTGATTAACTAAGTGTCTACAAGGATACTTTGACAGAAAATCATCTCAATCTAGGGATGCATAGAATTCATAAACACATAAAAATTGTATCAACACACATCGAATTTCGATAAGATTTATTTTTTAAAAAAAAATACAAATAAGTTGAACATGTAACTTACAATTTTTACATATTTTTTAAATGTTAATAAAATCAATGATAATAGTGTTTTTTGGGGGCACAGTTTTGGAGGTTTGCGTTTTTACACATTTGAAATCATCAATCAATCATTGTAAGCCCACCATTAGAAACCTGGATGCCGGCCCAGTGGTCCGATAGTAAGGTTCGAGTCCTGCGAGGAGCAGGAGTCGTGGATGCGCACTGCTGATGGGTCCCATACCAGGACGAAACGGCTGTCCAGTGCTTCCAGGTTTCTAATGGTGGTCTAACAATGATTGATTGATGATTTCAAATGGATAATAGTGTTATTTTGATCGGTATACAAATCTATTTAAGTTTGTGCAGATAGAAAAGTGTTTGATAGGAGGGGTTTTAATTACAATCTCCCTATTTCAATCAAGTGTATACCTACTCTTTTACAATAAGTTTTTTTTCCGAAAAATTGAACGTAGAAATATTTTTTATTGTGTTTATTGTTTTCTATTTTATTTTTTAATATCTCGTTCCAATTATTGATTTTTACAAGCTCACCTAATGCTTTACTATGACCTCGTACACAAATGTATATCAAAACACAAAATAAAAACCAATTTCTCGTGTTTTAATTGGGTCCAAAGTTTCTTTTGGAAAATAAAACCCGACAAACAAAGATTATAATGATTGCATTGCGGGGTTGTTGTGAAGATTGTTAAGTTTTATTTGTAACCATGAATTTGATCAAGTTAGACATTAACACCGTTAGATACTGGCTCAGTGGTCTAACGGTTAGGGTGTTCACGCACAATACCGAAGGTCCTGGGTTCAAATCCTGCGAGGAGCAGGAGTCGTGGATGCGCACTGCTGAGGAGTCCCATGCCAGGACGAAACGGCCGTCCAGTGCTTTCAGGTTTCTAATGGTGGTCTGACATTGATCGATTCATGGTTACAAATTATGGTAATTATTAATATTCTTGAAATATCATCTTAACAAAGCATACACGATAATACAGAGAAAATTTTTCATTATACAGCTATGGAGACTGTTGTTTATTACTGAAATCATGAATGAATCATCGTTAGACCATCAATAGGAACCTGGAAGCACTGGACAAGCAGTTTCGTCCTGATATAGGACTCATCAATGACAGTGTGTGTCCGCGACTCCAGCTAATCACAGGAGATTGGGCGAAATAGTAAAATTATCTGAGTAGTTGAAATAAGAAGGTGAGTTCAATGCTTTTGTTATCTAAATCAATGTAACATTTCATGACACTACTGGTTTTTGACAGCATTTCAAATTCATACCGGTGAACTGAATTTAATCGTGAATAAACAGAATAAATTTAAGGTAAATAAAAAAATTCTGATTTCAAATCAAAGATAGAAACAGGTTTTTGTATACTGATAGAATAAATGATCTAGAAATCTGTTCAAGCAGCTGGTTATCTTAAAGGATTTCATCTGCTGAAGTGAACCTTATGAAACAATTCAACCACTTTCACAAAGCTCTAGATCGTAAATGACTTACAACCGAGTACATGGTAAATATGTTATCATATGATTGAAAACATTGATGTATGGTTTTTTAAGAAAATCAACTAAAGACCGGGTTTCTAGGCAGAACTTTTAACGTTTTAATCAGTCAGCATCTTCACCAAGTAGAACTATATTAACGGTATAAGTTAACAAATCCCCTGGTAAAAGTTCAACTAATAAAAGCATGTCAATGACAAAGTCAAACAACCCTGACGAATACTACTTGGAATAATCAATTTCGATAACAGGTTGCCACAAGCTATGACTCGGCCAGTAGTATATAAGTAGAGAGGTTGTATAAGTTAATGTACTTTTTTTGGTACTCCTTTCAGTGACACACACTGCCACAGAACTACACGATCGACAGAGTCAAATGCCGCCTGTCGAAATGTGAATATCTGGTCTATACAACCACATCCAGGTCTGTAACCAACCTAGTTTTCTCGAGTCTGCTCTTGACCAGCTCCAATTAGGTGTATGAGTAGTATTATTGAGGCTTTAACAACCGCCTAATTCGAATATAACCGAAAACGTGGTAAATATGTTACATTAATTGAGAGAAGAAAAAAACAATCAAACTCTTAAGGCAAACACACTTCAATGATGTATAGTTTCTGGAGAAAATCACCTAGTTTATCCATTGGTCATTACTACATACGATGGTATTTTTTTTAAGCAAAACTTTCGACGATTCAGTAAACATCTTTTCTTGCTTACCATGAATCGTTTGAATACGGTTGAGAAAACATTTACAATCTAAGTAGATCATTAAAATATCCCTGTTGCTCTGTTGCAAATGGTGATTCCTTTGCATAAAATAACCACAGCTACTGACCCCCCTAGCATTTTTTTTAAGGGAAATTCCGAATAAGAACATGGGATATTAGTTATTTTCGTGTATGCATCAACAGTATATTGATTGGCTGCTTTCAATGAATCAGTACAATATGTAATAAAAAGTGTAATTAAGCAAACGGTAGTAAAAAGAGAAAAAAAGCCACACACACACACATAATGTGCATATACAGAGAGGCACACACACACAAGCACAGACAGATATGCATTCATTCATTCATTCATTTGGAGAGAGAGAGAGAGAGATAATTGATAGTGAGGTGATTAATTATCATCATCATCATCACTTCGGACAGAAAACACAAAAGGCACACACAGACACACACACACATTAGGTGAATATACACAATCACACTACTGGTTCACCAGTAATATCTTGTGATAATAACAACTTCTACTACCACTACTACTACTACTACTACAACCATACACGAACATACACACACACACTAACCGAAACAGCTGTAAAAGTAGATAAGGAATAAAACAATCCACGCACATACACACACATACACACATTCGAAAGGCGAAGTTGAAATTAGTTCGAAGACAAAAAACCAGTTCATAAACCTAAATAAATGGTTTATATTATATTAGATTATATTCTATTTATTTACTTATTGGAAGATACAAAGTCAAGCAAATTAAATAGTTTTTATTTACAAAAGGAAATGATGATTAACAATGAATGAATTTTGATATGTGGACATTGTAAAATTCTTATTCTACTATAATTAATATTTTTATATAAATCGATTGTAACGGTTTACACAATTCATTCACTTGATAGATTTCAAGAAAAAACTAAGTAACGCATTTTCAATAATTTAAAAGGAAGGCGCTTAGTGTACATACCATTTAACTCATTTAACAAATGCCTATTTTAAGTGATCTCACTCGTAATGAACACTTTTTCGGAAAGAGGATAAGTGAGTAATGAAACTTGTGTAGATAGAATGAGATTCGAATCTTTCAATTAGCGAGTGAACCATTAAGTTACCGATGCGAACTGAAGTGGAAAGCTGATTACGAACCAGATATATGGTAATGGTTGAAAATAAGTAAAGAAAGCTATAACTACATACGATCACAGTGGATTCTGCGTTTAAAGTCATCCTATAAGGTGCGTAGAAAGCTGCCCTTCCACTCAGCACTGATCAGAGTTAGACATTACCACGGTTAGATAGCGGCTGCGGTCCAGAGGTTAGGTGTTCGCACGCGAGACTAAAGGTCCTGGGTTCGGGTCGTGAGAGTAGCAGGAGTCGTGGATGCGCATTGCCGATGAGTCCCATACCAGGAGGAAGTAGCGGTCGTTCACTACTACCAGGTTTCTAATGGTGGTCTCAGTCAGTCAGTCAGTCAGTTGCAACGTAGAACTTCGTACGCATGTACATAAGTTCATGCTGCCAAAACACATCAACACAGAGACGCAAATGTCAAATCAAATCCCATAGTGATAAAGATAGTAGAGGTATTAATGGTAATGAAGAAGACTAGGGTTCGAAGATATAATTCAGTGACATAAGGTTAAAAAGACAAAGGTAGAGGTGCTGACGAATCCAGAAGGGTAGGATTTGAGTGAGCACAATGAATGGATGCACTTGCGCCATTGCAAACGATTCCGAGCCATGTCGTTCAAGGTCTCTAACCATCGGTGACTTTCGTCTCGCGGACCCCAACCAGGTAGCCTACATCTACCAACATGACTCAGTCCACTTGTCAGTGACTTCATGGATTTCTGCCATGTTTTGGTCTGGCCGCCCCTAGCTTTCTTCCAACCTATTCCTACACCACAAAACAGCTTGTCGAGGCAGTCGGTTGTCAGGCATACGTAACACATGTCCCAACCACCTCAACTGATGAAGTTTCAATACTTTGTGGATCGATTTGCTATCCCTACCTAGTACTCGTTTCCTAAGGACAGCATTGCTTACTCGGTTGTCCCATGATACACGAGCAATGCTTCGGAGACATCGATGATCGAAAACTAGTAACCTACGAACATCTACTCTCGCTGGCCATGTTTCGCATCCGTATGGGAGAACAGAGCGAACTGCTACGCAGTACACCCGTCCTTTGGTTAGCGAACGGATATCTCGCGTACGCCATAAGTGACGCAACTTGGCAAAAGCCAATCGAGCCTTCTGTATCCGTGCTGAGATTTCGTCAGTCACCAGGCCATCAGCACTGATAAGACTCCCGAGATAAGTGAAGTGATCAACACGCTCGACTACTTCACTAATGGTGGTCTAACATTGATTGATTATTGATTTCAATAAAGTAACTCAACAATCTCCACAACCCTATCGTGTTAAAGTTTATTGATCGAAAGTGTTATCAATGATCTATGGGCAACAAGAAAGATTAGTTTTCTTTCTTTACCCGATATATATATATATATATATATATATATATATATATATATATATATATAACGAAGAAATAGAGTGTAAAGCAAGCCGATACACAACACGTGTTATCCATTAAACAATTGATGTCAGATAGTTTAGTTGGTTGTTAAACTTTAATCAATTTTAATTAGCATATGTACAATTTGTGTGGATTGTTTCAATGTGGTAGCCAATTGGCTGCAGAATTTTTTTTTTGTAACACAAAAAAAGAGATGGAATGTTGTAACAGTTAGATTCAAATTGTTTATCATATTCTAATTTGGGACTGACTGATAAGTTTATAAGTTAGGAATTCATTTATTTTATTAAAAACATGTGACAAGATGATTGTCACAGCAAGTACATAACTCAACAAACACTAATATCATAGTTAATTCCTGAATATCAACAATGAGATAATTCAAACACTTAACAAATGATGATGTAAACATGTTACGCATTCAATGATTGTGGCGCTATCTGGATTTAGCAATCAACTATGCCTGGAGTTCTTCTAGAGTTAATGCCGATTCTAAGCCCACAAAAAGTAGGAGGTTTGGGCATATGACTGGCGATCCCATCCCGTAGAAATGCAATTTGCCAAATGAAAAACGCTAACCAGTAGAGTAATTCGCTGGTTGGCGGCCTATTCTCCATTAAGGATAACATGCACAAGTAAGTAAGGATCGGATGCAAAAGCTATTGAGTTCAAGAAACAATCTACACATCAACAACATTTAAATGTATATAAATAAAGCTGTCGAACACAACGAAATAAAACGCTCTAAACTCTATAACTAACCATAATCTGACTATTCCTTTTTTTAATAAGAAATAGTTGTAAAATGATTTCATCAAATGATGATATAAATGATCTTTTAATGTCTACAAGTTAAGTGAAACATTTTACAAGCTTGTTGATGGTGTGTGTCTTGTGAACTGCAAGGAATATTAATCCTCAAAAAAAAGAAAAGTATATCTCTTTAAATTCAATCACATATTTAACAAACTATTGATCATCAAAGGGCAAAGCAAGGGCTGCATTTCTACAGTTGAAAAATATCTGGAACTCCAAACAACTTTCAACCAAAACTAAAATCAGGATTTTCAATACAAATGTCAAGACAGTTCTACTGTATGGAGCGGAAACATGGAGAACTACCAAAGCCATCATCCAGAAGATACAAGTGTTTATTAACAGTTTTACTTCGGATTCGTTGGCGAGACACGATCAGCAACAACGTACTGTTGGAGAGAAACAAACCAGATTCCAGTGGAGGAGGAAATCAGGAAGAAGCGGTGGAAGTGGATAGGACATACACTACGAAAAGCAGCCGAACTGCGTCACGAGACAAGCCCCTCACATGGAACCCTCAAGGCAAAAGGAAAAGAGGAAGGCCAAGGAACACACTTACGCCGAGAAATAGAGAAAGATATGAGAGGAATGAACAAACATTGGACAGAACTGGAGAGGGAAGCCCAGGACAGAGTTGGTTGGAGAAAACTGGTGGGCGGCCTATGCTCCATTGGGGGTAACAGGCGTAAGTAAGTAAGTAAGTAAGTGATCAGCAAATATCAAAGTAATGAACAATCGATTCTTAATACTACAAATCTTTATACAAATAAACAACATTTAAAAAAAAAAAGAATGACAACTAAATGCATTAACTTGACATAACACTTACTTGATCGTAAAGCTTTCACAGCATCATTCATTCGATCCACATATAATGGATCTTCACTATTATCCGCTTCACGTGTAATTAATTGAAGTACACGATTTGCTCGTCTTGCAATACGTGTTGTCGATTCAACTACTCCAGTGGTAGATATTTCAGCAATACTATTTTCTGCCCTAGCTGTATCACGTAACATTCCAACCTCTATATATATATATATATGTAAAGTAAAAATAATGATAAAATTTAGATTAGAAAAAACGGCGTATCAATGCATATTACATAACAATCATGGTATAAATATAAGCAGCCTTATTTTAAGTAGTTAGAAGTGGCCTGAAAGAAACTATATACGTAAATCAACCGGTAGAATTCAAACAACGGTGACATTAGTTACAAATAGTATACTTAAGAGCAACTATGATTCTCATAAGGGTGTTTGCGGGGCCATTTGAAGTTTATGGTTACTGTTGAGACTACCTCTTCACGATTCCCGCTAGTAACGTCGTTGTACCGCGGCCTTGTCATTGAGGACCAATACACCATCGATGCGGGTCTCCAATGGCGAGGACGTACATTGAGCTTCTATTGATCTGGAATGATGCAGACATATATAGGATGGTAGAGTTTGCATAGACTCTGTTTAGACTATTGAGATAATTTTCGTCCACTTAGCAGTTGAAATGGTTAATCAGGCAGGTTTATTATGAGCTATATTTACCTGTGCGTGTCATCAGAAAGGTTGTTTGAGGAGTTTACGTGGCTACGGTTTGAACAGACCAACAGGCCTAGTAGTGAAGTGTTAAAACAGGATAGAAAAGAGGGATTACACCAGCTCGAGGAAGAGTTAAAAGATGCTCGGGTTTGGTAGGATTTTGCTTTCAAACGGTATGCAAATAATTTGCAAATGTATATTGGTATAGATTTTCGCCCTAAGGCGTTTACGGATGCTCCATTGGACGTAAAATGTATGAAACCTACAGGTAAGCTGTCATACTAACAATGTCAAATAGATCAGAGGGAGTCTTTAGTTTTCCAACTGGGTGATGCAAGTGAGTTCTATAAGCATCCTCATATCTGGACTTAAGGTACTGCACTTTGTTGTAACCCATAAGTTTTCACAATCGAATTCTTTAAGAAACTGTAAATTTAGATGTTACTATGCTAGCTACTTTAGTAACAGATAAGTAATTTAAGCAGAAATCTAAACTATTACAAACTTTGGTGGATAAAACAAGTGATTTATCTACCAAAGGGAGGCATGTTATGTTCTTATCTCTGAAAAAGTCACCTTTCTGCATGGTCGATACCTTCATGGCGGCAGGTGAAAGTCATTTTCTATGTGTGGTGAAATGCTTTGGATTGAATGTGAATAGCTTATCTCACCTTCCCTAACTCTCTCTTATTCGGCGTGGTGGACGCTACTCACAAGAATGCTTATAAATAATATGCAGCGGAGTGTTACCTAGATGTGGATACCAGATAGGAGTGTCAGGAGATAGAAGTGCACGGTAATATCAGAGTATATGCCGACCAGTAAGGGAGTGAGAGAAGACAGTCAATAACTCCGCTTAGATCGTAACATAGATGACTAAAAACCATATGTTCACATTTTGTAAATAATCTGCGCTTTCTTCAAATACATATCTGCTCCAAACGGTCTCGACTTGTTCTTACATAGCGTTAGGGCATAAGATTCAAGCAATTATTTTTCTAAAGATCTAACAGTCGACGGAATAGAAAACAGGCCTTTTTAGAGTTTTAAAAAAGGGGGAAAATGGTTGGAAGAGATTCGTAGTGTGCGTACAAATATGTCGAGCTCATATGGCTTGGTCCCCAGCCTTTAGACAAATTAATTAATCCAATTTCTCAGATTTACTATTCACATACCTTTCGACCTTGTGTATTATTTGCTCATAACCTTAGTTGTTTTTAGTTGAGTGCGTAGTGCATTGCTTACTTTGTTTATCGTATGTTTGGCTTATTTTTGGCCTGACTGTAAACAACTTAGTCATACCGCATCTCATTAGAAGTTGGCTAACTCGATCCCTACAACACATTTCGCTTTTACGCTTTATATTCTCATGTCTGCCTGTGTGAACAATAACTTAGAATAATCACATTCAACTGAATCCGTATTTGGATAGGTATTATGTATTATCGCCATCGCACAAACGAAGTTCGGCTTAAGCATGATTTACGGAAATTGAAGAGCAGAATTATTCAATAACATATTGAGTTGTTTATAGAAAATCGCGGTCAGATCGCCGGCCACTAAAGAACAATATGAACATTAGATAATCCTATTTCGAAACTAGTACGATGAACACTGTTCAAAAATCGGAAGAATAAAGACAAGTTGAAAATTATCTTGACGTCAGGCATGAATAGTTTTCTATATTACACAGAAAAAAAACATGTCACGTCTTATATGAATATTTATCATGCACATAATAGACAGTGAATATTTGGGGTTAAAACTAAAGCAATCTGCGATTTCCGTTTGATGATTGAAACATCCATCCAGCTGATGAGTGCGTCTCAGTGCTGAATTTTAAAGTCAAACATCTTACTGTACTAATGTGGTGCGCGCTACTTATAAGTAGTATATGACGTGAGTGAAAACGTAATGTCTGGAAGCAGAACATGGGGTAAGAGCAAGAAGAAAGGAAGAGTGGGAACACAATGGAATGCGTATGAAACGCATGAATAGTGAAATGTCAGACAATGGATTGAAGATTTGCAAATTAACGATTTACGATATGGTTTTCCTATTTTACTGAGTAACTCTGTAATTTTCGTTAAATACAATTCGGTTGCCCTTACTACCTGTGTTCTCTCCTTCACTATCAATTCTGTCCCGCCAATGAATCAATGCAGAATCTTAAAAACTTAAAAAATGGGATATTCTGATCAAAAAACAAAAAAAATTCATCGATAAATCGAATCCACTGGTATGTGTGTGTGCCATATTTCAACTCTACACAAAACAATACCAGGCATTATATATATATAGTACAGTTAGTTTTGTGTTTACACAGAGAAATGAAATGTAAACAACAGCAAGAAATACAAATTAAAACAAAAAAATCTAATGATCGATTGAAGAAAGACTATGCTTATTAAATAATAAACACATACATCACTGACAAAATGGATGCAAAATGGAAAAACGGTTGTTTTTTTTGGCTTCAGAATAAATATCATACGACAGCTATTCCAAATATAGCTGATGCAGCACCACCTCCTAAATCGATGACTTGTAAGCTGGCAAAAATCACATTAGCACATTGAAAAAAGAAAATCGAAGTATACCAGTACCAGTGAGAGTAACAAACGGATCAGACATGATTTCACTAGGACAATCGAGTAAGCAATGCTGTTGTTGTTGTTAGGAAATGGGTACTAGGTAAGAAAAGCAGATCAATAGATGAAGTAGTGAGGTGGTTGGGACATCAGTTACAAATATACAACCACCGACTACCTTGCCGAGCTATGTTTTGTGGTGTAGGAGTGGGTTGGTACAGGTGCATTCATTCTTCATGTTCTCTCAAATCCTAATCTTCTTAATTCCTCATCACGTTTATCTTCCTCTTTTTAAGTTTATTTGATTGGATTATATTTCTTGAATAATATCGTCGAAGCCTAATCTTTCCGATTACTGCTAATAATTCAACTATCTCTACTACTATGGGATTCTAAATGACACTTGCACCCTTCTGCAAATGTGGTATGGCAACTTGAACTTATGTACGTACATGTACGAGGTTCTACGTTGTAAATGACTGACTGCACACTGGCAGTCAGTCAGTTATAACGTAGAATTTCGTACAACCACGCGAAAATCTCTAAACAACGTTGGCGGTGGTCACGAAGAGTCGAATTATGCAGTAGAGCACCTAAATTAGCACAGCTTAGAAAAATAATCAACAGTTTCATAGTGTGAATGTACCTAGCTTTCCGTCCAACCTTCTTCTTATGCTATCAAATGGAAGTAAATATTGGTTATGTAAAGGATTTTATTGTAGTGAACGAGAACACAGGTGGGACAACCGGATTGTATTTAGCGAAAATTACAGAGTTACTCAGTAAAATCGGAACAACCATATCGTAAATCGTTAATTTGCAAAATATCAGTTCATCATATCGAACTGGAATGTTCCTGTTGCAAAACAACATCAATCCATTGTCACTATTCATGCGTTTCATACAAATTCCATTGTGTTCTAACTCTTCCTTTCTTGATCTTCCCCCATCTTCCGCTTCCAGACATTACGTTGACACTCAACTCATATACTACTTATAAGTAGCTCACACCAAAGTATCACTATGTTAACTACTTCACTCGATGAAGTGTTATAATTGTATTAATATCGATTTACTATCTTTATTCTTGTATTTAACCACGTTTAACAATGTTTATGATAGATAAATAAACAATATTGTACAGTAAATTATTAATAAAAATAAGTATAAGATAAATTTTCATAAGGACACAAAATTGAGGACATATGATATATATATATTACTTTAATACAACCTGTAGTTTTTAACAAAATACTCTAAACTTTGGGATTGATGAAACCATTGAACAAGCATACAATCAAATCATCAGTTCATATGATTAAAAGACCATATATACTTATTTATTCAAGAAATAAACAACTATTTAGATTAAAAATGAAAAAATAAGAAAGAAGAAAAAGCCAAATATCATCTATAAAACAAACTGCTCAAACTGTGACCAACACCATATAGGACAAAGTGGACATCCTCTTCAGCTTCGTATGCGTGAAGGTCATTAAGTGGTCAAACACCATGACAATTCTTCCCTCGTATCAATGCCTACGGACAATTATGAACATATGTTCGATTGGAACAATGTAGAAATACTGGATAGAGGGAGTATGAAGAACACTTGAGAATTTTTAGGAGTTTAGCACTCAAGTCAATCTGATACCGACAAACATACCGTCATTGACCCAATTTATCAACCAATCAGCAAAATCATAGACAAACATAGGATCAAGAAATAGACCAAACGAGGGATACAATCAAAACAAAGGTGCAGACAACAACAGGTTCAAGGTCAATAAAAAACCAATCAAGATTGAGGTTGACAGCACGAGCTACGGGTTATACGTGGAGAAATTCGAATACTTCACTTTTGCTCTCTGAAGTTCGTACTGATGATGCTGTTCAAAAGAACAATGAGAGCTGCACAACCAACAAATCCAGCTCAGAGAACTGAGCTTTACCGCAATCATCCACATGAGCTAAAAATTTTCTCCATCATCTAAAAAATAACACCTGATTTCTAGTCAGTCAGTCAGACGCAACGTAGAACTTTGTACGTAAGTTCATCAGTTCATGTTGCCATACCTTATCAGCACAGAGATATAATTGTCAATTCAAAACCGATAGTAGAAGAGGTAGCAAAGGTATTAGAAGTAATCGGAGAGGTTAGGATTAGATCCTTAAGTCAGTCAGTCAGTCAGTTTAATTACGACGTAGAACGTAGGCTGTCATACCACATTAGCACAGAGAGATAGAATTGTCAATTCAAATCCCATAGTAGTAGATATAGTAGAAGTATTAGCAATAATCGGAAAGATTAGTGTTCGACGATATTAATCAAGAAGTATAATCCAATCAAATAAACTTGAAAAGAGGAAGATAAAGGTGATGATGAAGATTCATCTGCGCCATTGCAAACGGCTTTGAGCCATGTCATTTAAGGTCTCTAACAATCGGTTGCTATTGTCTCGCGGACCGCAACCAGGTAGTCTACACCTACCGACATGGCTCAGAGTCCAGTTGTTAGTGATTATCCTGAGGAAGATCAACAATTAATAATTCTGATTCATGATCAGTGATTCTGACCCATAATATCGAACATCTGTAATCAATGATTGAGATTCTTGAAAGAATTCTACTTAAATAGTCTACATCTACCTGCAATCTTAATAACTGATGCTGTGTTTTTACGTTCAGTGCGATTATTTGGAGCTGTCACTAACTTGAATCATTATTTAATAAATTGACTTAATTGGTAAATTGAGGTTTATAAACTACTTAAGGTCATATAACGCCCTGATAAAATACTAGATTGCACAAGTTGAAATGAATAAAAGAAGATTGGGCTTGCGAAGAAGCATCAGATGAAACTAATTTCCACTGAACTAACCCAAGCGTGTCCAATTATTTTTTTAATGGTTAAAAAAAATGCTAACAAGTTGATTATAATTAATGATGTAAAACTTTAAATTCTAATTCCTAAAACTAATTTATAACTGTAGCTCTTATAATCTTTATTATCAATTCTATTTCGAACACGAATAACTATTTGGCATTTCTTAAAGTTTACAATCTCAGCAATGATCGTGCAATATTGGTGAAAACAAATTGCAATCAAGTAAGCAATGCTATCGTTAGGAAACGAGTCCTAAGTAGGGACGGCAAATCAATAAATGAAGTAGTGAAACTTCATCAGTTGAGGTGGTTGGGACATATGTTACGTATGCCTAAGCACTGACTGCCACGACGAGCTATGTTTTGTGGTGTAGGAGTAGGCTGGAACAAAGCTAGGGGCGACCAAACCAAAACATGACAGAAATCCATGAAGTCATTGACAAGTGGACTGAGTCATGTTGGTAGATGTAGACTACCTGGTTGGGGTCCGCGAGACGATAGTCACCAATGGTTAGAGACCTTGAATGACATGGCTCGGAATCGTTTGCAATGGAGCAGATGCATCCACTCTTTGTGTTCTCTCTAATTCTAACTTTCTGAATTCCTCGAAATCTCCATCTTTCTCCCTCTAAATTTATCTCACTGAATTATACTTTTCGAATCATATCTTCGAACTATAATCTTCTCCATTACTGTTAATACTTCTGATATGGCTATCACTCTTGGATTTGAACAGACAGTTGCGTCTCTGTGCTGATGTGGTATGTGCAACCTGAGCTGATGTACTTACGTACGAAGTTCTGCATTGTACCTATCTGTCTGCCTATTTAAAAGAAGGAATCATAAATGCAATTCTGAAACAAAAACAGATTTATTTCTTACGTGGGTTATAATTACCGGTAACACCAACTAATAAATTAGACCTATAGAGCATACATGGGATGTAATCTCATGGCAAAAAAAAGTGATTACTCATATAAGAATTCGAAATAAAATGACATAATAACATATTTCCATAACATTAGTGTTAATTAGTTGAAAACCAATGGTTGGAAATCTTTAAAAGGTTAAGTTTGTACTGGTTAAGACACAACAGAAAGGTGCATATCTGGTTTAAATAGGACTGATACTACTACATAAGGAGCTTGTATTCACGCAACCTAGCGTTAGATTCAGATACTTAGCTATATAATGAGGCACTGAACTATGGAATAGAAAGATTGATTTTAAACTTGGACCAACTCTGGCGAAATAAAGAATGTAAGTGATACTAACATATCAGGAATGAGTAGATACGCACATACTTTTGATGATACAGTATTAAACACTCTTCTTGAATAACAACTTTAAACCCGAATCTTTCCGATTGCTGCTCATTCTTCTACCATGTCTACCACTATGGGATTTGAATCGACACTTGCATCTCTCTGCTATTGTGGTATGGCAACTCGAACTGATGTATGTACGTAGGAAGTTCTACGTTGTTGCTGACTGACTGACATATTAAATAGATATAACACTATGTATCGGAGATTCTAGTTATCTAAAGGATAACCTCATGATAACTGGATTTTAACACACTCATACACACATGACCAATTTATGAAATAATACAATAACTTTCATTATTTAATCATAGTTATTCAGTGTTCTTGAAATTTTAACAGAACTTTTTTGAGAAAAGAAACTGTACACAAATTAATGTTAATTAAGACTACTATCAATTAACAATCAACCAACAATCAATCTCTATATATAATCGAACTAACCTTGAGCAGTGATAAATGCATTAACATCCACAGCTTCATCAATTAATGCTCTCATACGTTCAACTGTATCAGTCCAATGTTGACGCATCATAAGAAAATGATCGGATGTAGCTTGTTTTAAACTAGTGCCACCAGGTTGTAATTGTACATTTGGATCAGCTGATAGTACAACTGCACGACCAGCTAAAACAACTTGTGCACCTAATTCATTAAGTTGACTAGTTAAACAACGTAATGCATCCGAACGCCATACATCGGATAGTTTTGTAGCTGCAGCTAATTCCCCGGTATTGACTAGTTGACTGCATTGGGTCTGATTAAGTAACAACCATCAATGGATAAACAAAATGTATGTACACATGATTTTATAGTTGTATTATAAGAGAGTTAAATAAATAAAATTACAAATTAACAGATTAATGTCGAAAACTTTATGCGCTACATAATATTAGATGATCAATGAATCCTTGTTAGACCATCATTAGGAGCCTGAAAGCACTGGACGGTCGTTTCGCCCTGAAATGGCACTCGCCAACGGTGCGCATCCACAACTCCGGCCACTCGTAGAATTCGAACCTAGGACCTTCGGTCTTGCGTTCAAACGATTAAACTCCGGACCAGTGAGCCGGAATTCAACCATCTTAATGATTAACTCTGATCAATTTGAGATTTTGCGCAACCCCACCGTTTGTCTTCCGTAGTTACTGACTACACCCGATATATATATATATATATATATATATATATATATTAGTTTAAAAGAAAACTTCATTTCACTTACTAAGAATTCTTTCATTTTTATATTGTAATCATTGTGATCTGGTAAGTTACCAGAGGATGGAGATGCTGATTCAGCTAATTGACGTAATGGTCCAACAAGATCAGTGTAGACTTCAGCAATTTGTTGTGTTAATAATTTCTCTAATATTTGCCATATATAAGCTAAACTACGACTAATAGATATTGCTAAATCTTGTTGACCAATTTCATTTTCTACAGCTGACAGTTTTATACAGAAAATAAAAAGGACAAAAGAAATTTTCTTTTTATAATAGAACGAAATTATGAGATTGTACAGTGATTCAAACATACAGTTTATAATTCAAAGTAATTATAGTTCTCGTTATAACTGCGCCTGAAACCCTTCTAGGGTTACTGCCGATCCCAAGCCCGCCGGATAAAAAGAGGATAGTTGGACATGGGATTAGCGACCCTATCCTATAGAAAAACAACACGTTAAAAAAAGCTAATCAGAGTGTGGTGTGAGCTACTTATAAGTAGTATATGATGTGAGTGAAAACGTAATGTCTGGCAGGATTATACGGGGCAAGATCAAGAAAGGAAGAGTTAGAAAACAGTGGAAATTGTATGAAACGCGTGAATAGTGACAATGGATTGATGTTTTGCAACAGGAACAGTCCAGTTCGATATGATGAACTGATATTTTGCAAATGGACGATTTACGTTATGGTTTTCCAATTTTACTGAGTAACTCTGTAATTTTCGCTAAATACAATTCGGTTGCCCCACCTGTGTTCTCGTTCACTACAAGAGGAAATAATTCGCTCGTCCGTGGCCTATACTCCAATAGGGGTAACAGGCGTAAGTAAGTAAGTAAGTAAGTAAGTAATAGCTCTCGTTATGAACTGACATTAGATGAAATAGCAAACGTAAAGTACTATTCACATGGTAATTAAATGAATCAGTGAGTAGTGGGTCAGCATTACGTTTGTTGAATTCTCAGTTGTAAAAAAAAATTACTGATTAAGTTCGACTGTGACTACAAGTGTAAATGACTCACTGTGTTACGATGTTCGGTGGTTGGCATAAAACTCTGAACCCACGTTTCATGTTAATTTCCATTCACCAACCAAATGCACCTGGTACTGAAGGAACTAATCCTCCCTGAGTTAACTACACGAGCGATCATTCTGCAACTTCACTGACAGGATTTCGTCAGCATTAATGATGAAACAAACTTGACATAAATCACTGTTCAATGATTAATCACTTGTACATGTTTTAGTCCTGTCCTACGGGAGGAGGTCGGTCACTGTTGACCAAAAAGTTCAGTGGTAAAATCTCATATTATAAAAATTGGTTTGAATCCTACGTAGAATATTAATTCCCACCTTGAGTTGTATCTATGCCTTCTTCCTGAGGAGTGCCAACTGGAAAACAAATTAGATCTTAGCCGTTTCTCAACGATTTAAATCATACACCGACAATGATGCCACCTTCTAACAATCAAAATAATCACTGACAATTATACTAGATTGAAGAAGATATGTCAAGCATGTCATGTCGACGAGATGACACATCATCCTTAGGTACTTTTTTTTACGCTCAACATGTGATTGACATTAATACACCACAACAAGACCTATCATCAAAACTAATCGTGTATATATATATATATATATATATATATATATTACTTACTTATATATTACTTTTTTTTGGTTGTTGTTGTTAGCATTTTATTAATGTGAAGTTAATATGCGAATAATTCTCATGTACAAAATTGTTACTTTTATGTAACGCGTATAAAAAGTCTCTTGACAATTTAATAATCTGTTCATATTAAATAAATCTGCCAAGATCGAATATTCGCTAACTTCTCTAACTTCAAAACTATTTAGATTGTTTTTGAAACAAAATAGGTTATCAGGCTACACACACTTTGTCATTCATTCATGAAATAAGTGCATAGTTGTGTACACAGTGATCAGTTATAAATTTTTTCCTGTGACAAACTGAAAATGTACGTGCACAAGTTAGGCCTTGGATCTGATCGTTTGAATGTCGAACAGCTTTACCACTGCAATACCTCCCCCCCAACCTTCCATAAAAAAAAACACACACACACCTAGTATTCTTATGATTATTTAAATGGAGGAAATTTACTCCAGTTACTTGTTGTATCCTCAACACAATTTGTGGGAGAAGCAATACATAGATTAGTTGATAAGCTTGCTCATGATTTACATGTTGTACAAACTAGATTAGTATACATTGAAAATAAGCGAAAAAAAGGAGAATAATTATGATGCTTACTTATTGGTTGAGAAGATAATGCAAAAAGTCGATCAGAAACTCGTTCAATATGCTCACATGCTTCTAAACAAGCATCATTGATCTCCTTATCTTCAGCCAAGCCACTATTACCATTCATCTTATGGCTGCTATCAGATGATAGTATGATACTTTTTACACCTTGAGCTAATGAACGACATGCTTCTAAGCCAACATGACGAAATGGACCACGTGGATCGGCTAGCCAACGTTGAGCTTGTACTAGTTTACCTTCAAGTGTTCTAGCCAAACGAAATAATGGATTACATGTGTGTTGGTGTTGATCACCAACGCCTCCACCAGCATTGTCACGTAATGATAAATCTTTACATAATGTAGATAACTGATTTAATTTTGTACTGAGTGTATTGGCAACGTGACTTGCTTCAGATCCATTGCCCTGAAATAAAATTGAGTAAATTGATGAAGAATTAATCATCACCGCTTACATTGATTAGGAAAAATAAATTACAACAAACGAGGTGCATCCAATCTATAAACAACTTTAATTGATTTTAATTAATTTGGTGCAGAAAATGACTACAATTACACTATACACATAATAGACAATATTTATGATTCTAAATGAGATAACGAATTAATTAGAAGAAAATTGAGGTGTAAGAAGATCTTGAGTCAGTTTGGTTTAACCGACTGTAGCTGCTTTTCGTTGTCTCTGCCTACGCTCTCATTGATTACCTTTCAGAAAAGACAAGAGATAAATTTTATAGAAAGCTTTTCAACTTCCATCAAAATGTTTATCACTCTGATGTGGTAATAGCGGCTGCTGATTTTAAATGCTCAAGTAGATAGACCAAACGAAACGGAAAGACACCTGGATGGATCATATGGTGCCGCGAGTCATTGAATAGATAATGGCGACCGTCTGCTGCTGCAACTGTGCACAGATAATCGCTTCTTGTGTCAAATACCAACTCTAAACATAAGGAACAACAACTTTCGCTATGGTGATCCATGAAATCAACACAAAGCTGGACACAGCAAGACTACATTGTTACAAGCCACAAATGGAAAGGATCGATAGAAGCCTTCCGGTCATTCTAGAGCACATGTTTATACTCGGACCATGCTCAAGTACAAGTATATTTGTCTGCAGTTAACCGGACATAAGAAAGATACGGCAAGAAAGGGAAATCCTTAGAGTTCTACTTAACAAAAACAAAACCAAGAGTATACTTCAGAAACAACTATAAAACCGCGGCAGCTTCGAATTGTAGCTAGATAGTTGTGAAAACAGCAGTAATGTATGCTAACAAGGTAAATCATAAGGTTAGGGAGAATCAGTGGATGTAGGTAGCATCCACTGAACTAACAGATATTCAGAAGCTCATACCGTCTGGCTTCAAATACAATGAGTGGAGCCAGCTTAGGCGCAGACTGATAAAAAGCCTACGCAACGATCGCAAACAGTGGTGGGTAACGAAATCAAGAGTAATAGAGAAAGCAGTGGTGATAGGTAACAGTAGACAATTATTCAGCCTTATCAAGGAAACCGGTATTAGGAATCCGAATGTAAGTGAGAATTTTTCGGAAAAGGATGGAACTATTATTCGTTCTCAACCGAGGGGATTGGATCGATGAGCTGGATACATTAGGGAGCAGTTCAACTGGCTTTCAGACACACTTCAGTTACCCATGACTTCCACTCAACCTGAATGGCGAATTGATATAAGCCCTTCAATTCTTAATGAAGTAGAAACACCTATGGGAAATCTAAGGCGAGGGATAGCAGCGGGCCTTGAAAGATTGACCTCTGAGATTGATAAGGATGGTGGTCCAGACTTAGCAGTGAAAATGACTGAGATCTCATCTGGAATCTTGGAACTGAACGAAACTCCATCTGACTGGTCTCAATTAATGACCGTTTCAGTCTATAAGATATGACTAAGCTCATCCTGTGACAATCAGTGTCATCAGTTTAACTAATAGGGTATCTAAAATATTAGCTTCAATAATACTTCGACGCCTAACCAAAGCACGTGAAGAGCAGACTCGAGAAAACGAGTCTGGTTCTAGACCTGAACTCGAATGTATAAACCAGATATTCACAGATCCTAGAACGTAGACACACTTTCAGACGTTCTACAATAATTGTATTCGTTGAAAATAAGGTGGCATTCGATTCTACTGATCGTGAGGATCTGTGATACTGTCTGTCATTGAAAGGAGTATCAAAGACGTACATTAAACTTGTACAGTCTCTCTATTACAATCATATTGGTCGAGTCAGAACTCTGGCGAACCGTCATCAGAACTGATTACTTCAAGTGGTGTTAGTCAAGGCTGACCACTTTCTCCATTCTTATCCAATTTTGTCATTAACATGCTTTTACAGACTAAAATTCCATCGTCCAACTTTCCACAAACATGTAGATAACATGACATTTGTTGAAGACGCTGAAACAAATGCAGTCTTCTAACCACTCTAAGTAACAATGCAAACATGTTCGGGTTACAATTCTCCCCTTCAAATGCAAATTGTTGTCTCAGGATTGGTTTGCATTGGCACCTGAACTAGTGTGACAGAGCATGAAGTCATTGAGCTTGGGACCGGTGGTAAACCTAGAAGGGCGCTCCAAGTGGAGTTGGATTACTTACACTTGCGTCAAAAAAAAAATTTCGATATTCACGTAAGGAAAATATATAATGACTACATAGATTTATTCATGGCATAAATCAATATGATCATGTGATTGGAAAAAAATAATAATAAAGAAGAGGTTATTGTGATTTCTTCAAGTTGCATGTACTTTCTATAATAACAGGCGTATATATATATATATATATATATATATATATATATATATATCAACTTTCTTCAATAATTACCAAATACCCTATTTCGATTTACGTATTATTGATTTACAAGGTTAAAAAGAAGAATACTATTGAATACTAATCAATATTAATGATGACTTTTTTTTTCCAATAACTGGTAAATTGACACTGAATAACCATGATAAGTTGTTTATAATAATATAATGCATACATAAAACAATGATCACAACATGACATCAATAAAGAGAGTCAATTCTTTTGACAGTGAACTTATTTATGATTGATAAAATGTTTTTTTTTAGAAAAAATCAACAAGACTGTAGAAGTAGAATAATTTAAAAACATTTTTGTGAAACATTGATTTGTTATTGATTACATGAAAAGTCAATTTGTTTGTAGAGGAAACTAATCAATTAAAAGTGTGATTGTATAGTTTTAAGGTTGAAATTGAAAAGAAATAATAATAATAATAATAAGGTATTATTTTATTTGATACGAGTATGCTCTGTGTTTACTTTACAACTTATGAAACATGACGGTTAACAACGACGAATAGAGAATATTCAAAAGTGGATTGATTATATAGTTTACGATTGTTCATTTAGATTGTGAGAACAATGCTCAGTTTCAACATAGAGTAGTACCACAGAAAGATAATGAATCGGTTGATAAGGTAAGGATACTTTATCAAATAAGACGCTTGGAATAGGTACGACAGTTATTCATTCATTCAACAACCACTGCAAGGGACAATATTGTTTCATGTAGTGATACGTTGGAAGGAGTTTGAGACTGACTAATCAAGACGAGGCATTAATAAATGAACCACGTAGGCAAGTCTACACCGCCTGGTCAATAATCGTTACTGTAAGTTTGAGACACTGTATGACATAGGTCGGAATCAGTCTCAATGGCTAAATTGAAATTATTTCTGTCTTCCCGTGTGTTGTAATGCCTGATTAGATAATTCCCAGCTAAATCCTATTGCTTAGTATTCTCTGACCACACAATACACTGGACAAGTTCCCAAGAATCAAAACACGGTTGAACAGGGAAAGATTTTATTCCAAATAGAAAAGGTTAAATGGAATAAGAGCCGAAGGCGAAGGCCAAAAATAGATACAACGTTAGTCTATTTATAGCATTTACATGACAGACTTCTGGATAGAAATTCACGTGATCGAATGCAGCTAACAGTACGAGAATCTTCTACCCTGTTCTTCAAGATTCGATCAGGGACTGCTGATTGGATAGGAAATTAGCCAATCAGCGCGCAGCAACGTAGTCATGCTTTAATTACATCTATGTTCCACTAACACCGTGGTTCAATTAATAAGTATGAACTCACAACAGGTACTATAAGTAAAAACTTAGCTAGAATAATGAACCTTAGCGCTACACGTTGAGGAATTCGTCGAATATAATCGAGTAGAAATTTGTACGCTGATTATCGGTAAACATCATTATTTCATGAGAAGTTGATGAATGATGATGTATTAGTCCCGATGTTATAGGCGGCCAGACCAAAATATGGCACAAACCGCTGAAGTAGCTAACAAGTGGACTGAACCATGTTAGTAAGTGTAGACTACCATGTCGAAGTCCGGAAGACAATAGTAACTTTGAATGACATTCGTTATCTTTTGTCAAATTCTAATTTTTTTAATCCCTCATTACATTTTTTTTCTCTTTTTCAATTTATGTCACTGGAATGTACATCATGAATGATATCTTCGATTTTTAATCTTTTTAATTATTCCTAATACTTCTACTGCCTCTACCACTATGGGATTTCAATTGACAATTGAACAGATGTACGTACGTATGAAATTCCTCGTTGTAGCTGACTGATTTGTTTTGATGGTTATCAAAGAAGCAGCCTATGATAAATATATTTCGTCTTATATATATGTATAAATATGAATTGAGTTGAGTTCGCTGAATAAATAACCCTAAGATTGATAGGTTTTTTACTGCAAAAACTAAGGTGCTTTCGAATGATTTATGACCAGTTTAGCACGATAAAAATGCAAAAGCTCACTATGCACACAGCATCATTGACCAGTTTTAAACTGAGCAACTACTAATTGAAAAAGTTATTGTTACAGAATAATGCCTAAAAAAATAAGTACTTAATTTTTATTTATAAAAATGACTATAGGTCAAATTGTGTAACAATTTACCAAATTTTTCATCTTTACAAAAAACTTCTGAGAAAGAATAACACACGTGTACATGTGTGCACCTAACGACACACACTACATAAGCTTATAACAGTTCCTAAACGAATGATATAAGAAGTAAATACCTAATTCAAAAATCCTTATGGAAGACAACGTTATCCTGAAGAGACCAAGAGAGAGAGAGAGAAAAAAACAGTTATTCAAATACCAAAGATGACAGAATATCATACCAAGCAATACAGACTTATTAATGTACCAGAAAATATACATTCGGAACAGAAATATTACAATCCTTAGGTAAAAATCATAATTTTAACGACTGACATATGACAGAAAAAAATGCTATAAGTGTTTGATAAATTTAATTGGTTATTTTTGTCGATCGAATAACAATAAGGTCATTCTCGCATTTTAAAAAGTGAAAATCAATGACTGATATTGATTAATAACAAAATAGAATAAAATCTTTTGAAGTAGGCAAACCAATAAGTTCACAAAAAAAGAATGTCAATGAACTGTGAATTGATCAAAATCGTTCAGTGTGTGTGAACTTTGTCTTAAAAGGATTAAAAATTTGAGGAGTGAAACATGTTTAGCTTATGTAAGAACGACACAAACGAGGTTGTAAAAAATTGCTACCAACAACTGAAATAACTGTGATCCGCATTTTTTTAAAAATTAACTTTGTTGATTCCCCGTGATATTGCAAATTGTGACTGAATGAGACGATTAATTTGCAGTCTATTTTATTTGTCAACTACAGGTTTAGGTAGGACTATCTTTGTGCAATAATTTGTGCCATGCCGGCTAATGATGCTGTAGTGAACGAGAACACAGGTGGGGCAACCGAATTGTATTTAACGAAAATTACAGAGTTACTCAGTAAAATTGGAAAACCATATCATAAATCGGTAATTTGCAAAGTATCAGTCCATCATATCGAACTGGACTGTTCCTGTTGCAAAACATCAATCCATTGTCACCATTCATGCGTTTCATACAAATTCCATTGTGTTCTAACTGTTCCTTTCTTGATCTTCCCCCATATTATGCTGCCAGACATTACGTTGACACTCACATCATATACTACTTATAAGTAGCTCACACCACAATGCTACTAAGCGGTTGAATGGAGAGGAGTCCCATACTAGCTTGGCTAAAAGCCAAATTCTTTAACCAAATAAATCGTCTTTACAGATTCTACTTTTAACCAATTAATAAGTGAATAAGTATGTTTTTAAAAATAAACACTTTTTTCTTGATCAGTCTGCATCTTACTGCATCCCAAAAAAAATATATCCATATTTATAGTTTATAGTCATAAGAAAACCAATAAATAGGTAAAATAATATGTACTGGTTTATGAAACAAATATCAATCAGTTAGATTAACAATATTATCTGGTTGTATACATCAAGGTCAGTCAGTCAGTCAGTTGCAACGTAGAACTTCGTACGTAAGTACATCAGTTCATGTTGCCATACCACATCAGCACAGAGATATAATTGTCAATTCAAATCCAATAGTAGAAGAGGTAGTAAAGGTATTAGAAGTAATCGGAGAGGTTAGGATTAGAAGATATTATTCACGAAGTATGATTCAATGAGATAAGTTTAGAAAGTCAAAACTAGAGATTGTTGAAGAATCCAAAAGATTAGGATTTGAGAGAACACAAAGAATAAATGCACCGGCGCCATTGCGAACGATTTTGAGCCATGTCATTCAAGGTCTCTAACCATCGATTATTATCATCTCGCGGACCCCAACCAGGTAGTCGACAATTACCGACATGGCTAAGTCCACTAGTCAATGACTTCATGGATTTCTGCCATGTTTTGGTTTGGCCGCCCCTAGCTTTCTTCCAACCTATTCCTACACTACGAAACAAAGCTCGACGAGGCAGTCGGTGGTTAGGCATACGCAACACGTGACCCAACCACCTCAAATGATGAAGTTTCACCACTTCATCTATTGATCTGCCATTCTTACCTAGTACCCGTTTCCTAATAACAGCGTTGCTCACTCGGTTGTCCCACGATATACGAGCAATGCTTCGAAAACACCTATGATCGAAAACCAATAACCGACGAGTATCTTCAGGGAGTATTGGGGTTAGTGTAAAATAATTATTTGATGGCTTTCATGGAGCCTATATATAACTGTAAGAATCTCGATAATGAATTAATAATTTAGTAGGGTTAACTATACATACAAATACTTAATATACACGATTTCATGTGTGGTTCACTTACAAATCAATCCTTTAGTGTCATCTCCACTACATAACACAATTGTAGGTGCACCTATGCATACAGTTAAGGCAAATATTGTAATGTGTATAGAATGTAGAATCGAGAATGGGGAAAAAAAATAATTAGTTATTGCATGAGCATTATAATTTCTCATAAGACCAAAAGAATCTAGTTCTCCAGTATTGATCATACGAAGTGTATGTTCGTAAGTGTAAGAATATATATTATGCGTATATATTTATATATGTCGATTTGGTATTTACGAAGATTGATTAGTAAAAAAAAATTAAAAAAAAAAACCCGTGAGTTTGAAAATTTTTTGACACCAATTGATGTTGGCAGTGAAAAAACTACTGAATCATTGAATTTTTTTCTAAGCGATTATTATTGTTAGATTACGAAAAGTAATACACAGTCTTGACCTTGTACTGAGAGGATGAATTCAGATTAAACACTGACAAATAACCGTAGGTTAGTAATTATTGGTAATCAGCAAATTAATTTATCACCGGATAAATATTGGTTACTTTCTAAATATTAGCTTTAATTATGAAAAATTTCAGTAAACGATTGGTATAATAAAAAGTAGGCATTACTGATAACTGTTCAGATATCTAAAAATCTTTTAATGATCATTTAGTGGATTCCTACATCAATTTTCCGAGTCAAATCAAACAGTAAAACAGTCAATTAACATGCTTCTTATAGTAAACAACTAGAAGAAAAAAATTAGTCCGGATGAAGTAGTGAGTCACCATGAATTGAGGTGGTTAAACCATGTTATTGCCTATGCCCAACCACTGACCATTACAAAGGACAATATTGTTTTTATGCAGTGACATTTTGGAAGGTTAGTAGAGATCCTATACTAAAGCAAGGAATAAATTTATGAAGTTATTGCCAGTTATATTGAACTACATCAGCATGTGTAGACTACCTGAACTGGGTTCGAACAATAACCGTTATCAATGGTTTCAAATGTTGGATGACATGGTTCAAAATTAGTTCCAGTGACTCATATACATCATTTCTTTTCGACATTATCTTGAACCTAAACTTTCTCCTACAAGTATAAATCACATACATACCTATACTACTAATATTAGTAATGCCACTACTACTACTAAACTGGCATTTGTCCTGGTAGTTTCAGTTCACTATGCAAATGTGGTTCGGTAAATTGAACCAATACACACACATAACTAACGCAGTGGAAACATATTAGTGGATTCGAGAATTGTTTAGCTTAACAAATCGATAATAAATTCTGTAACATCCTTTTAGGCTATTTAAAAATCCATCTTGAAAGTTATTACTGTTGCATATTCATAAAAAAATATGTAAAAATATACAACCAAATAAGCGCTTACATGACCACTTTTTCTTAGGTCAATTAGTGATTGTGCATAATCGTTTAATTCATCGCATAAGAGTAGAATTGTTTTACTATTTGAACTTGTCGGATTTAAATTGGCTAAATTTCTTGCTGAATGTAAAACTTGATTCAGTGCTTTTTCACCAGCCGTCATTGCAGCGGAACACTAAAAGATGAAAAAACAAATGAGAAATCGAAAAAAAAAACAACATGAAACTACACAACATAAATACATACACAGAGAGCTATTAGACGTTTACGCTATGAAAGTATACATTTCACATATTCATCCTACGGCTACACCACTTTACACAACTAATCGCTGCAATTTTATGTATGCACCTCAACTTAAAAGTAAACACTTATATTGATTAAATAAAAGACGTACTGCATCTTTTGAATATTGCATATTTATCACGGCTACAATCCACTGTATGGTTGCTGGCTGAGTATTATTTATTTAGAACGCTTCTTAGTTACTATATTTTTAAAGATTTAGCCAGGTGATTTTGGTATATCCAAAACCAAACTACTAACTACTAGTCGTAAGATAAATTGCGATACGGATATACATCAGTACCAAATTTGGAAAATCAAGCACTAGTCACGTTCGCGACTTCAGTTGTTAGTTTGTGACCGCCTAGTCCAACAACTGATAAGTAGATTAGATTGTAGACAGTCATTACTTAAGGTTACCAATCCTTTCGAAAAGAAATTATTAGGCTTTGAGACAAATTCAAGAGTGATAGCCATATCAGAAGTATTAACAGTAATGGAGAAGATTATAGTTCGAAGATATGATTCGAAAAGTATAATTCAGTGAGATAAATTTAGAAGGAGAAAGATAGAGATTTTGAGGAATTCAGAGGGTTAGAATTAGAGAGAACACAGAGAGTGGATGCACCTGCGCCATTGCATACGATTCTCAGCCATGTCGTTCACGGTCTCTAACCATTGGTGACTTTTGTCTAGCGGACCCCAACCATGTAGCCTATATCTACCAACATGACTCAGTCCACTTGTCAGTGACTTCTTGGATTTCTGCCATGTTTTGTTTAAACCGATTGACAGATACTTTTGTCGGGTTATAAAAAATTAAGGTTCTGAGGGCTTTGTTTGCATATCAAATATTAGCGACTTTAAAAGGAAAATACTTTAAAAATATTTTACGAGTCGCTGGTAATGAAAACTTCCATATTTTTAGTTAGTTTTGCCTATTGTACAAAAACTAATTAGTAAACTGATTTAAAAAATTTTAAATATTAAGACAATGTTCTTTAGAACGAGGAGCGAGATATGTAATGAGAAATGATAAGGGTATTTAGTGAGTACAAATGACTTTTATTTATACTTTTATCTTAAGGTTATTCGATTGTTTAAGCGCTACTTTTTCCCAAGCCAAACAGCATGACACCAACACCAGGCAGCCTAGGCTGATTATGAAGCATGTGGAGATAAGGGAGATTTTAGATGTAGGAAGGGTTTGTGTGATCAGTTTGGTCTTATGTGCTGTTATGGATATGAGGGTGAATGTCACTTTCCGGCTGCCCACAGAACAGAATATTTAGGAATAGTGACTATATAGTGGATCTAAGCATTCAGTGAACATTGGTTCGGATAACTGAGTAATATATCGAGCCCTCATGCAAAAATGTGACAAAATAGAGTACGTAAATCCTGTATTTGACAAATCATCAGAACAAATATGATTGACCTTGATCCCGCAATATCATCAGTGTGTTTTCACACGCAAACTAAAATGCGAGTATAAATCCGTGTTTCCTAAAAATACGCAGTAAATTATATGATCGTCAGGTAGCACAAACAGTTTATGGCAATTATATTACTCGTATAAAAGGCGAGCTACGGAAGAATGACATTTCATGAGTGAAACCAAATATATCAAATTTACCCACAGTAGTATAAAAATCAGCTTTTTTGATATCAACCATTAAAACACAAAGATTTATAAGTCTACTATGCAAAAGTAAGTGGAAAGTTGAATGGCTTTCATTGACTGAAACGTAGCTGCCTACCCTACCAAAGGAATGTTAACCTGTTATTATCCATCTCAGCTCAAGATTTTTGAGAAAATATACCAACTACGACCATCATATAGGTGCTACAACTATCTAAAATCACATCGATAAACAAAAGGTGCAGGTGACTCACGTTCGAATCAGAAATCCAGTCACTGACAAACTGCAAACGACTATCGAAAGCTGCCTTATTCATATGCATAGCCGCCAAATCGTCACCAAAGAGTTCCGATGAATCTGTTTCGGTAAGTTGCAGGCCACGTATAATTTCATGTATCTCACTGGACATTTCAGACAACAAGAAGTCCCGGTTTGCTTGACTTTCAGCAACTCCAGGTAAATCTGTTTAAAACAAATGCAACTAGCTTAAACAACGCATACAATCACACGATGTTTGCAAAGTACATAACGTGCAAAATGTGTAACGGCGAACTTAACAAAGATTTAAGGTGCAAACTTGACAGTAAACACGCAAAGCACAACGTAACTCTATGGATAATATTTAAAAAATGCAAATATACCACCGTAACATACTCTTTAGTAAAGATCTAACACAGATTTAATAAGAAACAGTGCTAGCTTACTTAAATATAAGCTATCACACTGAAAATTTATCTAACGATAATGATGCCTGCATAAAGGCAATTCAATAATCAGTGGATATAAGCAATTCTGGTAGGTGTTGTTCCGAAACAATATGAAACAGGTCTTCTCGTTGACCACTAATTGTTACTGAACTTCATCTAATATGAAATCGTGTATCAGCGTGAGCACAGTTAAAGTAATTATACACAAAACTAGACTCTGTAGAAAATAAGAAACAGGATTACATTCTGAAAAATTACGTCTTTCTTATAGAAGACCTTGCAGATGAATGATAACTTTAAAAGTAAGAAAAGTTGTTTTGGTATATTCAACTTACGATTCTGATGTGTATTTACATGGAGCTTTAAAGAAGATATTAAAATAGGCGTAAGACGTTTCACTTGTTCTATACCTCTAAGAAGAAGGGCAGAATGAGATTGGATAGTCAATTCTTCTTGTCGATTGTCAACTTCTTTAATCATATCAGCCATACAAGGAGTTAGTCGCTGAACAACATTTAAGATTTACCATAAATTACCTTGACAAAATCAGCCAAACGGGTAAGACTCGAAGCATGTTCTGCGGTAGCTAGGACATCGAGTACCCGTCTGCAATGTCTGATAATTTTTCGTACTTCGGACATATCAAAGGTTAAAAGAACAGATGATGTTCCCTGTAAAATACCTGGAGGAAATATACACAAAGACCTTTACCTCTGGATCCGTCTATCAATTTTCTTCGTGCTTCTGAAGAATTTGGATCGTTCTGCAGCAATACAACAGCATCCTGAAGATAAAAAGATGCATCGTCAACACGCTTGAGTGAGGGGGGCATATCCCTTTGAAGTAACTGATCATCACTAGCCTCAATAGTTTGATGCCCAACCTGTTTTTAATGTAGGAAGAAGTAGACGCTTACCTTTATGAGGTTATCAACAGCAAGTTTTACAACATTGACACGGAACTCCAGATCAGGAATCTCTGTACCTGATCCTGCATCCTCAAACAACAATATTAATTTTAGAACCTTTAAAACTATTTGATTAAGTTTTGTGGAACAATACCTGTTGGGCTACAGGGCTTAGAATACGTTCAATTGATTTCGTATGAAACGACATCACGATAACCAAGTAACTCTCACATCTAAATAAAGCGGATTAAATATGTAAAATCTTTCCAATATCCAATATCTTCAACACGAGCACACTTCTTGTTATTTTAGTATGGTTATAGTTAGTCGTTAATTTCCAGTTGATGGTAATCTAGCAACTTGATTGGACTAACTATCCTCAGTTTGGTAGTTGCTTATGCACTTGTAATTCTGGTCATTCAAGTGAACGCAATTGTATCATGGCATTAGGACTACTGAATACTACCAGCTATCTCACTGCTAGGTTAAAGCCAGCTAGTTACTATGTGAAGTATAGTAAAAAGATGAGCCTAATGCCAACGACAGGACGAATGTTTCGAGGGCGAAATGACTTGATTAATGGGTAACGCAGATAGATGAATGATAACAATAAGGCTGTCAAGAGAAATTATAAGTGGTGAGATAAAAAAAAGTTTTTGATACCTCAGTATCATAACATCAGATAAGTTAAAACACATTCATCTGATTCAGCTTGTCCTACTTAACAGTAATCTACGGGAGAATATATGCTTGTCAAGTATCACCTCTCAGCTACTGTCTATTGAAAAAGCTGTGAACACCGGCTGAGAAAGCAATTCACACATAGATAAGTCCTAAGGAGGAAAAGTGGGAGCATACCTATAGGTTTGCTCTTTGACTTGCAACTTCTATAGGGTTACGTCCAGGTTCATTACGGTGGTGTTCTGGAACGACTCAGAGTACTAAATATCTTCTCCCATATCCCGATGAAAATAGTTGGAAGTTTTGGGGTCTGTCTTCTTAAAATTTATTCTTTGGTCTTCTCATCCACTCAGCAGGGTATTTCTGTACTTGATCTACGAGATTTATGCCTATTTTAAGGAGAGTGGGTGCAACAACGATGTGGAATTCAAGGGATGAGAGTGCGAATGTTTTAAAAAGAGTAAGGAGCAATTCTGGCAAAAATAATACATGCCCTAGGTTTTGAAGACATCATTATCTAGTGCTATAGATAAATCTTGTCAAATTTTAAAATTATCATTTTGGTTGGTAATGAAGCAGTGAAGGTGGGAGGATGATTTCTGTTCAACAATATTCCGCGGATTGTACCCATCTTGCCTCACTCTGTGACGCAAACAGGTTACATTTCCGTCTACCTAATACGCTCTTTCGTCTCTTTTGATTGACGGCTGATCATCAGGGGATGATATTAATCTCTCCGACATACTGGTAGAGGTTTTATTTTTCCTGAAGTAGAATGATCAATGTGAATCTAGCTTCTACTTGCTACTACTTCTCCACCATTTTTCCGGTGGAAATCCATCAAAATATGAGACACTGATTTACATATGACACCAGGAAATGTAACTTTACAAATACAGCTATATTTATTCATTGTTCCAGCCTGTGTGAACAGATAGTTAGGTCCTGCTCTGCTCGTATAGATGAAAACAGGAGTGACTGTTGATGTCATATGGATTTTATTTGAGTCCACTGATAAAATAAAAGATACATCATCGAAATTTGCGTGTCTTTTCGGGGCGTTAAAATTTTGAGGGCAGGTGCTATGCGTATTACAGCAACTTATTCAGACACTGCAGACAATAAGAGCGGGAAGCTATGTGGAACCGAACAACAGGCAGAACAGTTTATAGCACATAACTTACATTCGAGTTTGCTAACGTTTAGTTCGGTTAAGCGCTTATATTAACCTATTAAGCGGCAACATGTATATAATTTTGCGCTTATATTATTTTCACGCTTGCATGTATGGTCGAGCACAAAGAAGTTGTAATTTTTGATATTAGTTTGCGGAACTGAATATCTGTATCTTGTAATGCTGCAAGTTTGTGATAACCAGTGTCAGGTAGGATGAAAACGATTATCATCAGTCTTGATAATACACCTATTACTTCGTTGTTATCAGTCAGTCAGTTGCAACGTAGAACTTCGTACGTAAGTACATCAGTTCATGTCACCATACCACATCAGCACAGAGATGTAATTGTCAATTCAAATCCAATAGTAGAAGAGGTAGTAAAGGTATTAGAAGTAATCGGAGAGGTTAGGATTAGAAGATACTATTCAAGTAGTATGATTCAGTGGAATAAGTTTAGAAAATAAAAACTAGATATGTTGAAGAACCCAGAAGATTAGGATTTGAGAGAACACAAAGAATAAATGCACCGGCGCCATCGCAAACGGTTTTGAGCCATGTCATTCAAGGTCTCTAACCATCGATTATTATCATCTCGCGGACCCCAACCAGGTAGTCGACAATTACCGACATGGCTAAGTCCACTCGTCAATGACTTCATGGATTTGTGCCATGTTTTGGTTTGGCCGCCCCTAACTTTCTTCCAACCTATTCCTACACTACAAAACAAAGCTCGACGAGGCAGTCGGTGGTTGTGCATACGCAACACGTGACCCAACCACCTCAACTGATGAAGTTTCACCACTTCATCGATTGATCTGCCGATTCCTAATAAGAGACTTCGTTGTTATGGCCTTCAACAAATTATTTGCTAGATATAAATCGAATTCCTCACGGCGAATAGTTGTCCTGCTTGTCGTTTAATGCCACATTGAGAGTTCCATGATCTGTGTACACTGGGAAAATGATACCCTCAAGCGTATATATGATATTTTTATGGTCAAGTAAATTTTCAACAGTTCTCTTCCGAACGTTCCTTACCTCATTTCCGTTAGACTTAGTCTCTATGAGAAAAATAAAAGTGGTTTCGATATGCCATCATCGAACTGCTGTAATACCGCTCCAACAGCAATGTTCGATGCTTCAGTCATGATGGCTAGTTGAACTTCGCTTTTTCGTTGTAATTAATCTGTCTTCTCATTTAGCACACGCATAGCGTTTTGGAATGCCTGCATAGCTTCCGCTGATAAATGAGATGTCCATGAACGTCTTCTCAAAGCATCTGTCAAAGGTTGTAGTGTTGTTGCACAATTATGGACAAAGTCTGAAACAGTTGATTAGCCTTAAGATTCGTCATAATATTGTTTGTGAATCGGAAAACGAATAACAACGAATAGCTGCAACTCCCGCTGGAACTGGTTTGATAACTTGAGAATTCATTGAGTCCAAGAAATTTCAGTGATTACTTTCCAAATTACTTTCCAATTCGTGGAAACTCCACGCTCCTATTTTATTTGTTGTATATATTCTACGGCCATCGCTCTAGCTACCAGTGCGTCATCATTATATTATTTTACTACTGTCAAATCACTAACAACCGCGTCGATCAATCGCTTAAAGATTTGAGCTGCATTATTTAATCCGAAGGTCATTCGCGAAAATACAAATAACGGAGTGATAACAGCCGTTTTCGATTAATCCTTTAGTGCTACAGGAATATGGTAATGAGCATTACCAAGGTTAATCATTGAAAGGTCATGGAACCTTCTATGTTTTTAATAATGTGTGATACATGATGTTGATCTGCCAGAGTTTATTTATACGGAGCTCTACAAACTCTCTTTAATCCAAAATCTGATTTATCTGTTCCTTTTCGAATCAGGTGCAAATAAGATGCCCAGGGACTGCTTGTCTGCCTTGTTATACCAAGTTTCATCCAAACGTCCAGTATTTGTTTCGCTAATTTTAATCTTTTCGGGTCCAGTCTTTGTGGTCTTGTGAGGGCTTTTCGCTGCACCGTATGCTTAAGATCATTGATGTCGTATGGTGTATTGTCTGATTGACGAATTCGTT